ACAGAGGAGAGCATCATGAACATCCAAACAGACATAACACAAGTATTAGAAGCGATACAACAAATGCAGAGCACCCAACAGGGACTCTCCCTACAGCTGTCGACCCACGAAGACCAAGCTCGTCGCAACCACGTTAAAATACGTGGGGTACCCTCTGACATCACACCTGATGAACTGCCTCACTATGTGAGACGGCTCCTGGCCACCATCCTACCGCCAGCGACAGCCAGGAAGACGCTCCTTGATGGGCTCTACAGGCTCCCACCCTCGGCCACTATGCCTAACACAACTCCCAGGGATGTTATCTTACGCTGTGCCACCACACAGGACAAATCCAACATCATGTCGGCAGTACGGGACAAACCCCCTTGGCCTTTGAAAATGCACAGCTGTTTTTTTGCCAGGACCTAACTAGAGCCACTCATCAGTGGCGCTGAACACTGACCCACTTTACAAGCCAACTGCGCTCCCCAGGGGTGCCATACCGCTGGGGTGCACCTCGATCCCTGCTAATCACCCACAACGGGACCACGCACAGGGTTTCCGCGCCCAAAGAAGTGCCTGCAGTGCTCACCAAGCTGGGACTACCGGACAGAAACGACACAGCAGAGACCCCTGCACAGAGATGGGACCCAGACAACACTGTACCATTCACCCCGAGAAACATGGTACCGACAAACCGGGCCACCTAAATGACAAAGGCTAGAAAGAACTCTCACAAACCACACAAAGTTCCTGGAGAAGGGACGGTGTAAATGATTGCTTCAGCCACGGACGACTTATGGTTTTCTTTTAGAATGTTTCTTCTTAAAAATGTTCTTATGTTTATAATTACCGTATTGTTATTACCTTGTTCGACGTATGTCACTGCGCTTCATACACCTGACAGCACACATGGAAACGTTAACCCACAGATGACCGATACACACCGATAGCTTCACACAACGGTCAGGGAGGCAGGAACTCCACAAGCTCCCTCACCACCTCCCCCCCCCACCACCCCTTAGGTCAGGGGTACACCATCCTCCGGGAAACCCAAGACGCTAGACACACGGGCGCCCAGTCCACCAAAGACCGAACACACGTTCAACTACAGCCTGACCGAGACATCTTGACATAAGACCCACTCACATAAGAAATGCTGAGCAACCCTATCATATTCAACCTCAACAGTGAGCTGGGCCACCCGGTACCACAAACTGCTACGAGCCCGGAGACATAATACACCTGAACACAACCACCACACAGCTCTCTTCACTATTCACAATAGTTGACATCCTGGCACAACACCACACGAACACCTGTAATGCCGCACCCGGTAACCTTGAAAACTAAAACTGTTACCCCTATACACCACTCCTGCTGACACACATCCTGTCTTATACTAAAATTAAAAATGTGCGCAAACCTCAAATGCCATAATGTTACATTAACTGAACCACTTGAAAATTATGACTCCTGCTGTTGTGGTAGAGTAAACATGTATGTAAACGTAAGCACAACGCAAAAATAAAGAATTAAAAAAAAAATCAAAAAATACATACTTACAAAGTCAAAGTTTAGGACCAAAATGAAGGGGAGGAATCTCAGTTCCTTTTCAAATAAACTCCAAAATGTTATCAAATCCACAAGATGCTATATGCCATGAAGTAATGATTTTAAGACCAAACCTATTGTGGTTTATTTAAAGGAACACTATAGTCACCTATACAGCTTTAGCTTAATGAAGCAGTTTTGGTGTATAGATCATGTCCCTCAGGTTTCACTGCTCAATTCACTGCCATTTAGGAGTTAAATCACTTTGTTTCTGTTTATGCAGCCCTTGCCACACCTCCGTGGCTCTGATTGACACAGCCAGCATGAAAAAAAAAAAGGTTTCACTTTCAATCAGATGTAATTTACCTTAAACAATTGTATCTCTTGCTCTGTAAATTGAACTTTAATAACATACAGGAGGCTCTTGCTGGGTCTAGCAAGCTATTAACAGAGCAGGGGTAAGAAAATCCAAGTTAAACAGAATTTGCAATAAAGGATAAACTTTAGATGATTCTTTACAGGAAGTTTTTAGGAACGCTGTGCAAGTCACATGCAGGGAGGTGTGACTGGGGTTCATAAACAAAGTGATTAAACTGCTAAATGGCAGAGAATTGAGCAGTGAAGCTGCAGGGGAATGGTCTATACACTAAGCTAAAGTTGTTTTGGTGACTATAGTGTCCCTTTAATAAATTGGAAATTGCCATGCATTGACAAACAAATTGTATATTTTAGCTGAAAGTAGTTGGAACAACAGGTTTGTTGAAAATGTTGCTCCAAGCTGTACAACAACTCAAATAAAAGGGTTATTTACTAAGTGTGAACTGTCAGAAATGTAAAGTGCTTTCGGAGTGAATTTCAAATATCAGTCCAAAATTTTTCTAATTTGAGTACTGAAATTTGAAATTCCTGACAATTCATACTGAGGGGAATAGCTGTCACTGTTTAGTGAATATCCTTCTGCATCTTTTCATTCAGACACATTGTTAGGATTTTAAAATGGAACTAGAATTTTAATTGCTAACAATCGGTAACAGCTGACAATCTGTTCTCCAAATCCTTCGCAGACAGCTGGTATGTTGCTGTCTATGAAGGACCATTCTCCATTACATTAATACTGCTAAACGAACTTGAACGTGTTTACTTATGAATGTATCATTTCAACTTCGTAACAATATTCCTCTGGAAAGAAAGAATTTGGAGCATTTTGACGACAGACTGCGGCATCTTAAAGCTCACAAAATTATTTCAGCAGATGAAAGGGCAGGCAAACAATATATCGAATTTCCTTACCTTGCTAGTGGTGCAAGACGGTATTGTATACAGTTCCCAGATGTATCCACATATTTTAAATATATCTTGAAGTGGACCTGTCATGGAGCACACAATTTAGGTTTAAATTTAGAACATTACGTTTCATCTATATATTGTGCTAGCAGGAAAGGTAGCAAATGTACAGATTTTAATTAAATACTCTCTAAACATTTTCCCCTCACCACCTGTCAACCAATACTTAGTACTGACCTATATACCGGTGGCACAAAGGTCAATGGCAAGGATGGAGTGACAAGGAGAGCAGGAGGACCCTCCTACAGGTGGTTCTCCTGCTCACTCACTGCCCCCACTTCCCTATCAAGTGTTTCTAATGCTAACAGGGGAGTATAGGACATTCTGATGCAGATGTTCTGGCAGTGAAGGCAGTGCGTTAATATCAATTTGGACTATTGTTCTGCTTGGATAAGTGTCCCAACATGGGTCCAACCACTTTAGAGCAATACTGAACTAAAGTGGCTCTGTTATGGCAATATCACTTGTGAGTATTTCATAAAGATAAGATCTTTTTGAAAAAAATTGCATTGAAATTCCATTTCTAATAAATTCCATTTATCATATCATAACAAAAAGTAGGGACTACTTTGTCTTATGGTCCAAAGATGACAAATATTGAGATAAGGCGGCCCTTTGCCATCAAGATTTTCAGTTCCCAGAACTTTCGCCAATGATGTGTGTGGGTACAGGCATTTTCTCACACATTGCTACATTTGGTCTATGGAGGATCCACTGGTCATGTGGGACCGTCCATAGACCTCTGTACATGTGTGAGAATACATAAGTGTCGCAGGATCCTGGTAGATGAAGCACCTTGTAGATGAAACACCATGAGCCGAAGAAGATGGTGGCCAGCGCTGGATTATCCATTAGACAACCAAGGCAACCGCCTGGGCAACCAAGTTGGCTGCTGGACTCAAGCCCTGAGAGAGGTGCAGACCACTTTAAGAACTTTCTTGTTGTCCCCAAAACCAATCTAGTGCAGAATGTCTTTTTTCTAAACAATAGACAAATTAGAAAACACTTATAGTGTTAAACTCACACAAAAAAAATGAAATAGGTGTCACTCTCACTCTCAAGGCTTTGGAGGGAACAACTCCTAGCATGCGGTGAATCTTTTGTAACAACATCGGACTGAGTCATGGTATAATTTGAAGGTAAATATTTATGTAGCATGAAAATAAAAACCAAAGAAAGTGAATGCCAGAAACATACATGGCAGAGTCTTACAGGTGTCCATTTATCCAAGCACAATAGGCCCAATTAAGACAAAGGCAAGGAGTAATAGGAGCTGACATGCGCTGATTCAAAACTTCCAGTTCAGACGCTCCGATCCGCTCAGCATATTTTTCAGCAGTGTCCTTCTACATCCCTCTCCACATTGGTACATTGGTCCAAAAACTGTCCCTATCCGTGAGCCTAAAAATCACACACTTCAAAGTGCACAACTATTTGGCCCGTGAACTAACAATCTAAAGAAGATAATGAGGAGTAAAGGTAACAAGAAATATATGTATCCATCTATATATATTCAGAACGATTGCAAAGTGGCACAGTAGCTTTAATGAGTCTTTAGAGCAAGGATTAATCATTATTATTTTGTTTTAAATACATGATGAACTGTAACATTACATTTCTGCTAGCGAATATAAGAAGCTCGATTAACAAAATGCAAGAGATAGCATTATTGACATTTCTTGAAAAGTTTGACATAAATTTCCACTGAAATGCAATGTAATTAATGCATGGGCAACTGAACCAGCCCTGGGCTATTTATTATATTTCAGCCAGGAGTCTGGCCAGGAGCAGGATGATATTCTATCCCATACATCTAAAGGTAGACATGTGAAATTGGGGGTAATTCACATATAACCTCCAACTGAAACTCCCACAGTGCCTGCAGCAATGCACTGAGCTGCCTTAGCACCATGGGAGTCTGAATCCACCAGAGCTGGGTTGCTAGAGCTCAGTGCTCCCCCATCTCTCCCCACATTCCCACTGGCTGCAATCACAGCCTGCATCTGTTGCCAGGGGAAACAGTCGTCATGGAAACCGAGCGAACGCGGAAGTCAGGGTGCACCGGAAGCGGAAGTAGACTGGCGCGCCAAAATTGAGCAAGGGAACCAAGGAGGACCAGGGGCGGGATCCTATGTACTAACCAGCGGACTGCGGAGGGGATTACAGGGGGTAACGGGTGAGACCCTATCAGTGTGTGTATATCCTTATAATACTGATGGCTGGATAATGGGCTGAGACACTGTGTATCTATCTGTCTATCTATCTATCCACAGTGTCTGTTCTCCCCTCTCCTCTCTCTCCTCCCCCTCTCCCCTAGAGGTGCTTCCTAGTCCAGTGCTGCACTGGCGTTCAGAATCTCCACACTCTGCTTGGGTTGAATGCATCGCTATGAGGAGATGCTCATTGGCACAACTCTGTGTTTTGCCACTCATGCACAATAGCCTCCCAATGCTTTTTTTATGGGAATCAAATTTGATCTCAGTCACTGTGAGAACTGCACAGCGCTGGAAAAAAGTTGAGTAAAATCACCCTTTTTTCATGTAAAAAGAGGGGGCTGGGTAGTTAGTTTACCACTAGTGTCAGGAATACATGTTTGTGTTCCTTTAAAGTCTGTGTTATGAGAGGTTTCTTTATAAAATAATTTAGCTTATTTTTAGAGATTCATCATCTCAGAGTTTGGCGCATCAAGTTATTACTTCATGTTAATGGTTTGGCATGAGTGCAGTCACTTTCTGTGGTTTAATAGGTGTCTGGGAAAACATGGTGGATGTGGCAACCATAATAGTAAGTAGTTATTCTGCCATGGACCATCATATCAAGTATTTACCGTTACAAACTTGTATTCCCAACGCTTTAGTGCTCTGCTAACTAGTTAGATTACAACCTATCCTGGTGAAGGAGAAAGGTGATTTTACTTACCCTTTCTCTCTCGTAACACTGTTTTCTGCACTGCTGTCCCACCTCCTTGGCTCTCAGTCAATCCAATGCTTTTCCACAGGAAGGCATTGGGTGGCTAGTGCGCGTGCGAGGCATAAATGCTGCTCCATGTAAATCAAATGGTCTCTTTAAGATGATTTAAAAGAAATATCAGAGTTTTACTTTGCTTTTTCGGAGGAAGTGCCTCTAGTGACTGTCACTCTGACAGCAACTAGACATATTAACACATTGCCATTTCTGCAGAACAGTAATATTTTACATTGCAAGGTTAGGCAGACAGCAACGTGGTCTGGTGCCAACAGTTTCTCTTTACTAATGCATAATTAAAGGGACAGCAAAAAATATAAAAAGGTTGTGCCAAAAGGTGTAAAAAGATATTTTAAAAAGGCCAAATATTCACTGTCCACATATCGCAATTCCAACTGTTTCTGGATTCTTCGGGAATGTTGGTTCTTGGTTAGGATGCTTGTAAATATATGTAGGGAGATACAAAATAACATAATAGTCCAGACTGTTTTGGCAGAAAAATAGGGCTCACAACAGTAAAATATATGAGGTAACATTCACATGTTATAGAGCTTAAGCTAGCTCTAAGTAAAATTGCTTGCAGTGGTAAAATCCCCACTGATGGATATGTAACTTTTGAGGCGAATATCTCAATGTGCAGGTAGATATGTGAAAGAATAATAAAATATCCAATAGTGCTCACTAGGGATCGACCGCTACTCAGAGTGCCTGGCAGGAGGGAGCGCTATGCGCTCATCTCCTGCTGGTCACTCTGATCTAGCGCCCCCTGGGCCCTAAGGCGCCCACCTTATTGGTGCGCCGGCCCACTCATTCATTATCGGTATTGCCGATTAATATCGGCCGATAATATTGGCAAAACCAATAATCTGTCGATCCCTGGTGCTCGCTGTAAACATACATGTGTGATGCAGTACATATATGTATTATAATCACTACCAGGAATATGATGGTAAATAGTTGTCCAGAGCTTAAATAATGTCAAATCACTTGCAGTTTAAAATGCTTCCAACCCTCAAAGGAGATCCCAGTGAAGTCTCTATTTAAAGGGACATTTTAAGTATCCTAACTTACTGAAGCAGTTTTAGTGTATAGTTTATGCCTCTGCAGTCTCTTTACTCAATTATCTGCCATTTAGGAGTTAAATCACTTTGTTTAAGCATACCTGACCACATCACCCCACATCACATCTGTGCAGGAGATAAGAACATATAAAGTAAACCAACTGGGCCTTAAATCAGATTAAGAATTAAACCTTTTTTCTTTCAAGGTTACACAGTCAGGGGATGTGTGGCAAGTGCTGCATAGATTAAAAGGTTTATTCACTAAAGTGGGAATTGAGAGTTAATGTCAAATTAGTTGCTTCCAGTAGGGATCGACCGATTATCGGTTTTACTGATATTATCGGCCGATATTCTGTATTTTCGCCAATATAGATACCGATAATACCTCCCAGGACCGCCGGGCTTATTATAAGCCCGGCGGTCCTGGGAGGGGGTGGGAGGGAGGGCGGGGCGCAGGAAACTGTTACTTACCGCTCCTTCAGCTCCCTGTGTAAATCTTGCGAGTCCTGCGGCCGTCAGAGCATTGCCACGGGTTACCCTGGCAATGCTCCTCATGGCACGCAGACCGTGAGATTTACACTGGGGAGCTGAAAGAGCTGCTGGGAGGTAAGTAACAGCTTGCTGTGGGCCCTCCCACTGCTCAGTACATGCCACTGGACCACCAGGGAATGCCATATCCCCCCTCCCTGGCCAGGTAACAAGCAGGGAGGGGGAATAATAAATAAACCATATAAATATAAAAATTTTACACAAATTACATCCCTTCAGAAACACACACTGCATTATCTACACACACACTGCATTATCTACACACACACTGCATTATCTACACACACTACACACACTGCATTATCTACACACACTACACACACTGCATTATCTACACACACACTGCATTATCTACACACACTGCATTATCTACACACACTGCATTATCTACACACACTGCATTATCTACACACACTGCATTATCTACACACACTACACAAACACTGCATTATCTACACACACTACACACACTGCATTATCTACACACACACTGCATTATCTACACACACACTGCATTATCTACACACACACTGCATTATCTACACACACACTGCATTATCTACACACACACTGCATTATCTACACACACTACACACACACTGCATTATCTACACACACTACACACACTGCATTATCTACACACACTACACAAACACACACACACTGCATTATCTACACACACTGCATTATCTACACACACTACACAAACACACACACTACACAAACACACACTGCATTATCTACGCACACTGCATTATCTACGCACACTGCATTATCTGCACGCTACACAAACACACGCTGCATTATATACACACGCTGCACAAACACACGCTGCATTATATACACACGCTGCACAAACACACGCTGCATTATATACACACGCTGCACAAACACACACTCTGCATTATATACACACTCTGCATTATACGCAAACACACACTCTGCATTATACGCAAACACACACTCTGCATTATACAAACACTACACAAACACACACACTTCATTATATACACACTACACAAACACTACACAAACACACACACTCTGCATTATATACACACTACACAAACACACACACTCTGCATTATATACACACTCCGCATTATACACACACACTACACAAAAACACACACACTCTGCATTCATTATATATACACACTGCACAAACACATTGCATCCACCAAACACACACTGCTCCCCTGTCTAAACACACTGCATCCACTGCGTGTGGCATGTATATTTTGTGCATTTACCTTAAGAAATTGTTTATTTTTTCAAAATGGTAAATGTACAGAATTTCGGCTATAGGCCTGAAAGTTCACAGATTATCGGTATCGGCTCTAAAAAATCAATATCGGTCAATCCCTAGCTTCCAGATTGGCCACTTTAGCCTTTAATTTGACATTCAGTTTTGATTCTTACTCTTATCAAGAAACCCGAAAGTAGTTTAACTCCTACATGACAGATAACTCAGCAGTGCGAATGCAGAAGCATAATACATACACCAAAACTGCTTTATTAAGCTGAAGTTGTTTTGGTGCTTTGAGTATCCCATTAACAGTAATGCATTATCACAGTCAATCTTACCTGACCTCCGGTACGGTGCCGGGTTGGGTTAATTACTAATCTCATACAATCACTGCTGTCCTGTCTGGATAAAGTGAATTTTTTTTCTAAACCGTTTGCCATGAAATTAGAGGCCGGTGCTCAGAGACTTGAAAGGGAAACTATAATGTAAGGAATACAAAGTAGGGATCGACCGATATTGATTTTATTTTTGTGTAGTGTGTGTGTGTGTATAGTGGATGCAGTGTGTTTGTGTAGTGTGTGTGTGTGTATAGTGGATGCAGTGGATGCAGTGTGTTTGTGTAGTGTGTGTGTGTGTATAGTGGATGCAGTGTTTGTGCATTGTGTGTTTGTGCAGCGAGTGTTCTGTAGGTATGGAAGTTTTTAAAATGAGGAGTGGGGAGGCATTTTTATTGTTTTTACACTTAAAAAAAAAAAAAAAATTTAATTTTTTAAAATTGTTTTAGTCCCCCCTCCCTGCTTCTTGCGTGGCCAGGGAGGTGGCATATGGTGGTCCGTTGGCATGGACTGTGCAGGGGGGGGCCCCGCAGGACTCTTACTTACCTTCCCACTAGCTCCCCTGTGTAACTCTCGCGGTCTGTGTGTCGCGCGGAGTGTTGTCATTGTAACCCGTGGCAACACTCTGACGGCTGTGAGACTCTCAAGAGTTAGACAGGGGAGCTGAAAGGAGTTGCCGGGAAGGTAAGTAAGAGTGTGTTGGGCCCCCAGGGACCGCCGTGGGCCCACCTAGACCCTGATGGCTGCCCTGGTCTGCATTATCAGCAATATCTGTATTTTTATTGGTCGATATCGATGTTGCTGAAAATACAGAATGTCGGCCGATAATATTGGCCATACTGATCATCGGTCGATCCCTAATACAAAGTTGGCAAGCCTCTAAATTGGTGCCCAAGTGCACCTGCGCTGGCTCGTGCAAGCACACACTGTTGCGTGTGCGCTCTATGGCTCATGCACGTCTGGTCTGAGGTCTGTGTGGGAGTCCAACTGGAGTCAAGCTAGGATACTCCTCAGACATAAAATACTTGAGCAAGATGAAGTGCTTTTGGGTGTGGATTGGTCCTTTTAATTATGCATTTTACAAAAGCTGCAGTTTTCTTGTCTGCAGCCTTACCCTTCTAACACCACCCAGACTTTCTGTCTGTCTAATCACGGACTTAACAATGCGGCTCCATTAACCCCTTAAGGACCAAACTTCTGGAATAAAAGGGAATCATGACATGTCACACATGTCATGTGTCCTTAAGGGGTCAAATGCTTTGTAAGGCAGGTGCTCTGGGCAGTTGTCTGCGTCGAAGTTTAGCTACACTGAACAGGAAATAACAGGACCGGTTGTCTTGTTGACAGCATGGTTAATTTATAAAAGTACAGATTTCTATTGAAATTTGCACTTTTTGGAATGCATATAAAGCATTTGAGAAAGCTAAAGTGCCTTAAGGGTCTGGAATATCCTTTTAATTTTACAAATTTTAAGGTAGAACTTTTCATGACCCTCTGAAGAAATAAATAGCTGTGATACAATGGTTGACCTACATGTTTGGAATATGGCTCCCTTGTATAGGTGGTAGGGGAGCATAAGCCAGTCTTCCAATAATCCAGATAATACAAAACCTGAGCACCACAACTCCTCCTCTTCAGACATACAAGATTTTTTTAGTGCAACCTGAGCAGAAAAAAGATTGCACAACTTTTTCATAATATGGCCTTCCCCTGACCAGCAGGTTCTGTAATTGAAATATTGCTAAATCACTTCATGTACTGGGTGCTGCACATTTACACCTTGCGCAGCTGGCGAGAAGACAATATTGTGATGGAGTCTTTGTCTTGTTTATAACACGGTGGACTTGTCACCTGTAATGTGCACACATGTCCAATGTGCGTTGTCACTCAGAAATTGGAGTATTAACCTCTGTATACAGCTATAAATCTTTCCAAATGCAAAACACGCATGTTGTATGTTTAGTTTATTCTGCATGATACATTCTGAAATTCAGTTTTATACTGCTCTGCCAATATGGTGGCAGTACATATGGGTTGTGCTTCGTAATTGGGATAAGCATCTGCAAGATAGGTAATTATGAAAAGTCCTTCCCCCTTTACCCTATTAAGGGCTTCCCCTGGCAAACCCACCTCAGTTCTTCCTTGTCCCAGCACGGGACGGGTCAAGCATCTGTTTAAGGTGAGGCACACAGGTTGCTGTCTGGGGGAGGAAGCCCGATACCTGCCCAGGTGGTAGGATGAGCGGCATGGCTCCGTTCGTGGAGGTTCCAGAGACCTTTCTGTTTAACTTTGCGCCAAGTATGTTCCGGCTTGGTGAGTATGGGCGGGGTGACGCATTCATTATGTTGAAGGCCATGCGCCGGGGCACATCGGTGGAACGCACGCCAGGATGATGTTGCGTTCCACTGACGTTACGGGAAACCGCCGTGTGTGGATTGCTGTGCTGTTCCCTCTGGCAGCAGGAAGCTTGTCAGAAGGGTTCCCTGTGTCACCAACCCCCAATTGGTCTTCGTATATACTGGTTAGAAGTTTATTTAAAGCAATGGGCTTCTTAGGCCACCCAGGAAGTTCTGTTTCCCTCCTGGGATCTTTCTTCAGTCTGTCAGGTCCCCTTTTACTTTGGAGGCTGTTCCTTTTAATATGCTAAAGCTTGAGGCATTTTCAGGCTAGATGTACTCTCTGCCTCTAAAATTGCATTAGGGTGTAGGTACTTCAAACTGTTTAGGCATAAGGCCCACCCGATTGGGAATCTTGCTATGTCCCATAAATACTGCCACCATATGTCAGAAAAAAATGAAATTTTCACTCACCGTAAATTCTTTTTCTTAATATGGTGGCAGTACAAATCTCACTCCCTCTAAATTACAACTTTGCTTACAGTGTGTGGCTTAGGTGTGTATTCTTGCTACGACTGAGGTGGGTTTGCCGTGGGAAGCCCTTTATAGGATAAAGGGGAGGGACTTTTCTTAATCACCTATCTTGCAGATGCTTGTCCCAATTGGGAAGCACAACCCATACGTACTGCCACCATATTTAGAAATAAAGAATCCACAGTGAGTAAAAATTTCTGTTTTTAATGCCCACCCATTTTTAGTCTTCTGCTCTGTTAAATTCGAAGGAAGCAAGGAGCCTCTATTTCAATTAATATGAGAAAGGTGTGAGAAGAGAATGAGATTGAATGAGGGTTAAAGAGGCACATGCACCAACTGCCACGCTTCATTCACCGGGAAAATGGAGGCTGAAGAGAGTCCTCTCCCTGACATAAAACTCTGCGGCAGTTGGTGAATCTGTTTAACATTGTGATTGTGCAGCTGCCTTGATCGTTTGGGGCCTCAGGCAATCGACCAACTTATTGCCCCGTCTCATTTGTGGTAAGCAGATAAGGTGGCCAGACTGTCAGGGTTTTATGGGGAATGTCGTTCCCACTGGGTGTGACTCATTGTTTTTGGTAAAATATTGTTAATCAATGTGGTTTTATTCATTGTTTCATTATCAAAATATTATTAAAGGACCACTATAGGCACCCAGACCATTTCAGCTCAATGAAGTGGTCTGGGTGCCAGGTCCCTCTAGTTTTAACCCTGCAACTGAAAACATAGCAGTTTCAGAGATACTGCTATGTTCACACTGAGGGTTAATCCAGCCTATAGTGGCTGTCTCACTGACAGACGCTAGAGGCCGCTTCCGCGATTCTCACTGTGAAAATCACAGTGAGAAAATGCTGACGTCCATAGGAAAGCATTGAGCAATGCTTTCCTATAGACTGTTTTAATGCGCGTGCGGCTCTTGGTAAGTGGCTGAAAGAGTTTTAACCCCTTCAGCCCGGTGGGGGGGGGGCCTAAGGATTACATAGTGCCAGGAATACGAGTTTGTTTTCCTGGCACTGTAGTGCTCCCTTAAGGGGAATCTGTAAGAGCCTGCCTCGGACGTGAAATAAGCTGAAAAGTGTATTTAATATCTGATGAAACCAAAAAAAGTTGTAATCCATTTTGAGAGCGAAACCAGATTTACAGTGGATTTCCATTTTCATACTGAAAGCTGTCTTGGGGCAGAAATTCTGGTACTTCGCTAGAACAGTGAGTCTTAGTGCTTCTCTGTTTATTTTTTCTATTTTTATCTGTTTGTTGGTGTATGTAATTTGAACGTCAACATGTTACTGCTCTTTTAAATTTCTTTTTTTTATATTTTTATTAAAATCACTTTTAAACTGGCCTATAATCTATTTCCAAGACAAACTCCTCACTCCAGCCTGATCTTTCTCTTTTTCTATTCAGCCATTTTTTGAAGTCACCATGAGGTCAGGAGCAGAGGTTTTGTGCGAGGGAAACACATCCACCGAGGCTGCCGAACCTGAAGAGAGTGTGATTATAATCAGTGATGATGAAGGGGAAGTTACACTCGGCCTTGGGAATTCTGTGCTGTTGATAGAAGATGCTGGAGGTGAGTGTCTTCTGTTACTTTAAAAAATTAAAAATAATAATAATTCATGTGTTAGTGTGAAATATACCCTTCTACATAAGGTCGGCCCCAGTGGCATATTCAGCCTGCTTTCACTATAATTGTCAGCATGAACTAACCCACTCGCACACTCTCATAAGCATGGCGGTTAGTACTTTTAGTTGGTAGCTCAGATTTCCCCCACACCTAGCCATGCTTCTCCAACTCGTGCCACTAGGGTAGATATGCCCTTCTGCAATGTGACATGCTACTGTTGACTCTAGATAGCCTACATTTGTCCTCGTGGCATACATGCTGAGATTTAGTTCATTTCTTTTATTTGTTTCTTAAACATGTACCTGCATCTTAGCAAAATGTGTGCTAGTGCCTGTTAGGTTTTATGTATTAATGTTGACAACCCACTGACATAGCTAAGGACGCCTGTTTCTAACATCTACTCCTTAAAAATGTGCCGCTACTTCCATGCCATCTACGTGACTTAATGTGGTATCACTGTACTTAAATATGCTGTTGTGCCATCGCATGATGTTTTGTTACCGGTGCACAACCAAAAATAAAGAATTAAAAAAATAAAATAAAAAGCCACTGTACCCCTTATACTCTGGAATACCACCAACATTAGCGATCACAATAGGGGTGATGGGCACCAGCTCCATATACGGGACCAGGCTTCGAAGGGCTGTGGAAGGAGATGTTGACATGTTATTTTATCTGCAGGACGATCATAGTCTATGTGCATACTGCTGTATTTTTACCCTTGTTCCTCATCTTTTTTTCTTTCTGTACCTCTCCCCTTCCAATCCACTGGTACATGCTAATTTCGAGTTTTACTCTGACATGAGTGTGTGCGCTACGTTCTCTGTACCAATACTGGTACACTTTTAAATTACGGAATGTACTGAACTGTACCTGTTCCTTTTTCTATGGAAAAAAACAAAACAAAAAAAATGCAATAAATTATGATCGGGGGGGGGAGGGGAAGGATTTTTACCAACAAAAAAGGCACTGATGGCCTTGCTTCCTCCATGGCATGTACATTCGAATGCTCCTTGTAGACATTGGGGACAGTGAGTGCTGTGCAAGGAGCCAGTGCTTCTCAAGTTCGCCAGCTTAAAAGTGGTACTGTTGCCATGTGACATGTACACTTGCATGGTAACAGGAGGTAACCCTTGTTTAAATAATTTCCCTCCTTGGTGCTACCACTTTTCAGTCCAGCTTAATCTGCGAGTGTCTGGATCACTGGTGCTCTTTGGTGCTCGTGACAAGATGTGGCATTCAAAAGCTGTTTTAAACTGTATTCATGGTCATAAGGATTCTGTTTGAAAAACTCAAATTAGGGATCGACCGATATTGATTTTTTAGAGCCGATACCGATACCGATATTCTGTGAACTTTCAGGCCGATAGCCGATATAATTTGCCGATATTCTGTACATTTACCATTTTGGAAAATAAAAACTATTTCTAAAGGTAAATGCACAAAATATACATGCAATGTGCAGTGGATGCAGTGTGACAGGGGAGCTGTGTGTGTTTGTGTAGTGTGTGTAGTGGATGCAGTGTGTGTTTGTGTAGTGTGTGTGTTGTGGATGCAGTGTGTGGAGGATGCAATGTGTGTTTGTGTAGGGGATGCAGTGTGTATTTGTCTAGTGTGTGTAGTGGATGCAGTGTGTATTAGTGTAGTGTGTATATAATGAAAGCAGAGTGTGTGGGTAGTGTGCGTAAAGTGAATGCTGTATATACTAAATTCAAAGTGTGTGTGTGTGTGTATATAATGAATGCAGAGTGTGTGTGTATTTGTGTAGTGTGTGTATAGTGAATGTAGTGTGTTTATATAATGCAGAGTGTGTATATAATGCAGTGTGTTTGTGTAGTGTGCATTATATAAACACACTACACAAACACTGCATTATATAAACACTACACAAACACTGCATTATATAAACACTACACAAACACACACACTGCATTATATACACACTACACAAACACACACTGCACAAACACACTACACAAACACACTGCATTATATAAACACTATACAAACACACACTGCATTATATAAACACACTACACAAACACACACTGCATTATATAAACACACTACACAAACACACACTGCATTATACAAACACACTACACAAACACACACTGCATTATACACACACTACACAAACACACACTGCATTATACACACACACTATACAAACGCACACACTGAATTATATACACACACTATACAAACACACACTGCATTATATAAACACACTACACAAACACTGCATTATATACACAGTGTGTTTGTATAGTGTGTGTATATAATGCAGTGTATTTGTGTGCATTGTATACAAACACACACACACACACACACTATACAAACACACACTGTATTATATACATAGTGTGTTTGTGTAGTGTATGTGTATATAATGCAGTGTGTGAGGGGGCATTTTTTATTAAATTATTTAAAAAAAAATGTATAATTAATTATTATTTATTTTTGTTGTCCCCCCTCCCTGCTTGTTACCTGGCCAGGGAGGGGGGATATGACAGTTCCTGGTGGTCCAGTGGTATTGGCTGAGCTGGGGGGGGCGGGCAGCAAGCGCTTACTCACCTCCCAGCAGCTCCTCCAGCTCCCCAATGCAACTCTCGCGGCCAGCGTGTCGCGCGGAGCGTTGCCATGGTGATCCATGGCAACGCTCTGACGGCCGCGGGTCTCGCGAGAGTTGCACTGGGGAGCTGGAGGAGCTGCTGGGAGGTGAGTAAGCGCTTGCTGCCCGCCCCCCCCCGGACCGCTGGGCTTGTAATGAGCCTGGCGGTCCTAGGAGGTATTATCGGCAATATCGGTATCTGAATTGGCCGATACCGATATTGCCGAGAATACCGAATATCGGCCGATTATATCGGTAAAACCGATAATCGGTCGATCCCTAACTCAAATGACTCAGTAGCTTTAAGAAATGGACTGTAAAATGCTTCCTTGTGTTTGAGTTGATTAACCCATGCGCCATCATACAGCTTTTAGTGCTAATCCCACAATCTGGGACTCCGCATTTCTTTATTACATACTCCTTCTCACACTAGAACTCGCTCACTGACCTAATGTGATTTTTAAAAAGGTTAAAAAGCCCAAAACAAACATCAGAAATTGACAAAATCTTAATAACTGTCCCTGTTCGCAGTATGTATACCGTATTAGCTCACTTTACAGAGGGGACCAGCTATACCAGTGGTGGCAAACCTACCTATAGTATGGGTGTCAGTGCTGGCACTGGAGACCTTTGAGATGAGTCTCAATGTGCAGTCCCATAACAAAATGCCAGGCAGGTCCCCTGTATATGGATTAGAAATCTGTCATGTATAGCTGATACCCCTCTAAGAATAGTGGGCAATACTGGGTGCCACATCTAGGGAGACCCTTCAATACATGAAAAAGGAATAGAAGGAGTAGATTTTTCTTCATTATTTTTCTCAACTCTGTTATACTCTATTCTCCATAAACACGGCAATGGGTTTTATGGGAGGCGTTTACAAATAATTTGACACTTACCTGGCTCTGAAAGTACTCGATTAAGCAAGTAGTAAATTCAAGCACAATTTGCTCTCCCTAACGCACTTCTTACATGGAATGCCTGAAGGGACAAATCAGCTGAATCGTCTACAAATATATAGGTGAAAATGCTATTTAAAAAAAAATAATAATGATAATAATTTGATGTAATTGTCTTTGTAGAAAAGTCTTTTATTCGTGAGAAGACAGCCGAGGAGGTACTGGATGAGGAGCTGGCCATTACTTTCAGCAAGCAAGCACATGTAATGCCCCACGCAAGATATGATTGTCCGAAGCACCCTTTCATGTAAGCATGTTACATGAGATGGGCCATAGTGACGAGTAACATAGTGCGTAATGAAGTATAAATGCCAATATTCCTGTGTCCTAGGCGCTCTGAACAAGAAACTCAAGTCCCGCTGGACGGGAACGCAAATTCCTGCACTGAATGCTACTGCTACCTCTGCGATAAGCTTTCCTCGGAGGTAATGTCTTGAATGTTTTTTTTAAATCTGTGACTTCTGCTTTTACTGTGGTTAAAACTTGGTGTGTTCGGAGTGATCCTTGTGGGCGTTATAAAACGTGCTGAAAAGTGGAGATACATATAGAACATATTACAGGATAGTGATGTCATTTTGTGCCACTGACAAGATGAAATATGAATTGAAAGCGAGAATAAAAACCTGCTGGTATAGGAGGCAGAGGTGTTGGTTTCTGTTCTCTTTTAAAAGGGAAACATAAGCTGATAGCAGATTAATTCTAAGGTGCATACATTTTTCTTTCTTACCTCAAAACAGTGTCAAAACTGGACAGTATTCTCCATCTGCCACTGTAATGCGCATAACAAGAGTAAATACTGGAAAGAGCAGAGAGACACTGCTTTGGCTGGGGTGCTTACTATATTTAATTTGGACCTCACAGAGATTGACTCCGAGCTTCGAGAAGGAGGTATGTGTCAAATGTTTAATCTTGATGATTTTATGTATATACCTTAAAAGAAAAGTACTCTTCACCGACTCTTATTCCTGTACCAGCTGCCTGATATCAGTTCTATCCAAATTGGGGGTGCACCCTCCTAAAGTGCAACTTGCACTGTGCTCTCACTGCTCCCTGGGGAGAGAAACCAGCCACTGACCGTGGTTCTGTCAATCGGAGCTCACTGCCCAGTTTACTAAACAGTGAATCTGGTTGTGTTTAAACAGATAACTGCAGGCAGTGAAGCTGCGTACCGTTTACAGAGCAGTTATATTCTTTATTTTCAAAGGAGGCCTGATTGTGCATGGATCTCTCTGCCAATGGGCCAGCTGGCATAATTGTGTCTGATGCATTATGATGGTGCTGATGTTCCCTCAAAATGAAAGTGCTGGATATTTGTATATTTTTCCCTCCAATAAGTGCATTGACAGTGTTTTGTTGATTGATCACAATGACATTTCCATGTTAAGTGCTCGCTCCCTGACTTTTCATTCCTGTCTTTATTGAGCTGGAAACACATAGGGCCTGTTTGCATGACAAAACATGTTTCAGTATATTGACCTGACTCTTATCAAAATATTCTGGGGGAACTTTATCTTCCAAATGATCTTCTGTTTGCCTTAGGGAACCTGTTGCAGAACTTCATCAGCGAACTCTCTGTGGCATACAACAAGTATTTGGAAGGCACATTAGTGCCCCGCGATGACCTTTATGCGTGCATGTGTCAGTGTCATTGCCTAAAGTCTGTGAACAAATGCAATTTATGCCGAGTTAATCACTCCCAAATCCTCTTCTACAGGTAATATTGGTGCATGCAACTTTTTTGCTTCGTGTTTATATAAGTGGAACTAAAACCCTCTTATCTTAAACCTTTTCTCCGTTTTTACACTATTCTTGAAGCATTCTCCCTGGCATGCCCTGTTCCTTATCTTTTATTAAAGCAAAACTTATTTGCACAGCTTCAATGATTAGAAAGTCATTTCTAGTTACAGACCATTTCTCTGATTTATTTGCATCATTCTGATCAGGACACCCTACTGCTTCTACTGACATGTTCTTATTTCCTTCTTTTTAATATCACACTAATATTGGTTTCTGTTTTGTTTGATTTTGTTTTTCGTATTATTTAACAAAATCTCTCCCTCTCCCCAGTTATACCTCCGTATTCAAATTGGTGACAGAATATTTAAACAAAGCAGAAACTAAAAGTCCGAAGACGGCCGCAGTGATGCTGCTGGGTGTAGCCAAAGAGTTAACCTTTCATAAGGCAGCACCTAGGTGAGTATGAAATCTGGTCTTAAAGGGTCACTACAGACCACTGAATTACTTTAGCTTACTAGAAAGCCTTGTGTGAAGAGAGCACGTGCCTTGCAAAGACTTCTCATTGAGCTGCATTGGAAAGTCTGTGATTGGACAGCCACTGAAAGTCTGGGCCAGGTTAGAAGGGGAGGGCTTGCAAAGGCAGCAGACAAGAGCACTGCAGGTTTTACAAGCTGAATTTACATATATCCCCAAATTAAAAAAAAAAGGCATAATTAAATACATGAAAGTTTTCATTTGGGATAAATCTACAAAACAGTGATAATTTATTTTGTATTTGGGCTACCGAGTGTCCCTTTAATTAAACCATGGACTGCACAGTTCTTTGACCATGGTTGTTTTTTGGATCACAACCCATATGGTTTAAAAAGCTGTTTTAAACCACTTTTTCATTGCGAAAGATACCTGCAGAAATGTGGAATGAAGTTTACATGATGCCTGTCTTTGCCACTCTGCATATTTAGCTAAGTATTGGAGAATTGTTCTGGCTGCATGTTGAGTGAGCAGTGGGAGGATGCAACATGTTTTGGGGAGCTGTGTTCGTGGAGGGGCCAGAATATGTCAGGTCTTTCCACTCAATGGCTCTCATATCGCCTGCTAATGAAAACTTAGCTTCAGAGATCAGGCAGAGGGAATGAGTGCTCCCTGCCATGCTTCAGAACAAAAATTTGGAAACAGTCTGAAAAGTGAAATGTGGGGTGTGGGAGAGACACAGACAGAAGGGGGTTGTAGAAGAGGGAGACACAGAGCAGATCGCTGTAATTATTCAATCAGAAACATCATATGGCAGGGGCCCCATGTAAGGATTTCTTTCTAGAAAGGTGTTGCACCCCCTATTTTACCTGCTTTATAACGTTTACATTTCTGGGATACTTGTCGATACAATCTGTAAGTCATAATGTATTTTGTTTGTTTTTCTTGCAGTGCTTTCACATATAAAGAACCCAGTGCAAATCTAAAACCGGCTACAGTCCTTTTAATGACAAGGTACAGCCATAGATTTTGCTCCTATAGAGAGTACCTTTCAAATTGACTATACGTGAGTGGATGTTATGAAAAATGCTGTGTGGTCACCATGTAAAGATGCTTTTGATCTATACATGTGCACTTTATATTTTGAAATATCTTATTATGCAAGATGATTCTTGTCACATTAAAGCGGCTCTGTCATGACCTGATTGAAATTTCTTTTGCTAACTTTAGTATCTAACTTGTCTGTTCAAGAGAGGCCACATATGATTGCCATCTTAAAATAATTCAATTTAATTTTTTTACATTTAATGCACATTTCATGCAAATATAATATAAAACACCAAGATATCTACAAATATAAATACAAAAACAGAACATAGGATAATATTGTAGTGTTTCCATGGTAATTACTCTCCTAAATTGAAGTGGTTAGTAGGCATATCACTTTCTTTTGGGCAGTTATGTTCTAAAAATGAAACATTCTCACGTTTTTGTCTTTCCCCTGAATAGTGTATACAGATTTTATACACACACCCATCTCCTCTAATCCTAGTTCTATTTGTTCTGAAATTAAATGGATTTCCAACAGAGATGGGAATTGAAAAAGTGTTATGTGGTCAGTGGAATGTGGGGAAGTGTTATGTTTTCTACAACCAAATGTACCGGTCATGTTGGTAAATTGTTCGATAATTGAATGTAAATCTTGACATGGCGGCTCTGGAGCTATGATTATCATCTATTTTCAGGATTGTATCCATTCTCCAAGGGCTATTGGTTTTATCTGATTTCCCTAAGAATATCTTTGAGAAGTTCGTAGTATTTTTCCGATCCCTTCAGCTTCCTCCTCATTTTTTCTCTTTTACGAACGGGTAAGTGAATCAAAGAGGATTTTAAAGAGGGCCTGACTGTTCTATGATCTTCCAAGGGACCGCTCATATGGATTTATCAAATGTTATATAAATGTATTTGTATACGGATCAAGTAAAAAAAAAATATTACATGTCCGCTTTTGTAATTTAAACACACGTTTAAAATAAGTCTGAAAATGCTCAAATATGTAAACTAAACTTTCAATTATATTTGCAAGATAACGGAGGGAGTTACTTTTGCTATGTAAATAGATTAAGGGGACACTATAGTCAGCAGAACAACTACAGCTTAATGTCGTTCTGGTGAGTATAGTCAGTCCCTTTAGGCTTTTTGAGACAGTGCTCCCTAGAGACACCTCCACTGGCCACTCATCAGACGGCCACTACAGGTGCTTACTGGGTCACTGAGTAAGGAGAAGCTGAACTTTTCTCATAGGGATGCATTGGTTCAATGCATCTCTATGAGGAGATGCTGATTGGCCAGAGTGGCTTTGTCCCCGCCCTGTGCCTCCTTGGCTGAGATCATCAGAATTGACAATCTCAGCCAATCCAATGCTTTCCTATAGGAAATAAACACGAGATGTACTCTTTACCTTTTCAGAAAGACTGTTCTATTAGAGTACAGCTTTATTTATAAAAAAAATATTTAATTCAAGCTAATAAGCAAAGAAAGAAACTTGCAGCAGATCACATTGTTTCATGCAGTCACTGTAGTTTTAAATAGTAACTTTATTTGTGTCTTTTTAAAATACAGTATGAACAACATTGGTAAGGAATAGTATAGCAAACCACTAACAACTCACGTCTGCCATGCTCTGAGCACTCAGGCTGTGGGTCACTTGGAGTTGGATTAGAGATTATCTCAAGGCAATCCTGCACAGATGCCGTCTTGATGCCTTGTTTATGAATAGTTTCATTAAAAGGTGAATTGCAGTAATAATTATTAGTCCTATGAGATGGATTTCAAAAATATTTCTGTCTCAAGAAGTGTCCGATTTACATTAAAATATTAATTTCCTAACCGGTTTCAAAGACCTTAAAGGTTTACCTAGCTCTCTTCCAATGAAGGTATCGGTAAAACCTTGGTCAGTGGTTCTTGAGGGCTGTTGGAATTATTGGTACATGATATTAGGCGTTACATTCCTCACGATGCTCAGACAGCCCATAGTCTCCCTTGAGTATATTAGAAGTACATTTTAGAGCTCCGGAACTTTCTAAATCTCTAATTCTTGGATCTTGGTGCACAATATGCTGTTGTGTGGTGTTGAAAATTGAAAAACACCAATGGTATTTCTGTTTTACAGCTTCATGGTATGAAGAATATATATTATATAAGTTCTTTCTTTTTCCTCTCCACCAGCCTCAATGTTCTCACGTGGGACGATCCCTTATTGGTATCCGTGTTAGCAGGCCAGAACCTGACTGGTCAGCGCACAAAGAAAGGGAAGAAGGAGTTTCTCTGGGAATCCCTGCCAGTTGTCCAGGCCAGAGTGAAAAAGCTAGAGAATGAGCAGAGGTAAGTGCTCCGCTACGGCACTTTTCTGGCTGTTGAAGTTTTTCTTAGGAGTCTTGGAGGGGAATGGGTTGGGTGTATGTTCTCCCCATTGTTCCTTGCATGGTGTCTCACTGTGCGTATCTGTACATACACACAGACTTTAATTCTGCACTATAAGCAGGAAATTCCGCTAATATCAAATCATCTCATCTGTCTGTTTCTTTCTTAACGTAAATCACAAACTCACATAATGTGAAATGCTTGAATCTCTCTTTTCAGTGTGTCGGAGAAAGATTGTTACAGGGGTGCAGGGAATGTTACCAGGCTTTTAGACGCTTAAATGTCCAGAAATGTTGTCTTTAACCCCTTAAGGACACATGACGTGTGACACGTCATGATTCCCTTTTATTCCAGAAGGGGTTAACCATCATAGACTATACGTGAGAACATCTTGGGAATTTGTAGAACAAAAAAATTATCTCAATACAGGAATATTGGGCCTTTATTACTGTCAATTTATTTCATTACATTAAAAAAAAAAAATTAATAAAGCCAGTAAATGCACTATGCAAAGGGTGGGAAAGAATAAAGCTCAAAGGTGGGTAAAATGTGCCTGTAAGGATCCATTCAAATAATACAGCAAGGTTTAAAACATGACTCTTTTCCATTTCTTTTTTTTATGTAATTTTCTATTCCTCTAGTGAAAGTATTTTCATCTGGATATATACTGTCTCCTGCTGATACTGAATAGGTAGCCAACTGAAAACTAAAAGGAAGACTTTAGAACTGATTTTCATTATTAAACCTGTCTGTTTGACACTGATTTTGTCCTCACAGCTTTATAACAAAGAGGTTGTGGGCTTAAACAAGGTAAAATCATGCAGCTTTTGCACCAAACAAAAAATCCAACAAAATAGTCAATTACTAATGGGCCTTATATTTACAAAGCAAATGTAAAATGTTTCTACAGATAACGGAGAGGCAGACATTTTGTTTAGATTAAATATTCACCAAATCTTTCTCGTTCTCTAGTTACAGGCAGCTGGTCCGTTACCTGAATGCTGTGCGCTGCTCTGAAGCATTTGGGTAAGTAATTCTTGTGATCTAATACAATCCATTGAAGGGGAGCAGACACTTCTGAATAACTGAAAGTCACCTGGAGTTTGTGTTTACTTGTTTTTGTCATTCTCTGTTTTCCTTTAGTTTTAATTTAAAGATTTAGTAGTTGACATGACAATCTGGTTCAGCCTTGGCACAGACAGGGCACACATTGTTTTGGAGGATGTGAAATATCTATGCTGAATGATGCGGAGGCAAGATGGAGGAGCTGAGGCTAGGGCTAAATTTAGCAGCGGATGTATACATTTTATTTTAGAGGATAAGTCCGCAATGCCTAAATTTCTCACTTTTTCTTTAACTGTTAACTTGACAAAATAGAATTAACATAAGCAATAAATTAGAAAAATGGGAAGCTTCGTTATAAACCTTGCCTTTTCACTTTGTAACCATATAGGTTAAACGCTTTGAGGCAGAAGACGTGTTTTTACATGTGCAAATATGGCGAATATGCAAACGCGGCCTATGCGTTGTTGAGCATGAAGGGCATGGCCTGCAGTATATCTAGCATGCTAACCCCAACGCAGTTTGAGTTGTATCTAACCATGTTCCGAACTAGCAGCTGCCCTGCAGGAAATGAACTAGTACAACATGGAGTCTGGATACCTTTTCAAGGTGAGCGATGCATGATTTCTTGGTTTTACTGTATATTCGTTTAGTCTTCGTGTGTCTTCTGGAGACATCTTGTGTGGTGGGAAGAATGTGTGACAATAGTTGAACAGATTTAATAAATATCCCAGAGCAAAGCATGAAATGCATTGTAGGTGGTAAAAATTGTCCTCGGCTGATTACAGAGCCATTTTCTAACTCTCTCTCCATTTAGCTACTCTATAACATCTCTCCACTATGTTTATAGTTTTGCAGAACGTTATTCCAAAAGAATTTCTCATTGCCACTTATCCTCCTGCCAGAAAGACTTCTTATCAATGCATGCACAGTACTCGGCCCATAACCGCACCAAGTGAGCTGATTTAATTCACAAAGTGGCTGCAGACCATTAGAGTAAATACAAACCGGAAGCTGACATCCTTACTATATGTTTCACTGGGTGTCCTCTGCTTCTAATACAAGTTGCTTTGTAGTTCAGATTACCTGTATGCTTACATTTGATAGGGAAGTCTTTTTATTTATTTTTTTTCTCTGTGGTGAGGAAGTCAGGCTAAAGTACCAGGCTTTTGGTGCGGCATTCTACAAACGTTTTTTTTTCTTCTTTACTTGCAAAATCTATACATTCCGTCCTCGCTTACTGAATGGGTTCCGTTTTTACGACTCGGTCGTAAAATGAATTGGTTGGTAAGTGAGGATGCTCTAGAGAGCAGGTCTACTTTCAGGGGAATTTCCCCAAACATAGACCAGCTCCTCTAACGTGAGGAATCCCTCGAATCCCCACGCTAGAGAGCTGGTCACAAGTCGAAGCAGTCGTAAAGCAGGTAGGATCCACCTGTATACATTTGGGCAAGCAAAACCCATCAAGTACATAAATAATAAGAAAAGGTTTACTTTTGTTATATGCTAACTTATCTAGGTGAAAATTTTTTGCCCTGGCAAGCAGAAATTCCATGTAACAGCGAAATTCCAACACCATCAATTTGAGTATACCAGAAAGATTTTTTTTCTTAATGAAATTCTCACTTGGGTTCAGTCCAGACATGATGGCGCACATTGTAATGGGATGTTTGATATATCTAAAGTGAACGTTTCCCTTCTGCAATAGACCTAATTATATCCCTATTTAGACAAGTCATTGAAATTGATGTCACTATTGCAGAAGTAGGAAATTCCACATTAGTGATCTAAAATGAGACTGGGACTAAAACAATTTGACTGGTTATTGTGGGATAGCACCAGGGGACCCCTGGCACCGTAACCACTACAGCTGATTTTAAGGTGCCTACTCTAGTAGATATGTGTGTGTATTATACAGTGTTAAAACATGAGACTATTATTTTTAATAAATGCCACCATTGTGAATTGTCCGATTTGTTAATGTTATGTATAAATTCTTCTTCTTCTGTTTCTTAGGAAATCCAATGAAGAAAGGGATATTGGTGCGCTGTGCTATCAGAATTATTTATAGTAATAGAATGCTGGCTCAAGAGGTGGGTGAATTTGAGATTTTCCAGGTTTTTAATGAAGTATTTTAATGTATATGAAGTCTGTTGTGTGTGGATAAAGATATGGCTACAAATTCCCACTAGTTCTGTATAGCAATGTGTTAGAAAATCTATACCATGAAAGGGCAAGGTTTAAGGTGTCTCTTGTAGACACATGTGGGGATTGATCCAAGGTTACATGTTATGACACTTGTGCTCTTTTTAAGAAGCCTTTACTTCTATCTATACATTGCGATAGCAGATTTGCTAGCAAATATATAGATTGCAGAGAAAAACTTGTTTAAAAATAGGTCTTTCTCCTACCTGTCAGTCAGTCAAGGCTGGAGTGATAAGCAGGACCACGGGTGGTCCTTCTGATCTCCAAGCACAGCATGTACAGCAATTGCACCTTGGTTGCTATGGTAAATCCATAGCGGACGCTGTTCATGCTGTTTTGGGAGTATAGAAATGCAGAGACTGAAGTTACTCCTTTCAGACACGAGAATAAAGCCAGCGTGCAGACGTCGCAGAGATGTCTGATGAGGACATGGCATTGCTGGTGTCAGGTGAGTCATGGCAGGTTCACTTTAACTTTTCTGTTCAGTTTAGGAAATGAGGAAAGGAAAACAAAACTGTGTTGACCTGCATGCCTTTAAAATGCTATAGCTTAAACAACTGATTGTAGGGGGAAATTATAAAGGAAACTTGCTGATTTGTTTGTATAGTATGCCTCCTACTGGCTGATTTCTGAAATGCAATTTTAACATTTGGAAAACTATAGTTGGGAATACAAACATGTATTTCTAAAACTATTTTGCTGAAATAATATTTAGGTGTCTGGTCCCCTTCTCTGTGGAAGAAAAAGGTGTTAAACTCGCCTCAGTCTCATCACGGGTGACCCCAACTCCATTAATCTTGGTGATCTCAGCCAATCTAATGCCTTCCCATAGGAAAGCATTAGGAAGCTATTGCGTGTGCATGGCAAAACGCAACACTGTGCCAAATCACCATCTCAGTCCACTTCCGCAAATTGGGATCCAGCCAACGTGCCATTAAACCCTGCAGCTAATGGCGCATCAAGAGTGGCGGTCACCTGTACTAAACTGATCCAAGGCAAAGGAACTGTTCTCCTGTGGTTCTTCTTATTGAATTGCTTTCTGTTAATGTTACCTTTTCTTTTTATCTTCCTATGCTATGATTACACGACTTACATTGGTCGACCCGGGTACATCCCGGTTACGCTAGCTCCCAAGTTAACATCCCCCCTCAGCTCCGAATCCTCTAGCACACACGGAAACTAATCTGTGGAGCTGTCAATACTAATACACTACTCTGTATTTCTACTGATCTGTCACACCAACACAAAAATAGTGCAGTATTCCTTACATTCCATATTGCATATACACCTTTGTCTCTGCATTTATACACTTGTGTGATGTCTCAATGTTTTTACTTGTTTGCTTTGCACTACAAAAATGTCACACAAAAAAAATCTCTTCTGTTGCTTACCTGATTCCAGTGCCAATGTTACTTGGCACTGGATCAGGCTCCGAGGACATGGACCTAATGTGACTTAGGGCTAACCCATAGGAAAGCATTACTAAATGCTTTCCTATGGGGTTTTAGGTAAAGCTCGATGTTCTCATGCAGAGCGTGAGGACGTCCCGCGTGATTTAGCGGACAAAAAGGTCCTTGCAAGTGGTTCTGGTGACTAGTGTTCCTTTGAACATTTTTATGTAGTTTTGGCTACTTATGTCTGTACCTGTGAAACAGTATGTATACATTTTGATTATACTTGTTACTATATATTTTGTTTAATTATCTGCGTAGTATTCTACACTTGGCCGACTGTGTTGTATAATTTGACATGGAGCAATTCATGTACATTTAAAGTTATATTTTGATAGAAGCTATGTCTTGGGGAAAAATGGAACTTGAAATAGCTAAAGTATTCTGTAAACATGCTCTTGAATAGAATATACAACATTTAAAAAAAAAAAAAAAATCCTTTGTGTATGTTCTGGGTACTCCATATATTGGTAAATTAAAGTGTGTGTGTGTATTCAAAGTTTACTGTTATGCATTATTTGCACATCTCAACCTGGACTTTGGTCACAGTGGTTTCCCAAAATTCCCAGCTAGACATGCAAATGAGCATGGACTAACTTCATGTTTCAGATTTCATCCAACGCTGAGGCTTTTTATTCTCACTTTCTAAACTTTAAAGGGACACTAATAGGCACCCAGACAACTTCAGCTCAATGACGTGGTCTGGGTACAGTGTCCCTATTGCACTTAGTACTGCAATGCTTACATTGCAGCACTAAGTCTGCCTCAGGTGGCTGTCTCCCAGATAGGATGCAGGAAGCGCCTCCAGTGGCATTAGCGCACACTCCTCTCAACATCGAAAGGCGAAGCTGCAACCCAGTGGTGGACTAGGGTAAGTAAATAAAGGGTTTTTGCCACTTTATTCTGGAGTACGAGGGAGGGGGTTGTCAGAGGGTCTATAGTGCCAGGAATACAGCTTTTTATTCCTGGCACTTATCGTATCCCTTTAAGTTCCTGTATAACTATTTTAGCTTAATTTGTCTTCTATGCAAAGAAATTATAATAAACCTATTTGGGGGGGAAAGTTTGATACTTTGAATAATTCTTCTAGTGCCAAGTAAAAGCACAACATTCTTTTGTTGATTAACCCATCTTGCTCCAGAGATGCTAGCAATAATTGTGTTTTTTTTTTTGTTTTTTTCAAAAAATTCTTTTTTTAATGTGCCAATACTTTCCTGTTTTTTGTTTTTTTTCCTTCAGCCTTCATGCTGGGCTGCTCTAATCCGCACATGGTGCACTAGTGATTTTATAAGTGCCAACGGAAATATTCAACCCCTTCATTTGGAAGAACCAGACGAGCAGTTCCAACGAGTACGTTGTCCGCCTTTGTCTCATTACTGCATTATTTTGTGTGGTTTAGGGGTGCAGTGGAAAGTGTCAACATTCTCTACTGAAAACTACCTGTGATATTGCAAAATCAAGAGGATTTATGCATAAACAGCAATAATATATTTTAATGTGGGGCCTTCACAAAAGAGTCAATTTGAATAATCCTGTTTTTTTTTTGTTTGTTTTTTCTCCCTCTCTTTCTCTAAATTAAACTTTGGGTGGGGTGTGTGTGTGTGTGTGTGTGTGTGTGTATATGTATATGTGTATATATATATATATATATATATATATATATATATATATATATATATATATATATATATTACACAAACTCTGACTGTAATAAGTGAGTCTTCAGGGGACTGGGGCGGTGTCTGTGTGATACATTAATTGTCATCTCCTGGGTAACCGCCTATTTTTCTTTACATGTAGATAGTTTTGGACATGTCTTGTAACATCCTGGAACAGCTGCAACGACAAACACATGCCTATCTGCCTGACCCATTTACTAAAGTAAGTTGTCCATAATTTAATTTGTTTTGCTAAATGCCTCCATTTTAAAGGGTGCGTGTGCAAAGTGGTAGCAAGCACAGAAATTAGGAAAAAATAAAAGATTTAATATTTGTGACTTTAGCAAATTAAGGTACAATGGATCCTATAACAGTGACATTGCAGAATGAGAGCCTATATTTGTAAGTCTTTTTTGATCTGTTATCTTGCAAACCAAGCACTGCATGTTTATAATGCTGTTTATCCGTGACAATTGTTTATTTCGTAAAATTGAGAGTTAAAGGGAAACCTGGTTAAAATAAAAAATAAAAATACTATATTTTTCCCCCCCGACACGAACAGTAGGTCCCTGCTTAATGGTTAATGTAAGCCAGGGAAACCTTCCTTACCTGAATTCTAGGACTGTTTACTATGTGATTGTGGGTACAGAAAACGTAGGGAGCTCTGTGTGTAGTGGGCATTCAGCAGCCATTTTGTGTTCTTCCAGTATCCTCTTCCTTCTGAACTGATCCTTGTGGTACAAGCCGTTGTTCAGTTTATGATGAGTTCTGCAAAGCCTCTGCGACATATTTTAAATCTCATATTTGCGTTTAAGGTAAGACCATATGATTTCTCTCCTCCCCTCTCCCCCAACCCCAGAGATAGTTGTTGTTGGGTTTTTTCTGTGATTAGGTAAAAAAAAAATTACCCCATATTTTTCAAAATGGTATGGATAATGCATTAAAATGTAATCTAAATCATGTTTATGTTGAATATTGGATACTTCTTTTGTCACTACGCAAAGTCATGATTACTGACATATTGTTCTTTTTATGCACAACAAAAATAATTAAAAAAAGGTCATTTAAATAAAACAAGATGCACACCTGACTGCCTGCCCTTGCTGGATTGGAAAACTCCATTCCAATGTATGGGAACGTATTTTTTTTTTTTTTTTCTTGTCTAGCAGTGGTTTATGGGATTAGTAGTTTGTCACCCCACTTGCAGTACCAGAGACGTGCTAATGTGGAATTCTTTGATGACTATACCTGTGGTATATAATTGTAGTAAACGTCAGGGGCAGACATATAATGGAAAATTTATTCAGCACCTGCCAGGAACTGAATGTTGCCTTTCTCCGGCCCATTCTGTTTGAGCATTGCAGTAACCTATCCTAATATAGGATCTGGCCAGTTGTTCAGATGACCATAAAGTACCGGTATTAACCACAAGCCAGCAAGGCTTAACCTTTGTTACTGCTTTTATCATTAACTATGTTTCCCATAATGCTTAGGCAATCGATATGCTGAAAAATGAATAAAAACAACTTCTTAAAACTAGAGGTTGGTTTCTCTTAATCACTTTGTTTCTACACCGAATGGATTAAAAATCATCCAGCTATTGAAACAATGCAACCGTGTAACAAAATATTCCCATTGATGATTTTACATAGAAAATATGGGGGCTTATTTCATGTGTTTAGTGGCTTTTAAGCTCTACGGCTAGACTCAGAGCCACAATGTCAACATAGGTGTCAACATTTGGAATTTTAACAGAAATGCTTTTCTTCCAGGCAAACTTTTGGGCCATGTATCTCATGATTTCTGGAATCAGTCCCATGGCGGACCTGCTAGGCAACTTTGTGTCTGCCCTTAAGAAGGATATGCGCGAGGATGAACAGTCTGTGGTGGAAGAGTGCGTTCTTTTTTTTTTTTTACTTACATTAATATAGGACTTCTCATTAACAATACTGTCTCAACACTATATCATGCTTTCCTATGAGGGAAGTCCTAATGCGAGCACAACACTTGCCGCGTAAGTGTATTGGGTCCCTTCATGGTTGCAATCTTTGCACCATGTGAGTTGTAGACACCTAAAAATATATATGCAGAATTCTGGGTATTCTAGCCAAGCTGCAACAATACTTATAGTGAATTGAAAACCATATTGCAAACTAAAGGCCAAAACATCCATTTAAAAAGACAACAACTCCATCTTGCTGTATACATGCCTGCAGCTTATTGTTATCACAATGTTCCTCCTTGCAGAATAAGTAACAGCGGAGGTTTGTAAATTAGTTCATTTGAAGAAACGTATTCCTTGTGTGTTTGAGAAGTTAAACTGTTATATCACAGAAAATGCTGCTGTTAGTGCAGACGCTCTGATGCTGCTTACTGACTTACTGTTGATTGTGTTTTGATCAGATTGAGAAACAATGACTTCATGTATGCGTCCCAGCTTGCAGCCATGTTTTTACTGCATGACAGTGAGCTCGTTCGGCGTGTTGGACTTCATGTGATTGATATAATACTAAAAAGTATTGCAATGTGAGTATGGAAAGATTACAATGTTTTAAATTCCTAACTGTAAATGCAATTTTTGTCCTGCAAGACCCAAGAGCCTCTAGTTTCTACTAAGTAACTGTTTCTGGATGCACTGGTTTTACTAATACCACAGTAAAGAGGTAAATTGCTAAAATGTTCTCTTAATGTGTATTTCGCGTTCCATCTGATTTATATTTGCAGCAAAACATTGAATTTTTTTTATAAATGCAGTCATTCTGTTTGATATTTACCCTGATAAAATAAATGGCATATGTTTGCAGACATGGGGAATAACCACATATCTTAAACTATAAATGTTTCAAACACAGGCACATAGACTTGTTGCTTCCCATTGTGAAAGACTTTGTATTAATTTCATGTGAAAACGATCATCTCTTATATTATCATTTTCAGCTATCAACAGAATTCTTGTTTTTGACTTTTTATGGATTTTGCTTGCTTGATCAGTCAGAGCTGTACAACTCAATACAAAGTAATGTCAACACAATATTAATATTATAATATATTCACTAACTAAATATGTTTAATCTCAAAGAGGTCCCTTAATGGTCACCCTCATTGCCCCTTGATTTTCTGTATCCTTGGACTGAAACCTGACAGCTGATTAAATTGCATGGAAAGCATTCTGTCCTCCTAAATCATTGATGTGTAATAACTACTCAAAAACATAGTAAGCCTTACAAGTTTACATTTAACATGGCCTACATAAGGTTTTAATTATTTTTTATTAAAGATAAACTGTGCTACTCTCGGAACATGCAGAACATGTACCTGCAACATATAGTAGATAATGCTGAGGTTAGGCACTGTGTCAGTATTTGAATACAAAATGAAACCGAAGTAGAAACAAAACATGTTCTCGTAGATTTCCAGATAACCAACTCTTTTGCTCCCCTACCCCTAATATCCACTTATGAATCTTGGTATGTGCCTCATTTAGGGCTTTCATTATTGGAAATGCATAATTCATAAAGCGTAATTTATTCCACTTACGTGCTAGTTGTTTCTAAACGGCATGTAAACGGACTGTGACTGTTACTCCAGTGCGGAAAGTCTATTTATGCTCAAGTTCTTTCTCGGGTACAGTTTTAGTAAGTTGCTCTCTCTGATGACATTTCTTGTTTCACTTCCAGGTTCACGTGGGTTCCAATGTTTGCTAATTACTTGAATACTATGGTAAGTGTATGGGAGATGACATTATAAATAACCATGAAAAACCTGGACCACAGCAGGGGGTGGGGGGGGGAGCAAAAATACATACTATAACATATCAGTGTGTGCCCTGGTCTTGTTTTTAAAGGGACACTGTAGGCACCCAGGCCACTTCAGCTCATTGAAGTGGTCTAGGTGCAATGTCCCATGTATCTTAACCCTGCAAAAGTAAGTGTTGCAGTTAGCGAGAAACTGCAATAATAACCATCCAGGGTTAACTTCACCTCTAGGGACTGTCTACCAGACAGCCACTAGAGTGCTTCCTGGTTTGAAACAGACCTTTGGTTTGTTATCTGATGGTGAACATCCTCACACTCTGCATGAGGACCTCCAGCGTCGAATTTTTCCCCATGGGGAAATCGTAATGCGATTGCGGCACATGCACATTTAGGTCTCCCCCGTTGGTGGGGGAGAAGCGTGGGCGGAGCCAGACCCAGCGCCGAGGGACATCTGCACTGGATTCAGGTAAGTGACGGAAGGGATTTTAACCCCTTCAGCACAGCGGGAGGGGGCACTGTAGGATTCTGTAGTGCCAGGAAAATAGCTTTGTCTTTCTGGCACTATAGAATCCCTTTAAAGGAACACTATAGGGTCAGGAACACAAAAATTTATTCCTGGCCCTATAGTGTTAAAACCACCATCTAGCCTTCCTAAATATAGTAAAATCTTACTTGGATTCAAGTCTGAAGCTGCTGGCTCTGCCTCTGAAACTGCCTGTGTCTGCTGACTTCATCAGAAATGGTGGCCTGATCCAATCACAGTGCTTCCCCATAGGATTGGCTGAGACTGACAAAGAGGCAGATCAGGGGCAGAGCCAGCATGATTCAAACACAGCCCTCGCCAATCAGCATCTCCTCATAGAGATGAATTGAATATATGAATCTCTATGAGGAAAGTTCAGTGTCTGCATGCAGAGGTTGGAGACACTGAATGTCAGTCACAATGTGGAGCACTGCCCCAGGAAGGATCTCTAGCAGCTATCTGAGTGGCCAGTGTAGGTATAACAAGGCTGGAATGTAAACACTGCATTTTCTCTGAAAAGACAGTGTTTACAGCAAAAGGCCTGAAGGGAATGGTTCTACTCACCAGAACAAATTCAATAAGCTGTAGTTGTTCTGGTGACTATACTGTCCCTTTAAAGATTTTCCTTTGTCAGTTTAATCATTGTTTTGCTAATCACATTAATTGCTAATCAGATACTTTTATTTTCTATGGGAACCTTTGCTAACCCACTAAGTTTTGTGTTTTCTCCTACAGGTACTTGGTAGTCCTGCATATGCCAATGCAAGTTTACATGAGCTGCAATTACTGAAAAGTAAAATTGGACAGTTAATGGCAAAGTCTAAATGTCCTGTCACCAATGGGGCCCAGTGACCAGAATACACCATCGTCAATACCTGTTTATATACGCACTTTTTAAAGAGCATCTACACTTCTATTAAAGAGCAGATTGGATGATTTGTAGCTCTCTGGCTGTTTGTGTACCACAAATCCCATGATCCTCCATATCACTCCGGTTGGAGTAAGTACTTGGGAAATGTTGTCCTGGAGAACATGTTTTTTTGCCACTGAACTAGAACATTTGCACATTTGTTTAATCTAGTTTCTGTATCTGCAATTTAGAATTATGACCATTTTAGGGGTGTTCCCCCCCCCCTCTTTCAGTCAATTTTAAATCAAAGCAAAGTTAATTTTACAATACGGCATGTTGTGGTAAAAATATGTATATTTTTTTACAAAAAATACATGGGAGTGTACCATAAACTGTAAATCAATCTAAAGGATGCAGGTAACGTCTGTGACAGACAATCTCTGCTTTCCACAACAAAAAAACGTTGTAATAGATGATCTCTTAACTAGATCTATTCTGACAGTGTCTGTGAAAACTAGCATCTCACGCTGCAGGAACAATGCAAGGAACTTAAAGTGGTGGTGTTGGATTGAGTGCCCCCACAGACACTGTTTGAGAAACTTAACTATGATACAAGTTTTTTTTTTTTAAGTTTTTCTTTATTTGAACTATCCTTAAAATATATATATATTTTTGCTTCTGTTAAAGGAACACTGCAAGGTTAAAATATTTTCTTAAACGTTAAGTTTTTATGCTGTTTAAGACTTAAATAAAGCTATATTCTAAATCTTCCCGTTTGTCTTCTTTATACGTATTTACTGGCTTTTCTGTTAAAAAATAACATTGTATATATTGATTCTGTTTATGATGAGCACCTTAGAACATAAAGAGAATAATACTGCGACTACGTATAGAAATAATTTGGACAAACAAACACATTTACGATCACACTTTAAACTCCAAAACAACTTCAGCATAAAGGCATCAGGGGATGGCTATTATAAACACAATGAGGGTATGATCCCTCTCGTGGCTAATGGTCTTTCAAGCCTCTAGCAACCGCCCACCACTAAAGTATCCCTACCTACACTGTCGCCCTAATAACAGTAATATTAACAATAATAAATCGGATGCCTGTGAAAAAAACTGTACGGGGTAATATAAGTGCATAACAGCCAAGACTCCTGCTTTCGTTGTTGACACAGCCAACATCCTGGAAGAAACACAGGATCTGGAAAACATCAAGAATTGAGGAGACCACCACAAGACATCCAAGTCCCAACAGTGAACGTATGGTTAAACAAAAGAGAACAATATGTGAAATTAATCTAACAATACATCAAAGTAACATGGCAAAACAGCTGGTAAACACTGTTAAATGAAAGTATATAGCATGAAATATCAAAATGGTCATAAAACACAGATTAACCCCTTAGTGACCAGCGCATTTTTCAATTTTCTTACCGTTAAGGACCAGGTCTGTTTTTACATTTCTGCAGTGTTTGTGTTTAGCTGTAATTTTCCTCTTACTCATTTACTGTACCCACACATTTATATACAGTTTTGCTCGCCATTATATGGTCTTTCTAAATATAGCATTATTTTCATCATATAATTTACTATAAAAAATTGTAATAAAATATAATGAATTTTTTTTTTTTTTTAAAAGGCCGTTTCTAACTTTGACCTCTAAAATCTGTTACGCATCTACAACCACCAAAGAACACCCATGCTAAATAGTTTCTAAATTTTGTCCCGAGCTTAGAAATACCCAATGTTAATATCTTAGCTTTTTTTTTTTTGGCAAGTTATAGGGCTATAAGTACAAGTAGGACATTGGTGTTTCAAAATATATATTTTTAAAATGTATCAATAGTGACAATGTAACACTATTATCGGTCATAAATCTCTGAATCACACCTCACATGTACATAATTTTTTCAAGTAGACAACTTTTTACTTTTACTGCAACAAATATTTGTGTTCGGCAAAGCCATGAGTGCTACAGTACCTTCCAGGAGGGGGAAATGAATGAGCACTGTAGAAAGTGCTTGTTCCACTGAAGAAGCCACTTCTGCATTGATCCTGGCTTGGAATCCGGGGGTCTGAGCTGCAGATGCCTCCATGGTTAATGTAAAGCTTCAGCTTCAATAAAATAGTCTGCCCGGAAACACAAAATGTGTTAGCGCCACATTCAACACCAGCGTACAGAGTCTCACCGGGTCCAGAATGTAAGACTGGGCTCACCCATATACACCCATGCAGGGATTTTATCCACCGGGTGCATAGGCCGTAGGGAGGCTAGAAGCACCACTGAGTCAGAGCACAATAGGGGTGAATACACGGTATAGTTGCAGGTGTTGACCTAGACCCCCCCCAAAATAGAGGTAAGATACATTCAACATGGGGTCAGCCCAAATTGCTCATGAGTGCTCTGACAGGCGAGCCTTGTTTCTTAGGAAACTTGTCCGGGAAGTTGTCCCCCAACTCCCTTACACACAAACATTTATTTATATGGTAGACGCCCATGACATGTCCCCCCCCATGTGTCTAATTTTTTTTTTGGCACGGCAGGTGGGGTCATAAGGGCATTTTTAAACCTCCTTTATAGTGATTTGAGAGTCACAGTGACCCCTATAGATGGTTTATTTTTATGATTTTCTTTTTTACCATTTTTAACGTGGCTTGCAAACATAACTTTCAAGAGTTTTCATATATATATAACTATATTTGCTAACAGTTGGCAAATAATTCAGATTTTTTTAAATCCAGGTTTGGATTTCAGCCATTTGGAAGCATTTAGTTAGCCTCAAATCCAGATCAAATTCAGGCTCATATGGAGCTACTACTGCAAAATCCTGACATTGTTAATTAGTGACTGTCTACAATAAATGGTTTTGCCCCATTTAGTACAAGGCCGTTCGGACTTCAGTGCAGAAGATGGTAAGCATGAGGTCCCAGCCATTGATTTTTGCTTTCCGGATCTGATATGTCAGTTTCTTCTGAGCTCTTCCCAGTCTTCCTAATTTTTTTTTTCTTGGGCTCTGCACCATTTGGATATAAATGCAAGTTTCCTGTTGATGGCTTTAAGATGTCCCATAATTCCTCCAAAAATAAAAGACTGTGAGAAAAGACATTTTTTTTAAAGAATTGCGTAAGATTTGTAAACACAAAGTTTTATTCAGTGGTGTAACTTTTAGCGAAGTGACAGTTCAATAATATCATTCCAAAACCAATTACCATATAAAATATACACTTTTGTTTATATGGTGGAGGGAAGAAGTTGGGAGTAGAGCCTTAATATAGCTTCCGATGGTATCCAAAAACAGGAGGGGAAGTAATATAGTGTAGTATGCAGGGATTTGTTTAACCCCTTAAGGACTGAGCCAAATGTACACGTTGTGATAAAAAAAAACGTAAACAACACCTGGAATTTGCGCTACATGTCTCTCCAGGCGTAATTCGCCTCTTTCATGTTATGTGCATCCACACTTATTATATATCATTTTATTCAGGGGGAAAAGGGCTTTCATTTAACATCAAATAATTAGGCATGAAACATAATTTAATATGAATACAATATAAAAAAAGGGAGAAAATATGAATTTTATAAAAAAATTTAGTTCTACGTGACATTCTAACTGTAAATGTCATAATACTGTTTGCTTTTACTGCAATAAAATACACATATTTGTATTCAGCAAAGTCTCACGTGTAAAACAGCACCCCATATTTACAGGTATTAAGGTGTTTTTGGAAGTTACAGGGTCAAATATGGCATGTTACATTTTTCATTTTTTTCACATTGAAATTCGCCAGATTGGTTACATTGCCTTTGAGACTGTATGGTAGCCCAGGAATTAGAATTACCCCCATGATGGCATACCATATGCAAAAGTGGACAACCCAAGCTATTGCATATGGGGTATGTTCAGTCTTTTTTAGTAGCCACTTAGTCACAAACACGAGCCAAAGTTAGTGTTAATATTTGTTTGTGTGTGAAAAATGCAAAAAACTAATTTGAACGCCAATTTTGGACAGTGTTTGTGACTAAGTGGCTACTAAAAAAGACTGAACATACCCTATTTGCAATACCTTGGGTTGTCTACTGTTGCAAATGGTATGCCATCACGGGGGTAATTTTCATTCCTGGGCTACCGTACGGTCTCAAAGGCAACATAACCAACCTGGCGAATTTTAATGTGAAAAAACTGAAACGCAAGCCTTATATTTGACTCTGTAACTTTTGAAAACACCATAAAATCTGTACATGAGGGGTATTGTTATACTCAGGAGACTTCGCTGAACACAAATATTAGTGTTTCAAAACAGTAAAATGTATCACAACAATTATATCGTCTGTGTAAGTGCCATTTGTGTGTGAAAAAATGCAAAAAATGTCTCTTTCACTGACGATATCGTCGTTGTAATACAGTTTACTGTTTTAAAACACTAATATTTGTGTTCAGCAAAGTCTTCCGAGTAAAACAGTACCTCCCATGTACAGGTTTTATGGTGTCTTGGAAAGTTACAGGGTTAAATATAGTGCTAGCAAATTAAATTCCCTGGACTTTTGGCCTGGGTTCTCAGGCAGGTCCCGCTAATTTTAATTAATAAAATGACCTAATTATGTCAAATTATTACATAAATATATACGGAGAATTATTATATATATATATATATATGTATATATATGTATATAATTATTTTATTTATATATAGTGATATATATGTATATACTTATGTATATAGATATATTTATATATATTTCATTCTACATGTATTTTGACATCAATATATATTAATTTTAAAATACAGTTTGAACGAATTTACACATATATTTTTTTTTTATTTAATTTTTTTACGTATTTACATATTTATTTATATCATAAGGACGGCATAGAATGCCCGCCATCCTTAAGGGGTTAACATGGGGCAAACGGGGCAGCTGCCCAAGGCCCAGTCACTCCTGGGGGCCCAAAAGCAGCCACACCGTGGGCCCTCTGCCTGCAATTTCCTTTAGCTGCTCCATGGTTGGGGAGCCTATTGGGTGGGCATTTGTCAGCAGGAGCCCAGCTGTGGCCCTTTAACAGTGCAACCAGGATCCTTTCACGTCGACAGCATAGGAGTGACACTTCCTCCCACAGATACTAGAGCCACGTGGGAGGGAAGAGGAGGCATTGAGGAGGGGGGCTCGCACAGGATAGCCTCCCAACTACCCCAGCAAGCACACTGGACCCCAGGGAAGCCACCCTCCTGCAAACATTTGGAAACTGAAGGGTGGTTTTATTAAACTGGAAGGTGGCTTAATAAAACTGGAGGGTGGCTATGTGTAAATTTTGCATGTGTGTGTGTGTGTCAGTATGTCTCTGAGTGCCACAGTTTATGTCAGCATATATATACACACAAATACACCCCTGCATTCAATCTTCAACACTACATACAGAACACTCCTTTATTGAAACGTCAACACTGCATATAAACACACCTCTGTGTTAAGCACCAAAATTATGTATAAACACATCCTTGCATTCAAAAAACAGCACTACACACAAATGCATGCTTCCATTTAAATGCTAACACCAAAATATTCTTGCACCAGGGCCTTCTCTACTTTAATTCTGCTACTGCATTGGGTTGGAGGGTGAAACTGTATGCCAGCGAGTGGGCGTGGGGGGGCAGGGTGCAGGAAGACAAAGTAAATGCTTGCCCAGGGTTCAATCAATATTAAAGATGGCCCTGGTAGTATGTAATACAACTTGAAGTGAAGGAGAAATATAAATTAACTTACAGAAGATGGAGTTGTGTTTCAGGGGTATGATCCCTGCCAAAGGATATTGCGGTGTGTCTCTTAATCTTAGTAGGTGGCCCAGAAATATACAACAGAAAACAAAAATGCACTATATTGCTGTTTTCTGTTTTTCTATATACCTTAGAGAAGACACTGCATCACCTATATCCTTAGAATGGGGATCATTCTTCCCACCCCGTCTAATAAAATAGCCACATACAAAGCTCCAATAAATATGAGTGTATACTTGAGTATTATAAAGTATTACACCATATAGTGTCAATTTTTCTGTTCTGCCACCAACTTCTAAATTAAACATACTGAGCAACAAAGGAAGTGTAAACATCAGATGACTTGTTACAGAAAGTGTTAGGTAGGCTGTGTAAGTCACATGCAGGGAGGTGTCACAAGAGCTGTATAAACAAAGTGATTTAACTCCTAAATGGCAGAGAATTGAGCTGTGAGGCTGCAGGGGCATGATTTATACACCAAAACTGCTTCATTAATCTAAAGTTGTTTTGGTGACTATAATGTCCGTTTAATTTAAAAGAACACTTAGCATCGAATGAAAAAAAGATAAACACAAGTTAGAGTTGTGGATTTTCAATGTTTTATTCAGTGATGTAATTTCTAAGAAGTGACAGTACAGGGTACATCAGCCACAAAACGGACCCTGTACGTCCATGGCGAAAATGAGCGCTGGAAAGAAATGGTTTGGAAATAGCAAAGTGCTGCTTGTACTTATTGCCCTATAACTTTCCAAAGAAAGATAAATACATGTTAACATTCAGTATTTCTAAACTCAGGACAAAATTTAGAAACTATTTAGCACGGGTGTTTTTTGGTGATTGTAGATGCGTAACAGATTTTGTGGGTCAAAGTTAGAAAATTTGTGTTTTTCAAAAATGTATATCATATTTTATAATTTTTTTATAGTAAATTATATGATATGATAAAAATAATGGTAAAAGGACAATTACAGCTAAACACATACACCGCAGAAATATAAAAACAGCCCCGGTTCCAAACGGTAAGAAAATTGAAAAGTGGCCTGGTCACTAAGGGGTTAATATCATTCTAAAATGAATTACCATAAAAAATATACATTTAGAAAAATAAATATGTAAATCACTAACAGCTGACATCAACAGCTATATAAAATATTAAAAAGAGAAAAGCATAACTCTAAGTATGATCTCCTGATCCGATTCTTTGACAGATGCCCCCAGTTCATTAATATTTGGAAAAACCTTTCCTGTAATCTGCTTACGTTCGAAAGCAGAGATCTAATACCAGCGTGAGTGACTGGAGGGAATTTATAGTGCAAATGAGATATTAAAATGGGAAAATGCACCCAAAGACTATTTATAAAATTGTTTCGTTCTCTGTTTTTAAATGTACATAAATTTTCTAGGTAGATAGGAACAGTGGATATTCTGTTTTATGGCATATCTCACTAATGTAGAAAGTTTTAAGTTACATAAAAATAATGTAATCACGTTCGTATCCATGTTTATACTAATCGATATACTTAGCTCTTTAACTGAACCAGATCAGTTATACCGTTCTAGCTCTGGTAGTTGCTGACCTCTGTGTTTTTGTATTTCTGTATAAAACCAAGAGGTTACATTTTAGCAGAGGAGAATGCGGTAAGGACAGTAGGTATACAGCGCATGTACATTTTATTTGTATATTGTTAACAGGTGGACTTAGCACGTGAAAGTAAAGGCTGCGATGTCTCAATTCTTTTTCTGGACACTTATGGATTCTGTATTCTGCCAAACAGGGTTTAAAAGTGCTGCCAATGTCTAGGCTCTGGGTGGTAAGATAAATAAATAAATTGTGTTAGTTTCTTTGAAACCCTGGCTGTCATTTATTAATTAAGATCGCTATGGTAATGTGAACATCATGTGTTGTAAGGCTGGACTGTCAAGCCCTGCAGGATAGAATGTAGAATTCATAAATCTTCCCGTCTGGAAAAAACAAACAAATTGTTGATCTGTCAATTCTAACGCAAAAAATACACCTGAAATTTCAATGCTCTCTTGCGCATCACCTTCAATTCTCTGTAATTTGTGGCATCAATACAATTCACTGGGATGTACCGCAAAGGATTCTGGGTGAGGCCGGAATCATGCGTGCCGCTATAATTTTCTTACTTCGAAATGAACGTCTGCTAAATTTATAAAATATTAAAATATCCTGTAATCGATACATCTGCTGGCTTTTCAGACAGCCATCTGTATAGATAAAATTATGAGCAGAGCGAAAACACCTGCCCCCCGAGCTAAAGAAAATGCAAAGCTTTGGACGCACACCAAGGATGATTTGCAAATGCTCCCGGCCGCCCTTTTTATGGTAAATCTTTTTTTTCGAAAAGCCAGGGACACTTCTCTACACTTCCTGTTCTCTCATCCCAAACCTGACTCGACCACCTGTCCGGGTGATATTTTGTATATACCTACAGAGCCACCTCCCCATACAACTAGCAGTTCATGTCACAAGGAGATACACACAGCTGGTAAGGCTGCTTTTTGTCAGATCTTTCTAATAACCCCTTATCTTCATGCTTGCTGTAACTGGGTGTGAGTCACTGTATTCTAAATACACACACAGAGACACCCTACGTTATATTTTCCTTAGGGATGCAATTAAGGCACAATCCTTTAGACAGGTAGCTATGGCAGCCAAACAGCGCATGTGATTAGCTTCAACCAGCGATAAAATGGTAAAAATACCGGGTAACTAATGACTTTCCTGCTGCAACTGAGGCCATCCCTATTTTTTTTTTTCCCAATCGCTTTTCGCTTCCCTCTACAGCAGAACCTGCTATTTAATGCAGAGAGCATTGTAAGTGCTTACCACAAGAGCCAGATTCAACCTCTCTCTATAAACCTCATAATTCTTCGAGCTTTATCCCCGGCTATAAAATCTCATCCTCTGGAAGAAGGGGGAAAAAAAATCGCACTATTTTGCTATCAGTCACAACAGGATTGTCGGTACATTAACAGATTACATTCTGGGTTTCAGGCAGATTTTGCAGGATTTCATTTGCTTAAAAGGCCACTCTGACTTTTTGGATGGCTCTCAAATACATATCTCTCTCTTTTTTATGATTAATTTTCTCCCCCTCTCCCTGATTTTTTTTTCTTCTTCTTAACAAGGATTGGTATATATTTCAAGTAATATTCCCTTTTTTTTTTTTTTAATAGAAGCGGCAGACAGAAGAGGTAAGTGAATTTTCTTTCTCCTTTATATAGAATGTTTAGATAATGAAATTTGTGCTTTTTTTTGTGTGTGTGCGCTTTTTAACAAAATCAGAAGGTTCTATTTTTTAATGCAAAATGATGTTCTTGTTTTTGCGGTTGTGAGTTACAGGTAATTACATTTATAGGAAAACGAAGCATATAAAGTGGATAAAAAGTTAATTAGTTCCATAGTCATCTCACATATAATTTTAATGCTGATGATGATGTAAGGAAAGGAAAGATGATAAAATTACTGGTATAACTTGCCAGAAGAGCTTGCAATCTGCGCTATGTTGGAATTTGAGTGCAGATCAGTTTAACCCCAGATGTGTTTTCTGTGGGACTGGGCCTGTAGATTCAGTTTAGCCAAATGGATGGTGTACGTGAAATCTGCGCTCACAAATCAACCTATAATTTGTTTTCTGTGTGCAAAGCACGGTTGTCACGTCAAAGTCACTGCATTAGTGTAGATCATCTGTTGTATGATCTTAAAGCTGCTGCATCTGTCGTGTCAAAGGGTTATTGAGGTTTGTGAAAGTAACTTTGGTGCTGCAAGAGGAGTAGGCAAACTCTGGGGCTCCTGATCATCAGAACTACATCTCCCATGATGCTTATGGTGTTATCGGCCACAGCATTTGATCTGTCCCTGTTTAAATACCCCTGTGCAGTTAATGTAAAGATCCACTCCCCACTACTCGCTGTCACTTAACAAGTCGAACAAAACTATTCTTGCTACACAACTCTGTAGATCATGCTTACTTACAGGAGCTGGATGACCACATCTAATACGCCTCTAAAAATTAAATCTATGTGGACTATATTTATATAAAGACAGCAATAAACATTATTTCTAATTTACATGAATCGCCTCGACCTCCGCAAGTCCTTTTGATATGTTAGCTATTTTTTTCATCTTCGCACACAGCAAAGTTAGCTTTTTGGGGTGGCAGCCATATTGCTTTTACAGCAGATTGTGATTAAGGCCCTTTAAGTTGCAGATCAATTATTGTAACTTGTAAAAAAAAAAACATTAAATTACATATTATTTTGTGAAACGTGATATCCGTTGGCTTGTTCATTATACATTTCTTATAATCTTTTGAAAAAAATATTTATTAAGAATGGTTTCCAATGCAGTATGCTGAAAAAATGAACATGGCTGCTCCTTCTAAAATTACAAGATAGCTAAAAAAAAAGTATATAAACATATATATAATTTTTTCCCCGCCAGTTCTCTACTAATGATCAGACACATTTAGCTCAAGATTAGAAGCTTCTAAAAGATAGTGGAATTGTATTAGTAATTTTGGCAGCAAGTTAGATTAACCAATTATGTTATTATTAATAGATAAATGGTAGTGAAAGTATATAGGCACACTCATTTATGGCTTAGCATAATGGGCCTTATAGATCCATTGCAGCTCAAGAGCTACCTGCTGATTACTCCAGACATACAGTCTCTTTGATCAATCAGCTAAGTAGGACAAGTTGTACGACTTGGCAAAACTACTGGCAACAAAATAATCTAATAGTATAATTATTGAGATGCTGTGTAGATTTCCCAGTTAATGCAAATGGATTTTTTTTTTTTTTACGACCAACTTTTCCAACTCTAAATGGATATTATATCTTCATAAGTGGTGCAAGAATTTATGGTGATATCATTTATTCTGCTTTCTTTTCATTACGTAACTTCTAACTAACTTTAGTTTGTTCACTGAACACAGAAAGGCAGGGAACTGAAAATTGTCAAATTTAGGCCAAGTTAGCTAAGCCGTGACAATACGCAAGTTGGAATATTTTTTGTTACCAAATTATCTTTTTTTTTGGCCTGAATTTTGCAATTTGTTGTAATTTACTGTTTCGTTAATAAACCCCTTTGAGTCGCCCTTTTCTCGCCCCACGTATGATGCACGGTATGTGTAAAATGAACAAGGTACCTGGAGGAATCTGCAGGAAACAGCCTGTCTCACATATGTTTATTTGAATTTATTGGAATGTAGCTGAAATTTTCCAGAGCCAGGAAAAGACAGCATTGCAGCAATTTCTGCAAAAGACCAAAAAATGGAAAAAAAGAATCTCCTTTCCCCACCCTTACAGCGCAAATTTAAGATTCAGGACGATATTATATCTCATCTGCACTTAAAGAGTTAAACCTGTTAGGATAGCGAATGGGACTCTTTCGCTCCTCCCAATTTTCCAATTGACTCCGTAAACAGGTTTGTTGTGTCTCTTGAGGTGGCTGAATGTTTTCCCTCCGGCTGTGTTGCTGTCATTAGGTTTCGTTTTGGCTAATTAGATGCAGAAGGGATTAATAGCATAACATGAAATATATTCTCTTCTCGCTGGTACGGACTCAGTATATACAGTGTATATGCATGTACACTGTGTGTGTGCATGAATTATAATCCAAATATATCATTTAACTATGGCTAGAATGTTTTCTTTTTTCTTTTCTGTATTTTCTGCAATATTTTTTCTTATGTTTGCAGGAATTTAGACTCCGCTACATATGTGCACTTGTCTTTACTGACTATTGGTTTTTCTCCTTTTTAAAAAAAAAAAATATATATATTTTTAATGCGCCAAAATCTTACGACTCACCTTCCTGGCAGACAATTTACCCTCATAAATTTTCCCGATTATTATTTATGTACCTAAATGTGATAAATAGAACCTTATACGTGTTTAAAATGCATATGTTTTCTTTCTAACCAATGATTCTTGGAAAATGTACTTCTCAGACCTCTATAGTGGGAGGTTTTAGCTAATACTGCTCGCTGTGTCTGTAACCCCTGGGGACTAAACTTACAGGGTTATCCACTAAAGCATGAATTATGGGGAATTTAAATTTGAGAAATCCCAAATGTTACTGGGGAAGTCAAATCAGGGGTTACTTAGGGTTGGGACACTGAACAGGTTTTTAGGAATTATCAGCACTTGGAATGCAGTGGACTCAGAATCCTATCATTCTCACCCAGGCAAGTCTGGTTTAGAAGTTAGTCTAATACATTCACATTTTACAAGTACGCTTCTGTACCCCAATAACAGAAGGATTCAGGGAGCACGTATGTACCCCAAGCTTTTTTTTTTGTGACATTCTTTATTTGTTTAGGTATTTGTGATACAACACAATTTAAGCATAACAGCAACCGTAACAGAGTGTATACAACTTTGCCACAACTTATCTGGTCTGAATTAGGACGGCAATGTAATTCTGGAGGTGAATGCCATATGCAGGCGGCTCAGATGCCGCTTCAGCATTATCTAACGAAAGCTCGAAACTTGTATGGTCTCCTCTGTCTTACCCTTGTTGGCTAGTCTGATGAGTCGGACAATGTCCGGGCACCTCGGTAACAATAACCTGACCTCGAGACTAGTGTGGTGATGTGTACGAGGTATGTAGTAGCTCTGGGGTGCCCTTTGGCAACTCGGATAACTAATTTGAGCCCTATAGTCTGAAGCTGGTGTCCCCAATAATCCGTGTTGTGTGGGTTTTTATCAGAGAAGTGCGTTAGGAATGACTCGACAGGAAGCATCTGGCTGAGAGAGCTGAAGGGACGCGTCCTCATCGTCGGGGAAGTATGGCTAGCTTCCGGCCTTCGTGCCGTCCCGCAACCTAATAGTGCACCCCCGTTCTGTCCCTGTGGATTTCGTGAGCCCAGAGTCTTCATGGACCCTCTGTGCCTACGTGGCCTATCTCTGTCCTGCACCCCTTTTTTCCCTCATAGCTCCCCGTGCACCCTGCATGCCAGGGCAGATTACTGTTTGGCCTGGGTGCCTACGCGAGATGAGTCGTCTCGGTTTGTCGTCAGTCTGGGTAGAGGAGTGGGGAGGGGGGAGCTAGTCATCGTTGTGTGGTCAGGTAAGGGGATCAACCCAACTGGTTACCCCGAGCTTTTAAACTTTACACGTCACACTTATTTTAAAGGCAACATTTTTTTAAAAGTGAATTCCTGACTTAGACAAACTAATTTCAATGTTGTTAATATGATTGCGAGAACTTGAACGCAAGTATTTTTTTGTTTTATTTATAAATTGTTTTACCAAGAAAAGTATTTTTAGATTGCTATTGTTTTCAAGTCGGTCTGACGGACCATGCAAAATACAATGTTTGGTTTAGCAATCAGGCAGACATCAGGCATTGTTAAATAGCTAAGGGCTTCGAGATACATTGTAGGACTTTGGTGCACACATATACTACACGTTGTATGCTCACACCGGGGTAGGAGGAGGGCAGGGTTGTGCAAACAGATGGTAAGCATGTCAGCAGAATTAGCAACGGGCAGCATCGGGATAATGTTATGCACTAGCGACCAGAATCTGCTGTTTGGATTTGCAACAAATAGTCGATAACAGAAGGGCCCCGAGAGATCACCTCGGGAAATGCTATTGTCTGTCTCGATGTCCATCTGCCACCACCCCATACAATTACAGAAAAGAAGGCATTCGGTTATTGTATTTAAGATCACATATATGTTTTTAATGCCAAAGGCTTGGCCATCATATTCCCATGTATTTGTTTTAACAGATAATGAAATGGGTTAAGAAATAAATAAAAAAAATAAAAAAATCAGAATGTAACTTTTTTTTTTTTTATACAAAAGAGATTTCTCATTCATCCATTTCATTAACACTAGAGGGCGCGCAATGTCTCTATTGTAGTTTTTTTCTAACACAAGGCCTAGTGCCAAACTACCAGCGAGGATAAAGTACTGATTCTGAAGTCCAGAGATTAGGCATTTACATAGGCTTTAACCCCTTAAGGACCAAACTTCTGGAATAAAAGGGAATTATGACATGTCACACATGTCATGTGTCCTTAAGGGGTTAAGTAATAAATATATAAAACTCTATATGTAAAATAAAAGAAGAACAACATCTAAATTTAGTTTAGTGACGTTTAGAAACCAAGGAAAATAAACAACAAATACATTAAACAAAGATAGTTACAGGGCTATTATGTAAAATATGGAAGGGAACATTTCAGCTAAATTAGCCAAGCTGTAAATACAGCTGAGTAGCTGGATCGGTCTCTTCTTCCCGCGACGTCACGTTGATTGGTGAACCTAAGGTCCATGTGCGACGTGTATCGCAAGCGAATTAGATCTTCCACTCAGAAAAGCATTGAATTTATGTTTTCCAATGGGTATTTTGAAAGACACTGGACATCCTCATGCAGAGCGTGCAGACACTTCCAACATAGTTATACTCCGCGAGAAGGCAGGAAGTATCTCTGAAACTGGAATGTTTTACAAGGTTAAGGCGACAGGGGCACCTCACCCTGAGCACTTCAATGAGATGAAATGGTCTGGGTGCCTATAGTGTCCCTTTTAAAGGAACAAAACGTGTATTCATAATGCTATAGTGTTCTCCTCACCATTTAGATTTGTGCCCCTGCAAGAGTTAAAAATGGCTTTTTGCTCACCTTAAATCCTGCTAGCCCCCATGCTTGATGGTCTTAGCCAATCCAATGCTTCACAATAGTAAAGCATTGGAAGGCTAGTGCACATGCGCAGCAAAACACCACTCTGCCATGGTCAGCATCTCCTCATAGAGATACACTGAATGCAGAGTGTGGAGATGCTGAATGTAGGTCCTGAAGGATTGCAGAACCTTGTCCACCTCCAGTGACTGCCACTGGAGGTGGAGTGTTCACATTGCTGGCTCTGCAGGGACAAGCTATATGCCACAGGACCACCATATTATGCTCTAGTGGTTCTGGTGTCTATAGTGTGCCCTTTAATTTACAAAACCAGAAGTTGTGAGGAATCAACAAGTGGCTACTGAATTAGGATAAATAGTGTGGCTGGAATATTTTTTCTGATTTTGCTGTTTTGGACTAAGGTTTGCATTTCATTTTGTTAATTACCATAACTTATAATATGAATGAAGCTATTAGGTAACGAATACTGCTAAATCTAGCTATATAAAACAGGTCTCTGTGGCAACCTTAGTGCACCATAAAGCAGATGGTGAACCTACATACCAAATGCATTTGCCTCTGACGAAGGTGCCATTCAGAGCACCGAAACGTGTCAGGCGTGTTTTACCTTCACTCCCTCACTATAGCACTCACTGTGGAAAGCACTTTTTTTTGTTATTGAGCTGTAATTTTATTTTTTATTTTTTTACTTCACCACAGTTTAATAGTTAGTGAAGATCATCTATTCAGCAGTGTTAATTTTGGCAGAAGATTTCAATATAGTTTTAGTCATAGTCTTTTGATTAACAAGCCATTTGTTAACACTAAATCTAGTATGGCCTCTTTACGAGTTGGCTCCTCAATAACTTGTTTTAGAGACAATCCCAGTAGGGAGTTTAGAATATGTGTGCTCCTGGCACAAGCAGCTATTTTTGTTTTCCAATTCACATCAGGAAGATTAAAGTCACCCATGATGATAACTTCCCCCTTCATTGTCATTTCAGCTATTTCCTCAACTAGTAGATTATCTAACTCTTCAATTTGTCCAGGGGGCCTATAAATCACACCTACACGAGTTACTGTGTGATTACCAAATTCTAACGTAGCCCAAACGGACTCTATGTTTGTCTCACTAACTTTTATTAGGCTAGATTTTATGCAGTCCTTCACATACAGGACCACCCCTCCCCCTTTCTTGCCTTCCCTATCTTTCCTATATAAAGAGTACCCTGGTTTTGCTATGTCTCAGTCATTTTTCTCATTATACCATGTCTCAGTAACAGCGACTAAATCTACATTATCAGTTGCCATGATTGTCAAGAGGTTCATGGATTATTGCCTAAACTGTGAGCATTTGTAGACATGACTCTAAGCTTATCATTTTTTAACACACTTGCTACAGGCACCTTCTGTCCTTGTTTTGGGGGACAATTGGATTGATGTTTTATCATCCTTTTGTCCCCCACCCTGCTAGTTTAAATACATCCTAGCAAAACCTCTGAACCGCTCACTGAGAACATTTGTTCCCTTTTGAGAAAGATGCAAACCATAATTTTTTGTACAGTTTATTTCCATTCCAAACAGAGCTACCATGTTCTAGTCATATTTTAGTCATCTTTATTGTTTTCGTTTTAGTCGACTTAACCCCTTAAGACCGGAGGGCGTACTATTACGCCCTATTCTAAGCGGCTCTAAATGCCGCCGGGCGTAATAGTACACCCTCTGGTCTTTTCCTACTTACCCGGTTGCCGGTGATCGCGGTTGGGGGGACTCGCAGGGAGCCCCCCGCGGCACGTCCTTGCGAGGACCCCACAATCACATGGCCGGGAGTAGCTGGCTGCAGCATTGCCAGCAAGGGGACTGCCTGTAATGACAGGTGGTCCCCCTGCTGGCTGGAAATAAAATCAAATAAATTAAAAAGTGTAAAAAAAATAATAATATATACTTAGATCATATACATATATATATATATATATATATATATATATATAAAACAAGAGGGGATCTAAGTATATATATACATGTATACATACACACACACACGTACACTGTCTAGGTGTATTTTACTATTAATAAATATATATATATTAATATCAAATTACACGTAGACTGATACTGATTAAATATATATATAATTATTGTTATATATATAATATAAAAAAAATGTAAATACGTTAAATACGTTAAAAAACTAAATTAAAAAAAAAAATTAAAAAATATATAGATGTGTGTTATTTCGTTCTAACTGTATTGTTAAATTAATATATATATATCAAAATACACGTAGAACGAAATAATATATATATCTATATACATAAATATATACGTATATATCACTATATATACCTATATATAAATAAAAATATTTTTAAAAAATTATATAGATATACACATATATATATATATATACACATACGTATATATATATATATATATATATATATATATATATATATATATACACATATATTAATTCTACATATATATTTATGTAATATTTTTACATAGTTAGGTATCTTAATTAATTACAATTAGCGGGACCTGCCTGACAACCCATGCCAAAAGTAAAGGGAATTTAATTTGCTAGCACTATATTTAACCCTATAACTTTCCAAGACACCATAAAACCTGTACATGGGGGGTACTGTTCTACTCGGGAGACTTCGCTGAACACAAATATTAGTAAAACAGTAAAATGTATTACAACGATGATATCGCCAGTAAAAGTGAAGTTTTTTTGCATTTTTCACACACAAACAGCATTACACGGACGATTTTATTGTTGCGATACTTTTTACTGTTTTGAAACACAAATATTTGTGTTCAGCGAAGTCTCCCGAGTACAACAGTACCCCTCATGTACAGGTTTTATGGTGTTTTCAAAAGTTACAGCGTCAAATATAAGGCTTGTGTTTCATTTTTTTCACATTAAAATTCGCCAGATTGGTTAGGTTGCCTTTGAGACCCTATGGTAGCCCAAGAATGAAAATTACCCCTATGATGGCATACCATTTGCAATAGTAGACAACCCAAGGTATTGCAAACAGGGTATGTCCAGTCTTTTTTAGTAGCCACTTAGTCACAAACACTGGCCAAAATTGGCGTTTTTTGCATTTTTCACACACAAACAAATACTAACGCTAACTTTGGCCAGTGTTTGTGACCAAATGGCTACTAAAAAAGACTGGACATACCCCATTTGCAATACCTTGGGTTGTCTACTATTGCAAATGGTATGCCATTATGGGTGTAAATTTAATTCCTGGGATACTATACAGTCTCAAAGGCAACGTAACCAATCTGGCGAATTTCAATTTCAAATGTAACGTGCTATATTTGACCCTGTAACTTCCTAAAATGCCATAAAACCTGTAAATAGGGGGTACTGTCTTACACGTGAGACTTTGCTGAATACAAATATGTGTATTGTACTGCAGTAAAAGCAAACTGTATTATGACATTGACCGGTAAAATGTCATGTAGAACTAAAAAACTTTTTAAATTTTTTTATTTTCTCCCATTGTTTTCATATTAAATTATGTTTCATAGCTAAATATTTGATATTAAATGAAAGCCCTGTTTCCCCTGAATAAAATGATATATAATAAGGGTGGGTGCATTTACTATGAAAGAGGTGAATTACGGTTGGACAGACATGTAGCGCAAATGCCAGGTTTTGTTTACATTTTGTTTTGTTCACAACGTGTACATTTGGCTCCGTCCTTAAGGGGTTAATCTACTAGAGATTTTAGTCAACATAGCTTCTGTCTATTTTGCCCTTTCCCCAGCCGCTCTGTGTCTTTTTGTGTCCTCCCAGCCCCTCTAGGTGTCTCTCTCTCCCACGCTCTGGTCTGTCTCTTTTGCCCCTTTCACAGCCCCCTGTGCAGTGTAAATTTTGGCAGCAAATTTCAATTTAGTTTTAGTCCGTCTTTTGACTAAAAATTTTTTTAGTTTTAATCGTATTTTAGTTATCTGAATTATTTTAGTTGATTAAATCTCAAAATATTTAGTCGACTATAATTTGAAATTGTTAGTCCACAAAATTAACACTGCTATTCAGGATAGCAGTTTCTTTCGTGACAAGTAGATAGGTCCAAACTGGGGAACGTTTTTGGATTTAGCTAATCTCTCCTTTCCCTTTGTTAATTTTTGTCCCTGTCCTCCATTGCCTTTAAGGCATTTTCCACCTGTCTCTCTGGCATGTAGGTGCACCCTCTGCTTTGTAGGACACAGATAGTAGTAGGAACATTTTAGGTGACTTTTCCTCTGTATGCCCTTAAGATTATTTCCCACTCATAGGAATCTGTAAGTGAATATAGCTTACCTTTATATTAGTTGCAAATGCATATTGTTTTCTGTTCCCATCGCTTTCCCCTTCGCTGATTCAGTGAGTGGTTAGGAGGGTGAATCATTGAGTTCTTTAGTCTTGTTATCTAATAATTTAGTATCTAAGGCTGCTATAGAATTTAGCCTTTTGTCATAGCCACCAGCCACCTCCATTTACCACTCACATCTCTCAGGCAAACTTTTATCACCTTTTTTTTGTATATGCAGATCTTCCCATATGCCTATTTGTTTCATATACCTTTAGTAAGGTTATTTTCATGCCTTTTTTCTGCAGTCCATTAAACTGTATAGGTTTAGTTACCTAATAGCTGAATTTATACTATATACTATACTTCGTTTATCATTACTTTTTTTATTTTTATTTTTTGTGAGTGTGTAGCTGGTAAACATGCAGAGCAAGGCTACATTAAATTTTCTATATATATTTATCTATGCTGGATATAGTTTAACTTAACACCTTAAGGACACATGACATGTGTGACATGTCATGATTCCCTTTTATTCCAGAAGTTTGGTCCTCAAGGGGTTAAACCACTTAAAACACTTAAAATTGGTGCAGGCATGTTTGTGGATTTTTAGTGATAACAATTTCTACAACCCATACTCTGAGTATATTACATTTCTAATAGGGTCTAATTCAGTACTGTATTGCAGTTACATGTCCTAATTTGCCATATTGCAATGAACTGAACGGGTTAACAAATTGGTGTGTTTTCATCCTTTTTTTTTTTGTCCTATTTTGCAATCCCCCTAGGCAGTCACATGGACCACCAAGGTATTACTGGCAGACAAATCAACTAGCAAAACGTCTCACCACTCTGCTTATAAGGGTCCTCCCAACGACTCCTGTTTCAGAATCATTCCAACATTAGGAAATTCAAATAACAGTCAAATTCCCTGAGCCCATTTGGATACCAGCTCAGGAGCATATGCAAAGCAGGAAATTGGCGGAGAGATAAGAGACGAACAAACATCACTAGCTGCCAGGTGTCTACCTGAAAAGAAGGTAAGAGATTTCGACCTCTAAGACCCACCAAGATAAGACGGGGACATTACTCAAATAATGGACCATTATGATAATAATAGCAGTACTATCGAGTGCTGGAAAGTAAATAATTGTCTATAGGTATATCTTAGTGTAGAAACTACATTTAGAAGATACATTTAGATAAAACGACATAGATATATATCGACCAGCAGTTCTGCCCTCATCAGGACTCAGAACATTTATTTGTATCATGCGAATGACCCAAATGCAGGTTTTTATAGAGTAGAAATCACATAAAAAAAATAATTTAAAAAAATGATGAATCTTTTGATGCACGGTGATAAATTTTAAGCATCTTATGTAAATTAGTATTTACATTAATTTCAAGAGGATGTATCATAAATACAATTTTTTTTTCTACCAGAACATTACAGAACATTCTCTGAGGTCATTTTCACCATACGGCTTCCACCATGGATGAAATGGACGCACCCCAGATGAAGAAGGAAGTTGAGAGTCTGAAATACCAGTTGGCCTATAAGAGAGAGATGTCTTCAAAGTCTATACCAGAGTAAGTACTCACACTTCTCTTGAAATTGCACTATTTAAAAAGAATGTTTGTTTTTTTACACCATTCACCATGCTCAATCTTTTTTCTTTTTGGTTTTTCTTATTAAAAAAAAAGAAAAAGAAAAAACCAAGATATATTAAAAAGTTCGCAAGTGCCATCTCAATTCAGTTAAGTCCAGGCACAGCCAAGACACACAATGTAAATGAGGATAAGAACTGTTTAGGGACAGAAATCTGTCCCAGTAATTGACAGGGAGTCAAGATGGAAGTTTAGATACAGTAGTGTGAATTTCTACATGTAATTTCAATTTTCAAACCTCAAACAAAAATGTATTTGGTAAATATAGGTAATAAGTAAATCATTAAAAATCCAGGCAAGTGATCGATTTACCATTAGTCTGAACTACCATTTACACTATAAGGGGCTATTCGTCATGATAAAATAAGAATTGAAAAAAGAGCCATCTGATTACTCCTCCACCCCCCCTAATATTTTAAATACAAGAAAAATCTCAGTTACAACTTATTAATATGTAGGTTCTACAAGCAAGGCACATAGTTATTCAAATTGTACATTATCAGGAATTAAAAACTAATTCCAGTTTAAATTTCCATCTCTACAGTTCTGTGAATAACCCTGACAGATTCTAGATCATGGAAAAAAGAAGCTGAACGTAGCTGCAAGTTTAATTAAAAGTTGAATTATATGAAACATAAGTGGATCATAATTACACGTGACCCACTCATTTTAAGTAATTAGGGTAAACCAAAACTACCAGAAGTGGTCATTTCGTACTTTAGCAAGTTAACGATTTCTAACTTATTATATATTGTTAATATTAATAAGAAATTGCTAAATCTGTGTATATTTACCTACACTCATAACGAAAAGGTCAATGGCTTGGATGTTTGCACAAACCAGATTTCCCTAATTTTGCCTGTTGTCTATCAAACCAGGAGTCAGAGAAAGAACCTGCAGATCGTAGGGTGATAGAAGTGAAGCGTGCGGGTCCTAAAATGTGCAATTTCTTTGCCACTTCTTCACAATTCCTTGTTTAATGAATACATGCCAGAGTGTCAGATATACCCCCAAAAAATTGCTGAAGTCCTAATAAGCTTTCCCTTTGAGTAGTTCCTGCGCAGGGATTCTGGAATAAGGGTTATTCTCTAAACACAAATGACAAAGTTTAGGCAAAAAGTGTAAATTTAGAAAAAGTGTCCAACTCAACTATAATCACAGCCCTCTTTAAAGGGACACAGTTTGGGTGTATAGATCACATTCCTGTAGTCTCACTAGTCAACACTTTGCCATTTAGGAGCTAAATCACTTTTGTTTTTGGTGCCCTAGTTACACCTCCCCTTGCCTTGCTGTGACACAGCCTGCACACAAAATAAAAATAAAAAAAATGGCTTAATTGCTCATTTCAATGTTTTTATCTCCTGCTCTGTAAATTGAACTTCAATCACACATAGGAGGCTCCTGAAGGGTTTAGCAAGCTTTTAACAGAGTAGGAGATAATAAATTCCAAATGAAACAGAATGAACACAGGAAGTTTAAACATTAGATCTCTTTAAGTGTTTAGGAAGACAGGGCGGTGTTACTAGTGCAGTGATTTAACTCCTAAATGGCAGAGAACTGAGCAGTGAGACTGAAGGGGGATGACGTATGCACCAAAACGGCTTCCTTAAGCTAAAGTTGCATTGATGCCTATAGTTTTCCTTTAAATTCCTTTTAAAATAGTGCACCTTAAAGCTACATTTTGCTATCTGGCTTTCAATCCAGTGTATAGTAAATAAATAGCAACGCAAGATTATTCACCAAGGTAAGAATTCAGAGTAACTTTCATATTTAAGGTCAAAGTAGCTGAATTGATAGATTCTCTAAATCAGCTATGCTATCAGTTCTACTACTGTAGCCATACATTTTAAATTCTCACTCTAGTGAATAACCATGATTGTTTGCAAGCTGGGTTATGCTAATCTGAACCTGGGTTTGAAAGTAAACTGTGGGACAGCACGAGATTACCCCAGGCTCCCTAACCACATCTATTAGTTGAAGTGATGATAGTGCCTAAAGTGTCCCTTTAAGGTGCACTTTTAGAGAAACAATTTAAGTTGCAGCAAAATGTAAAGCTAAAAACCACCACCTGTTGTGCATATTATTCAGAAAGTGTATGTGTGTATATATTATGTTTTTGCAATTGAAGATGCAGTTCTAGTTAATAGGGGATCTCACAGAATTCCCTTGACAGGATCGGAACTTTAGAATCCAAGTTTAGAGACTACATTTGTGTTTTTTGTTTTTTTTGTCATTGCAAAACAAAATACAGCCTACCAAGTTCACCTTCATCAAGTAGAGAAAAACCACTTCTCAGTTGGCACTTGCAGTCTCTCTGCATAATGTAGAGGGGAAGAGAATGATGTCCCTTTCCTCCTCTCATACACTGTTGTAGCTCAAACTAAAAGAGCGGCTTTTAAAATACATTAGAAAGGGGAATGGGACAGCTCCCATTACATACATCTTTCAGTCATACTTATTGTATTTTACTGGCACATACTAGACAGAAGCCATCACTCTTCATTATCTGAGAGGGTAGCGGATACATGGAATAGCCTTCCAGCTGAAGTGGTAGAGGTTAACACAGTAAAGGAGTTTAAGCATGCGTGGGGTAGGCATAAGGCTATCCTAACTAAAAGATAAGACTAGGGACTAATGAAAGTATTTAGAAAATTGGGCAGACTAGATGGGCCGAATGGTTCTTATCTGCCGTCACATTCTATGTTTCTATCTCACCAATCTTTCTTCTGTTTAAGGTTGTTAAAGTGGATTGAAGAAGGAGTACCAAACGATCCCTTTCTTAACCCAGAACTAATGAAGAATAACCCCTGGGTAGAAAGAGGCAAATGTAGCATCCTGTAAAAGGACCGGATCGAACCTAATCCCACTCTGAATGTACTTACTGAAAATAAAAAAATAAAAATAGCTTACACAAATGACAATAGGGTAAGAAGTTTAGATATGCATTATATGGCATTGACCCGCAGAGCTTAATAACAAACTATAGCAACAGAAACAAGGGTGCTGGAATCATATGGTGGTCTGAGTACTAAATAACCAATACACATGTGGATGGACTGTGCGGTAGCATTGCTGTAAAGATTAGATCTTGTTTTGTTTTTAACCTAAAAATTATAATCTAAGATTCTATTTTTGTTTTTTTTTGTTTAAATGTTGCAAGATGCTTTGCAGTGAAAGAATTAGAAAAAGGATAAATTGCACTTCTACGTATGCTGGTCGGCAGATTTGTATGACAGCAATAAAAACAGGCCGGCGCTTTCCCTGAAAAGCGCACAGTGCAATATTAAACGCGTATTGCTCTGATGTAGCGAAGCCCTGTTCCTGTACCAGACAGACGTTACTTCTGGTCCTCCATATGCCATGGATCAGATTTCCCATAATGCACAGTAATCCTTTGGTTAACTAAGTATCATGGGAAATTGCTTATGCAAGGCCAATGGCTTTCCTTCTGTGATATGTACCTTCCAAGTTACGCACCGTTACATTTTTCAGGTTAGTCATTGGAGGCGTATGAAGTAACTGAAGCAAGATGTTCCCCGTTTCTTTACATGCTTTTTGTTTAAAAAAAAAAAAAACAAAAAACAAAAAAACTTGAAAGCAAAGTAATTTCTGAAATTAGAAATATTCATATCTAATAAACTCTGTGCTTTTTTTTCCCTTCTGGTTTGACGTGGTTTTATTTTTTTTCCTCAATTACATTTCACATTTTATTGTTGGATTTTCAAAACTTGAAGAGTGTGGGGGAAAGATAAAACACTTTTTTGATGGTCAACTTAATGTATAGTGAATAAACTCCTACGAGTACTAGTATTACTTAATCCCTTAAGGACACATGACATGTGTGACATGTCATGATTCCCTTTTATTCCAGAAGTTTGGTCCCTAAGGGGACCACTATAGTGCCAGGAAAACAAAGTGCCCCCACCCTCAGGGTCCCACTCCCACCGGGCTGAAGGGGGAGGAAGGGTGTTAATAACTCATCTTTCTCCAGCGCCGGGGACTCTCCTCCCTCTTCTGATGTCATCGACTGAATGCGCATGCGCGGCAAGAGCCGCGAGTGCATTCAGCCAGTCTCATAGGAAAGCATTCTCAATGCTTTCCTATTGACGCTGGTATCATCTTGCTGTGAAAATCACAGTGAGAAGCGCGGAAGCGCCTCTTGCGGCTGTCAATGAGACAGCCACTAGAGGCTGGATTAACCCTAAAGTAAACATAGCAGTTTCTCTGATTAACCCTAGATGGACTTGGCAGCCAGACCACTTCATTAAGCTGAAGTGGTCTGTGTGCCTATAGTGGTGCTTTAACTTAAGAGTGGTATGCAGAATGTGGTATGCAGAATGTGCTTGTACTTTCTTAGCTAATTAATTGCCTATTTAACAATTGTGCATTCCATAGAAAAGCACTTTTTTTTTTTATAAACAGCCATTCTACATGTTAGAAGCAATTTTTAATGGTGGATTTGATAAAACAAGTTTGGTACCAGGTCAGTTCACTACTGGAAAGCGGATGAAAATTTTTATATGCCAATCTCATGATGACCAATGGTTTTCTTTTGAGTGACAGGATCACATGATCAGGATAAATATATATATATTTTCCTTAGATAGCCGTGGCATCCTGCATTAAGGTCCTTTAGATACCATTAGGGATTTAACATTAGAAATGTTTACATTTACAATTCTATTTGTGAACTGAGTAACCTAAATGTATGATCTTAGACTAAACTAAAATTTCTCAGCGGCTGAGATTATTTTTTTTTGGTAAAAGAAATCCAAAACAAAAAGCACACACCTTGAACTGATAATCTGAAAAAAATAAATAAAAGCATCAGCTCTTGAAAAATATTTTTCTTTAATACAAAACTGGTGGAAAGAAAACAGGAGTAAAAAATGTTTTCTTAAAGGATAACGTTGCATCGGCTAAATAGTTTTTTTTTTTTAAATTTCTTATAAACAACTGCCAATAGATCCAAAATTGTTGGGCATTCTCAGTCCAAGCATATTGATGATAACTTCAGCTGTACTGAAGTACTCTAAGATACTCTAACCAACAGGTTTCTGGTAACTCCCATATCGTATTCTGTCCCAGGTGAGAGCTGGACCAATCAAAACACTGAGTTAGTGATACGTTTTCTCCATTGCTTTGCCATCGGTATTGGGAAAAAGTCATTTATTCTAAAAGGATTCCTTTATCTTCAAATAAATATTATAGCAAGTCTTTAATGTGTATGTTCCGGCGGACGGCATTAGAAACGCCTTCGTTAAATCGAAACCAAACATCGCTGTTCCCAACTGCTTTGCCAATAAGTTTTTCTATAGGGATTTCTTGGTTTGGATTATCTGAGGATTGAAAAAAAAAAAAAAAACAATTCATAGCTCAGATATTTTATTCAGCAAATACCTTAGCGCTGTACAATGCGTGGACCAACAGACACGTAATTGTAACCAGACAAATGGACGCACAGGAACAGAGGGGTTGAGGGCCCTACTCAATGAGCTTACATGCTAGAGTGTGTGGGGTATACAAAGGGTATAAGAAGAGGTAATGAAATAGGTTGCAAGAAAAGTAATCACTGAGAACTTAGGTTATTTTTGACAGTTGCAGGAGGAGAGTCATGGGGAGGTGGGGGGGGCGGGGGACTAAAACCCACTAACAGTTTAATTGATATACTTTCCTGAAGAAGTGTGTTTTCAAAGATTTTTTTAGGGAGTGGAGACTGGGTGAAAGTCTAACGGAGAAGGGAAGGGAGTTCCGCAGAAAAGGTGTAGCCCTGGAGGCGAGCATCAGATGGAGTATGGACAGAGGATAGATGTAGGTCTTCGGCAGAGCACAGGGGCCTTGACGGCACATATTTGTGTATTAGGGAGGATAGGTAGGTTGGAGCAGCATTGTGTAGGGACTGGTAAGCAAGCACCAGAATCTTAAGTTGAGCCCTATATCTAACAGGAAGCCAATGTAGGGACTGACAAAGGGGGGAGGTGCAAGCGGACATGAAAATGAGCCTCGCCGCCGTGCAATCTGGGAGCACGTAAGACCACTGAGAAGGGGATTGCTGTAGTCAAGGTGAGAAAGAACAATGGCATTGACCAGATATGTTATAAGCTATACAAAACGTTAAAATAAATTGGGTTAAGTATATGGTAGAGAGTTTCTGACATAATGTGCTAAATCTAACGGTGAAAATACGACTGGCTCTAGTCTTTTATTGATCAGATTTAGAAACTGTACAGTTAGACAATGAAATCTTACCTCCACTAATCAAAACAAACCAAATGAAGTTAGAAGTTGCTTGCCAGCACTCTATGTTTTCCCTTCTTCAGAAATCATTAGTGCTTGCTGTGCCTTTCCGTATAAATAATTTATCCCATAAAATGTTGTATAGAAGCTCTCGGAATGAAGCAATATGGTTTTGTCTGGATACAGGCGTCTAATTGTTTTATATTTCATGAGCTGCACTCACTAAACAATAGCACTAGAGAATAATGATGTGCACTAACTTAAAAATACTAACATAACATGCGTAAAAAAAGAAACAGCAGAAATCTGGTTCAAGGGACATTATAGGCTCCCAGATCAGCTCATTGAAGGGGTCTGGGTGCACTGTCCCGGTCAACTTAACTCTGTTACTGAGAAACTGCAATAATTACTATCCAGGGTTAACTCTACCTCTAGTGGCTGTCTACCAGACCACCACTAGAGAGACTTCGGGTCGTTAGGCGACTTTGGCCACATAAAGGAAGCTTGATGCCCTCGTGCTATGCATGAGAACATCCAGCGTCACCCAAAACCCCATGGGACTCATTTCACTCTGTCAAATGTGGATTTAAGATTCTTCTCATCACTATAAACAGCAGGAGCCAAATGTTTTGGCATGCCACAGTAGTCTACTCAGTATCCCCAATGCCAGTGTGGGAACAGCTGCGCAGCCAGTATTTCCTGACGCTGCACGGCTACAGCGGTGTACCAAGTATTGTTGATGCCTGCACGGGTACAAAGATGTACTCAGAAAGCACAACCCCTGCGAGTGTACAGTCCTGAATGTATAAGAGACTTCACCAGGCCAAGAATGATAAAAGTTATACTCCATGGAATGTGAGAGCAGAATGCCTACAAAATGCTAGATCTCGATGCTCACATTTGAGTATGGTTCTGCATTAACACAGATTTCTTATGAATGGCTAATCTTATTTTTTGTAACTTGTGATTTCAAAAGGCTAGCCCAACACTTCTCATCTGATTGCAGGTGAGCGTCCGTATTTTTATAACTAGAGCGCCGCATTTTAACTGCTGGTGTGTAACCGTATGCCATAAATTCGATTACTATTTGTTTTTAGCACACACTGCTAATGGCTTGTGCTGATCGTAATTAACTTTACCACCACCACCGGGGGTTAAATGCCCGCCACGAATTATTGATTTTTCTTGGGGGAAACGTAAAGCTTTTACTTACTTGTAACTGGAGAAATCACTTTCTTGACTATCTGCCGGCCAAAGAAATCTTTTTCAGGCTGTGAAAAAAAAAAGGAATGTTACGGTCAGTATATCGAGATTTATTTATTCTAAAATTATGTTATTAAATAGGCTTTTTAACTCAATAGCAGAGAGCATGACAATCTGTGAACAAACAGCTGGGGCATGTCACAAATCCTGAAACAGAATATATAAAATTATTTCTGATTTTTATAGATACGTGAGATAAAAATTTGGTTGATAATCAATATATAATTTATAGTAGCATGCCCTCAGGGGAAAACCACAACCTGGACGTTGCACCTATTTTAAAAATTTATTTAGATCAAATTTAGAAAATGTTAAAAATATGTAACTAAAATAACATGTCATTGAAATAAAATATACAACTTATTTAAGGTTCTTGCATATGCTTCAAATGCACATTTGTGCTGCAGTAACAGCAGTCCCTGTACAGAATAGGACAAGACTCCTCCAATAAAGAGGATCATCTGGTCTAGGTGGTCTGAAGTTGTCCCATAAAAAAAAAAAAACTCTAGTTCAACAGGGGGTTATGGGTTATGTAGTTCAGCAATTCAAGGCATTACACATGACTAGCAGAACTGTTGAATTAACAGATAGCCATGCTGCAGCTGCTATCAGCCTGCTGACAGTCTAGGTCAGGATTGTGGCTCTGCTGTGCACAATGTTTGTCTATGCTTGCAAAACAAGCATGCTTTGGTCTCTGTAGCAGCCAGTGAGGGTAAGTGGGGGGCAGGGGGGGAACTTGAATGCCATGCACAGAGTATTCAAATATTTGTATAACCAGATAAGGAGGCATTGACTGATCACTTGATATCTAGGCCAAAATGCAGCAATCTTATATTAGTTATGATTTGTATAAACTGTGCAGTTATAAGAAAAACATGACAGGAGGCTATGACAGAGCTTCTGCGCCATAACCTGTGCAGTAACCACAAGCTATTATTGTGCTTGAAGTGTCTATTTAACAATAAAGATAACTAAAGAATTGGAACTCAGAAGACTGGCAAGGTTCTGTTAAGTTGACTAAAAGTAAGCAGCTTTTGAGTGTAGGAAAAGACAAATGAGTGAGATACTTGTATAAACAAAAAAATACCTAAAGAAAGTTAACCCCCTTCCCAAAAAGCCATATTGGATATTTTTTGGCAATTAACTTGTTAGAGACCAATGTCATCACAAAATGTCGTCACAATCCAGTGGTTTATTAGCTCATGCCGAGATATACTGCTTATATAGATTGTTCAGAGCCTTGCTAATCCATGGAGTAATAGATTAATGTACTCATGAAAAGTGATAAGTTAATTGATTAAGGCCTAGTTTAAGGCTTGAGTCATAGCTATTAATCAACTTCCACACCCATTATCTCACGTGAAAATTGGCCAGGTGAAAGGTAGCTGAATTATTCTGATTATCAGAATTGGTAGATCAACAGCTGGAGCCAACGAGGAAACCTACAAATCGCTTGAAGGGCATTCTATTTCTAGTTTTTGCAGACACATTCGATGAGCATCTTACCACCATGTAACTACAAGGAATAGAAAGCTTTTAGGGCTTTGAAGTTTTCAGACCTACCCTTTCCTCGATGGATGCCTTCTTCACAATGTTCTCCAAACGCTGCTCGTGGTTTAACAAGCCAGATTTTGAAGCATTTTTTGTAGCAGTCTTGTTATCTGCAGTCTTGCTAGTAGCAGCATTGTCCTAAAAATGAGCAAAACAGGTTACGAAGATCATGGATGGGGAGCAAAACAAAAAAACAAAATTGCTGAGAAGAGGACTGAAGGAAAAAAAAAAAGTAAAACATTTCCTCTGTATATTCTCATATTTACTTTTTATTTTTAGATTCAGAAATCAAATTGTGATTTAAAGGACCACTATAGGTACCAAGCTGAATGAAGTGGTCTGGGTGCCAGGTCCAGCTAGGTTTAAACCCTTTTTTTTTTTTTTAATAAACAGAGCAACTGCTAGGTTTATAAATGGGTTAATCTAGCCTCTAATGGCTGTCTCATTGACAGCCGCTAGAGGGCTTCCGCGCTTCTCACTGTGATTTTCACAGTGAGAAGACGCCAGCGTCCATTGAAAAGCATGTGAATGCTTTCCTATGGACTGGCTGAATGCGCGAGCGGCTCCTGCCGTGTATTCAGCCGAAGAGGAGGAGGAGAAGAGGGAGGAGAGCCTCCCGCCCGGCGCTGGAGAAAGAGGCAAGATTTTAACCCCTTCCTCTCCATCCAGCCCAGCGGGAGGGGGACCCTGAGGGTAGGGTCACCCTCAGGGCACTATAGTGGTCCTTTAAGCTTGGCTTCCACTTAAAAAAAATTTTAGATTTTTGAGGTGGAAGTAGCAGAGGGTCTAAAGTCTAAAACATCTTGACATATTGTACAATCTGACCTGTTCTGATTTCTAAATCTAAAAATAAAAAGTAAATAAAATATCACTATTTATAAAATATTCTATAAACTATTATAAGTCGCTTTATAAACAAAAGATACTAAAACAGCGCAGAGCGGCTTGTTACAGTTGCTTTCTTTTTGCTAAGTAGGTCATGATTAAGAATAAAAAAAACAAACCCACACACGTACATATATAGTTCTAGACACAATTGTCTAGCTAAATCACTTCTCTAAAACCTATTACCAAACTATACCCAAAAAGCTTAATGTGCTCTCTGCAGTTAAGGTAGGTTATTGGGCATTTCCTTGGGGAAGAAAAATCAACGAAATGCTAATCTAAGGCTGGGCTGCGATACACATGCTCACCACCCACATGTTCGCATAAAGCATATTTCTTAAAGTAATCTTGCTCTCAAATGCTGCAGTATCTAAATCTTTATAGACATGGATTAGAAAAATTGCACTAAAGCTAGGTTTGGACATTACAGATACAGAAAAAAATACCATAAGCCCAAACCACATGTTTAAACTGGTACATTGAATCTACAATGAGAGATGATCTGGTTCTCTATATGAAAGCATTGGAGAATTGGGTCAAGTAGTAATAGTTTAAAATCTTGAAATAAAATCTGGTCACTACTGACATCACTTATATATGTTCCATCCTTCTATTAGCCTGAGAAAATTAGAAATCTAGACGGAACAAGGACAACACCAATTCTGAAGAACCATGAATCGTTTTAAACAACACCCATAATAGTTTTTTGAAATAGATAAATTAGGCTTGAGATATACTTTATATGTATGTAGGTCTCCGATCTTTATCACGATGCAGGGTTCTAGCTTAGGATGTTTTTATATCACAGCCATAGATATGGAACAATATGGTTTTAATCCTTATTTCAAATTAAATGATATATGCTGACAGAGATTGTGATTCAGTGATGAAACGAGGATATATCTTCTTACAATTAAACATCCCTGGGCAGTGAACCAAATCAGAATTTAATTCACAGATGCCTGAGATTTTGGAAAGATGCTCTAAAATACTTGAATATCATTTTTTTAACCCCTAGTAACATGAAGAAAACTATTTAAAAAGTAGTTTGCAGTCTTCCACGTTTTTTGCAGCACTCCCTGCCTTTGCGGTGTCTGCAGGTTTTTTTTCGACCTCATTTTAAATACTTATAGTCAAAATTAATGCTGACAACACTGCAGTTTCTCTGGCATCAGAGTAACCTCTCCAAAATCTTCCACCCAGCAAATCGGCTGTATTGGTTTATTTGGAATTTGTTTTAACTGAATAAAAGCCCACTGGAAATCACTAAATCAAATCACTGGAAACCTGCAGTTGCAGTATCAGTTATGCCTGTAAATGACTATAGCAATGCAGTACATGATGTTGCTTCACTTTAAGTCCATTTTCGTTTTACATACATGCTCTGGTCCCATTGTGTACTTAAAAGTAAGGTATGCCTGTATATTTGTTATGACTGAGCCATAAGTACACCCCAATGAGCAATTGGAGGTGGTTAAATGAGAGAGCATCTACAAACATCCTACATGCAGACAGCGTTATAAAGGGGCTTTTAATCTATACATCAGCTGCTCATTTTGCTACATGCAACAATTTGATATTCTTTATCAGGTTCTGACCTAGTCAATCCCAACTTTTAGGATGACATGCTCACTTGCAAACATCCCCTGTGACTCTGTGCCTGGTTCCCACAATGAGACCCTGGGTGCCTAGTAACAATGAAAGTCCCATAGGACATTTAAAGTGAAGTGATACTAAATGGTTATATGAAACATTACATTCTAGAATGTCATCCACCTTCTATGATGTGAATCATACACTGGAAACAACCCCGGTCCCTGGATTTCCTGAGCAAGTCTCCTGTATGTATACTGTAATAAAGTCCCGAGGGAGCTTACTCATCTCCTTATTGTGGAGACTTTTATATAAACAACAAATGGCACCCAGCACAGGCGTCACTTGCAACTCTTAATTATGCTTCCTTGGCTTGTGGTCTCCAAGATACAAACGCAAACAAAAACCCTCATGGGGCCAAATTGTTTCCAGACTATAAATGTGTACACAGTACCTTGCAGGCACTGAAAGTTTCACCTGTAAAACGCCAAATCTATATATAAGGCAGGGGTAGGCAACCTTTGGCAATTCAGATGTTGTGGACTGCATTTCCCATAATGCTCTTAAAGCCATAATGCTGGCAGAGGATCATGGGAAATTTAGTCCGCATCTGGTGTGCCTGAGGTTGCCTACCTCTGCCTTACGGTATAGGCACAGGTAGAATCTGGATTAATCATCTTGCTTTATACAGGTTATAGTTAAAAGAAAAACAATTTAAAAATAAAAAAGGTTCATATTCCCTGGGCCAAAACACATGCATTTTAAATTCACAATATCATGTCTGTTGTCCTTTATTTTTTCCCCCTCGCTGCTGCTGTTGTACATTAACTTTTTAGTAGCAAAGTAATTTTTTGAGGCAGCCACACATGAACATATATCCCCAGCCATAACTGCTATCATTACATTTCTTTCATCTCTAGAGAGAGAGCAAGATTTTGTTTCTATAAGAGATCACAGCAGATGTTGCTGTAATATATATAAAAAAAAGCAAATAAAACAAGATGAAGATCCAATAATGGCAACAATTATAGTCAACAAAGGAACGTTCACTTAATGAAGCAGTTTTGGTGTATAAATCATGCCCCTTTAGTCTCACTGCTCAATTATCAGCCATTTAAAAGTTAAATCACTTTGTTTAGACAGCCCAAGGCACACCTCCCTGTAAGTGACAGACAGCTTTCCTAAACGCTTCCTGTAAAGAGTCATCTAATGTTTGCACTTCCTTTACTGTAAATTCTGTTTAATTTTGAATTTATCTCCTGCTCTGTTAATAGCTTGCTAGACCCTGCAGGACCCTCCTGTATGTAATAAAAGTTCTATTTACAGAGTTGGAATAAAAACTTTACGTTACATCTGATTTATAGAGAAAACATTTTGTTTTCATGCAGGTTGTGCGAGTCACAGCCAGGGGAGGTGTGGCAAGGGCTGCATAAACAGAAACAAAAGGTAATTTAACTCCTAAATGGCAGTGAATTGAACAGGGAGACTTCAGAGACATGATCTATACACAAAAATGTCTTAATTAAGCTAAAGTTGTTTTGGAGACTATAGTGTTTAAATAAAACCAGTAACACACAAAAGTAAAAAGAAAACTAAACGAGCGGCTGTATTTAAGTGGGAAAAAAGGAAAACCCCAAGATCTTTATGTCTGAAATTCTCATATTTTATAAATATTGTTTTAGTAATCGTATAAAGAGCATCACCTGTAGGTTATACAAAAGGTTCTAAATCTCTACATCTTTACAGGAAAGGGAAAGTCTTCAGATTTTCACAGTTCCTAATGCACAGATGAGTGGTCTCCACAGAGACCTCAGTAAATTGTGTCTTGCAATTCATGTCTGTTTTTAAGTCCTAAGTAGGCTTAGGAGTCGGACTTCCCAACATCCAACTGCTATAGATAAGAAGTGAATAAATCTCTCCTGGCTCACTTCCAACACTTAAACCTTGTTCTTGGTTTGCACTGAGAAAGCTCCTGGAGGATAAGCCCAAATGAAGCTTTGAGTATGGCTGGACAAATCCCATTCGCCTCATTATTTCCCTGTTTTAAAGTGGACTCTTCAGCCAAAGAACACTTGAAAGGCAAGGCCTTCTAAAGGTAAATTTGATTTTAAGTGAACCAGTCACGTCGAGGTTACTTTAAACTATAACATTTCCTCTGGGAGCGGAGATATGAATCTATCGTATAATTTATTGTAGTGATAACAAGTACACTTAAAGGGTTACTCCAAGCACCATGACCACTTCAAATCACAGGAGGCAGTATGTGCTACACACAGAGCTTCACCCCTTTGTTGCTGGGGGTTTAACTGCACCTTCAACAAGAGTTTTGCGCTGGCTAATATCAGTTCTGTACATATTAGATATGCGTTATGCACACAGAATGTGGGTGACAGGCATCCAATGGCAAGGGTTACTCCGACCAAAAACAAGGCTATTAAAATGCTTCTTTTGCCAGAGTAACCCTTTAAGGAAATGGGCATTGAGAGCTCAACTCTGTAGTGTGCTACCTTGCCAGCGGATCGGCATCACTTGCATAACTATTCTCCTTTAGTTAGCCTGAGACAGAAGAGGAATATCACAGCAGCTCACCCACTTTAGTTACTGTGACGGAGAGCTGGAGAACTACCCGTGTATGGTTCTCCTGCCCACTCAGTCTCCAGCAGAGATCTATGCAGACTAAGCTAAAGAATAGAGTGAAAGATGGAGGAATAAAAACCCCTATACATTTGCTAGTCATTCTGGTACAGATGAAAACTGATAAACTTAAATTGTTGGTACTACTTTAACCCCTTAAGGACACATGACGTGTGTGACATGTCATGATTCCATTTTATTCCAGAAGTTTGGTCCTTAAGGGGTTAAGCCATACGATTGACTAAAAAACAAAATGTCTAGATCAAAGAGTATATTTAGCTGAAGGTTGCTTCCGCGCTCCAACGCAGTCTCAAAAGCTTCAGTTCACTGCCACGTTTAACAGACTGATACTGCAAAATAATCCCTCATGTAACATTTTAAACTTACCCTGTCCCTCTTTTTTTTGTCACTCTCTCTTTTATTGTGGCAGAAGATTCACAATGTACAGAATAGTAAGCAAGGGGTAAAATCAGATGGTACGTCGCATATACAATATACGACATTTAACAAATGATACTCCCAAGCGAGTCAGCTACTTTTTTATACTACAAACACATGTTAACAGGTTAGATATTCATGAATGGAGTAAGGTTTACATGCTAAGAACATGGTCTGACAGGCAAGGTATGCATGAGTATTTTACGGGGCATGTACAGGCGTTAATATTAAACAAGATAGGACAGTATGCATGTGTGCACGACTAAAAGTTAACCATGGTGTGCCTGCATGAAAAGCTTTAAATGCGTGATATCAAAATAAAGGGAAAAGAAAACGAAGATAAAAACATTTGAGATTGAGAAATGCTAATAAGTGAGAGTACTACCACCTAGAGGAGTTCTACTGGCTACAGCCTATGCATGCTTAATAGTGGGCTTAGCTTTATGTAAGGAGAAGAGAGAAACCGTATAAAACCAGGGAGAGTAATGGGCTCTGAGTTCTGTGGTCATCCAATGCCTGTTGCCAGCTGGCCATGCTGAGGCAGGTGATCAGGGTCTTCAGGATCATCACAGGCTCTATATCTCGTCGCTGTCCACCAGCTCCCAGCGTTATAAAAACTCTCCTCACTGCGTTCAGGCTGAGTCTTCAAGGTTCCGTAGAGCGCTGGACCGCCTGGGCGCTTGCAGGTAGGTAGGGGAGGTCGGCGAGATCTCCGTCTGGCAGGGTTTCTCCGTGTGGGAGCTCTGCGAGTAGGTTTTACCACAGGTACAGGCTGCGTGGGATGCTGGTTCTTTTTTGCTCTCAGCCTAGGAGATGTACAGGCGGTCAGTACAGAGCTGGAGGCCTCCGTGGTCACAGCTGAAATGAGTGAGTTGTTGTTGGCAGGACTCTCCGGGTCCAGAATGCTGCACACAGGGCATCAAAAGCTGCATGAAACGTAATTTCCCAGTGGAGCTTGGTCGGTGCGGCGGCCATTTAAGCTTCGCCACTCTCCTCTGGTCTGTAAGGTGAGCACAGGCTGCTATGCCTTGAATATGTAGTAGCGTTCTCTGGTGGGGACCGGGATATCCCCCACCAGTCCAGAGGTGGGGGGGGAAACCCATCTGCTTGATCTGCTCAGCCGACCAGGATGTCAGGAGAGCGTCCGTCTCTCCTAGGCCAGATCCGCCTGTAGGCCGCAAAGTCAGGATTTGGGTGATCCGGTGAGTAGCGACAATTTTAACGGTGGGTTCGCCAGAATGCCACTGTTCAATATGGTTGCGTTTGTGCGGTCTGATCTGCAGATTTGCGGGCTGCTTAAAATCAGTTCTTGGCTCACAAGGCATGCGTTTGCTCTGCTCGTATGTCAGGCCCCTGCCCCCTGTCCCTCTTTTTTGTATGTATGCTCTGTGTATCACCACGCTATTCGTACAACCGCAGTGAATGTACTTAGAAATTAGTTGGTATAAATAAAATACTTTAAATGACTTACCAAGTCACAAAAATGGTTATTGGTAGGTCAAGATGCCCCCTATAAATTACTGTAACAGACCAGCGCACAACTCTGGTCACATTATTTGGACTAGGATTTAGCTAGCACAGTGCAAAGAGGAAATGCTATTAAAAAGTTGTTTCAAATTGTATTTCAAACCCACTTCAGATTAAATTTATTTGTATTTGCTTATTTTTTTTTTTTTTAGAATGGTTTCTAATCCACCCAGCAAGAATGTCACAATTAAAAAAATACAATTATTTAAAATTTAAAAGACATCCTACAAAGTTTTATAAACAAAAAAAGCAGACAATAAGTAAGCGTGCTGGGAAATGGTATGATTTATCCAATAGCACAAATGGAAATGTTACTAATGCAAAGTATTTTTGTCAACATTCTCTCTGTATGAAATCTCTTCCTAGTTCATAATTTTTCAACCCACCTTCCCCAAATTCCTTGCTTGTTGGAAGGCTTCTGTTCTCCTCATCTTCTCCAGTTCAATCTCTCTTGATATAAGTTGCTTGGCTTGGTAAGTCAAAGGTTTACGGGCAGGGAGATCTGGAAACCTGCAAACATCTTCCACATTTCTGTAATACATGAAAATCAAAAGTGGATAACAAAGCACCCTGGATTCCTGAGAGCAACAAATGGCCATCGCTTGCTGCATAATGGTAGAATCTGACAAAGGAGTAGAGCCAACAGCTAATCCTGTGGCTTTGCTCAACGTGACTTGCTGAAAAAGTCAATTGCTGAAAAAGAATCAGAATATAAGAGAACAATGCACAACATATGTAACACTCGCTATGTCAGAGCAAAATGGCAACTGCGAGGACAGGGCATAGCCCAGCACTGCAGTAACTTGGATCATAGAGCGGTCACATATCTTGGTAAAAGATTTGGTAACTATACAAACTTCACACAGACTTCAACATTTCAAAGACAAAAGTCGCAACATATTGCTCACAAACCACAGGTAAAACATTTAGTTTAAACCGGATTCATTTTTCTTTCACTTTTATTTTTTCTATTTTCCTTTAATTCAAAGCTACGCTGAAGGGAAACAACTTCAGAGATTTAACTTTCCTACTTGTGGGTGAATACTGAACTTTATTTTCTTGCCATGTAAGGGGTTAATGTAGCTCTTATTAGAGGTTTAGGAGATAAATAGGTTTTAGTTTAAAAATGAAACTTAAATAAAGGTAGGTGAAAAACAGTCATTGGGGCAGGGCCTGGGCTTCATGGCGGCTGGACGTGCCTCGTGTGAGCTCCGAGCTCAATCTTCCCTTCCAGCCGGATTAACCGCACACCAGCCAGCCGGGACCCTCACAAACGCCTGAACCAAGTTATACCTACCGAAGGAACCAGCCAAAGTGCCCCGGGTCTGTCGCCTGCGGGTGCACGGAGTGACTGTCAAGGGAGGCGGGAGTGAGGCCTAACAGCACCGCCGGACAAACCCCTGCTCTGTGCGACCTAGTGCCCTCCCAAGCTTGCAACACAGCCCTGTCTCCCCCCCTCTGGACCGGCGGGGGTTATCCCAGTCCGCCCAAGCCTGCACATAGCAAAGCTACTCACCCTATCTTGCTGAAACGCAGCCCCAGCAGAACTGCACAAAATGGCGACCAGATTTGCCCTGAAAGGCGCTAACTCCCAGCAATCCATGCCAGAGCCTCTATACCCGGCACAGATCAACCAAAGGAGGCTGGACGAAATCTTCACCCGCTTCTGGGGCAGGTTGGAGGCACGACAAAACACAACAAAGCCCCAACATCAAGAGGACGACCAGGAGGCTGAAGCCGGATGGTGAGTGGGCCCCCTTTGATCACCCAAGTCTCCAAATCACACAAACCTCCCCACATTAAGAGATCACCTAGGCCGAGGGCCACAAGGGCCAGAACCCCGCAGCACCGTCCACACAAGCGGCGGATCACCCACTACAAGCTGCCACTTACCATCACAACCTCCTGCTTACCCCCTAGAGGGGAGGACTGGGACCCCAAGAGCCCCCAAGTCCGTGGCACGAAGATACTGGCCTCTCAGCTGGCCTGGGACTGGAGGGATGCCCAACGGAGCAGTCAGAGCGCAGCAGCCACCACCAGCGCCCTCAACACACAAGACCCACACTTCCCATCTTTGGGAATAAGCTGAACTCGAGTTTGCTGGCTAAAGCCGAAACGCCATAATGGGACTAATCACAAACAGTTACCACTGCTGATCCTTGATATAATAGAGAACTTAATATAGTACACTCACATGTTTCTTGCCTATAATCGTTTAAACTACCTTGACTGCACAAACTGTATACTGCTTGCTTGTACCTATATTTTACCTTAACACCTGATACGGTCTGGTGGAATGTTAAGCTTCTCTACAGCTCATAATTTTATTATCTCATCTAATATATGAAGAGGCAGTTCTAAAAATTTGCTAAATATTAAAATAATGAAAAAGCGTAGTTTATCAACTAAACGTTTAATTTAGACCGTCTTGCAAGATAGAGCACTGTTTTATAGCATAACGTACCTGCTTTGTTTTACTCTCCTTAATATAAAATGAGGCTAACAGTTACTCGGAGATGATGAAAACAGCATTGTATTATACTCGTATGAAACTTTATAGTCTCCCCTTTCTCATTCTGTACCCCATACAATGTTATGCCTCTAAAAAAAAAAAAAAAAAAATTAAACTAATTTGTTCAGTCATTTGCTTCAAGGAAAAAAATAAAAATAAAAATCAGATGAGAGTTCTCAAACCATTTTACAAGGACCACAGATACAGTAGCTTAAGATATTTGCATACCTGGTAGATTTTGAGTAATAGCAGGTAGTATTCCAGCTACAGTAGAACTGCACGTCTTATGCTCAGCAATCATTCGAAAACAAAAAGATGTATGTATTAAGGGCTGCATGTTTGCAGTTATACAGAACCAAACAATTCTAAATCTACTTCCAGTTTTAGATCCAAGGTCTAGTAATGACTCCATTGGAAAATGGTTTTGGAAAAACAGTTCCAGAAAAGCGCCAAGATTCCTTGGTTAGAATTCCAGAAGCCGTAAAAGAATTAAATATAAAATTCCAAGGTATCAACACAGACTTTGAGCAACCACCCCTACCGGCTTAACGCCTCCTACAAAACAACCTTTGCAAAACCCCTTAATGATTCAGACTGCGTTTCAGCGCAGTTAATATGTGTATATATACACACACACACACGTCCAAAGCAGGACAGGAAAGGGGGCATATTTGGAATTAACTCTTCCCCATCTGTACACCAAAGTCCTCAGAATAGTTGTTTCGATTATGATCAAGTAAGGAGTGTAACTGCATGGCTGGCAGGTAAATGACTAGGTACATTATGCCCAGAATTAGTAAAGCCATAGCAAGCGGTATTCCCCAATCAGTCATAAAAAGTGGCTCCTTGCAACGGGCCTGAAACATAAGTCGTCGCAGACACAAACGTAGCTGAAACACATGCAGTTCTATCGCCCACGGCAAGGACCGATGGTAGGAGAGAAGACGTTCTAATCTCTGTTCATGTAGAAGCTGATCAGATTAAACTTTCTCCAACATGCCTAACAAAGGTCACTAAGTAATCCAATAGAATTCTCTTAAATGCATCCAGAAAGTCAAACGAAACTAAATTTCATGGTACCAAAAGGCCAGCATACGAATCCAGCATAAAAACCAAATTATCCCATGTATGAAAACACAAGTGGAGAGAAAAAAAAAATCTGAGAAAATAAATTAAATTCACTAAACTTTTATTTCATTTTTTTCTCTCTTGGTTTTCCAACAGTTTGCATTTTACAAATGGAAAATTAGAAGTTAATGTACTGTGCATCTAAAGCACTAATGATTTGTAACAATCCTTGAGGTTCACTAAAATCCATGATTTTGGCAATTCTGTTCCAATAGATATAGCTGAGAAAACCTGGAACATCGGTGCTTTGACGATGTATCTGAAGCATACAATTTTTTTTTTTTAAAGAATAAAGTCTTCATATTTTTTTATCCCTACAGAAAACCATTTGGTAACTTTTAGTCTCCTTACACAAAGACTATTTTTAGACTGCTATCTGATACAGGAATTGGTCCTTATAAATGAAGGTATTTAAGGTAAGGCATTATTGAATTACAAATTCTTTTTTGGAGCACTGTAACAAAGATTGTTAGTCTCATGCTGCAATACTGAAACAAAAGCTCATTAACTTTTGAACAGACAAGACCTAATTTTATCTGCTAGACTACAACAATAAACATCTGTTACCAAGAAACAAGAAGGGGTTAAGAAGCCTCTTAAAAAAACCACAATAAAAAAAGGAATGTACTCTGGATTTGGTTTATTCTCAAAATTGGAATAGCTGTCAATCAGCATTACAGACTGGCATGCTCTTCAGAAAAATCTTTTTGACACATTAAGCATTGGAGCATGTTTCACTGCCTCAATTGAGGTCATTTGTAGCGGACTCTGCAGAGTGTGTCCCAGGCCAGAGCTGAACTGGTTAAGTCTGAAAACACTGAAGGAATAAAAAAAGTGTTTCAGTACGAAGTGCCATCTGCTCCAGACAAGTGTGCAGTTCATGTAATACCCAAAGCAAGCGGATAAGTCAAATAGCGAGCACTGCGGCATAATCTGTTAGCGAGGAAGACTATTCCTTGGAGATTATGTAACAGACCACAGCTTATCTCAGCTCTACCCTCCCTCCCCACCCACCAAAACCCAGCCATCAGAAAGCATGTGGCGTACATTGCACAAGAGATACAATGTCACCCTTACAGGAAGGGTCAACTAAATGAGATGCTCCAGAAGAAAAAAAACAAAAAACAAGCCCCTAAACAAAAATGTGTGTGTATTAACTATTCTAGGACCAGGTGGTCCTACTAAGGCTATGTTAAACTTTGTAAAAGGAAGCTTTAAAAGTGGTCTCAATTTCCATCACTGGTAGGTAGGAGTTAAGAAGTAAACCCCAAGAGTGATTTAGGGTTAGGAGGGTTTAGAGTTATGAGTGCACTTCCCCTGGTCCATATTCGTGAAACTGGATCAACCAGATGAGGAGAAGAATTACTTGTGAATAGGGGATTCATCTAAATGTACTGCATCTTGGCTGGTTTGAACAAGTAACAAAGAACATCAGCCGAATGCAGGTGCAATTTTGGTTAATATAATTAGCCGATTTGATTAAATTTGGTTTTGAAACCAATGGGCATTCCACTGCTTTCAGCTCTTAGTACAAAGACCTCAAATAATTAAATCCAAAGTCTGTGTTCTTATACATGTGACGTTCCTGATCTAGGATACAATATTCCATGTGAAGTTCTCTGGGGGTATTTAAAACCAGACTGGTTTGTGTTGAGGTGATGTGAATTGATTCAGAATACATTTTGGGCTGATCTCTAGATAAAATACCATCTGAGGAGGAAAGGTTACTTCTGTGAAATTTAAAATTAACCAATGCTAATGAGGTTTTTAATGAGGGTGAGGAGTGTATTGCAGGTAAATAAACACACTTACCTCCACAGCATATTTATATGTGTGTGATGTCCCCAATCAATCCTTTTGGTAAGCATATGGGTGCTTGTGCGCATGTAATGATTGAATTATAAAACAAAAAAAAAAGTCTATAAAATTAATTTGATACATGTGAATACTTCCTTGTTTTGATTTATCTGTGGTTTGTGATGTATCTGCAACCTAGACAAGTTTGAACTAATTTTGCCCCATTTTAAATGCATACTGTATTACACCACTTCATTATACGCAATTATTTTTATGTGGCTGTGTGAATCAAGAATACCTATAGAAACTCTACTGTGACCTCTGGTTACGTGGTGTTCTACTCACGGATCCAGTTTGTAGACATACTGCCCATCCATCGTACGCTCCTGGTGGTATGTCAAGTTATATGCCAGCATCGTGTTAATTAGCTCGGCCAGCTGTTGCTTCTCTTTCAGGCTGTACAGCTGCGTATTCACCTACAAGAAAACGTCACTTAAGTTGAGAGATCATTCACCAAGTTGCAGGAAAAGTTAGAGAGGGGGACATGTAATAGGCACATTCAATGTACAGAAAATCCACTTATTCTTTACACATTTGCTTTACGACATTTCTCAAGTCAATGGAGGGAAGATGAGATAACAGAATGAGACAGTGCCCTAAAACACATGGGCAGAGACAATGCCTGTATGGTCTATAAATAGAAGGTTTCGGAACTTGTTACTGGCCAAAAAAGCCTATACAACACACCAAACCAAAACCAAGACATCCATTTGAAGTTTCAGGCTCTGGAAGATGTTCAACCAATCATGAGTAGTCTCTTATCTTTCTATAGCACTAGTGAATTTGAAGAATAGGAGAACTCTGACAAAAGCTTAGAGAAACTCTGTAGCTTGCCCTTTAGTAAATCCCTGCACAGGTCTCAAAAAGATTCTGCTCACTTGTGTTATTACAGAGCATATCAGACTGATCCCACCCATAATGGCAGTTCAGGACCAAAACGCTGGCACATTTGTTCTGCACGAGAGATACAGCAAGCCTAGACGATTGTCTTGGCCTCCCTTGGGCCTCGTCAGGCCCTAAACTGCTGAACTTATCTAATATGCAGTAGTTAAGGGGGGTACAGAAGGACTATGTAGGAATTAGAGTAATTATTAAGCAGATTAAAAAAATAAACTCCCACTACTCAAAACCTAAACAACCAGCACAATTAATTGTAACTTCCCCTTTGCATTGTACCCATCATCTGGAGTTTTGCTATAAAACTTTATTTTAAGATTATATTTGACCAGAAATTAGCCTTATCTGAAATGTGCCAGTCTGTACATCCATCATTTGCAGTCAATATCTTACTCCAAGTAAAAGATCCTTCTAGCCAACATTGCCTACCAAACAGGCAACATAGTAGTAGACTGTCCCTGCTAGAGGTAAGCCATAGGTTATGTACAACACTTCTATAGAACACTGTATACTACAAGCGTCAATCTGCCGGGACGGGGAAGAGTTAAAGGTGATATGTCCAGCTAGGGAGATGCAGTGGAAAGGTATAGATTTCCTGTTTACAAACACTTATCTACCATCAATTATTCATCCAGGAAAGTGAGCAGACAAAAGGCATTGCTTCCAAACATCGATCAAAGAATAGCTGGGAACATTTTTCTTCAAGGAAACTTATTGATCTCGGCAGTGATACGCTCATGCAGGTAAAGGGCATACATCAATGTGTCTGATCACTCATATCATAGGTCTGCTTCCAAAACATGCTCCATTAACACTTCTCTTATCAGTGAGTGAATACCGCTGGCCAGGACAATTTGAGCAAGGTCAGACTTGTGCTGAAGAGCACCACATGAGTTCTGCTCTGAAGTATTTAGAATTCTTATGCTGAAGAAGTGAAATAGACAAAAATCATGGAACAGGACACGTGGTATTACCTTGTGTTCATTTATTATTTACATAACGCCAACAAATTCTGCAGCGCTGTACAATGGGTGGACTAACAAACACAAATATATTACATTATTATTCGCTATGCATTTAGAGCAAGTGCATGTATTCTCTATACTTTGTTGTAGGAAAGATTAGGTTGTCATTTGCTGCAATTACAAAAATGGATTAAAAAAAAAAAAAAAAAAAAAAAAAAAAAAAAAAAAAAAAGATAGTGATGCAATAACTACCAATTCTCCCCTTTTGAGGGGAGGGTGAGTGATACCTCGGTTTTATTTTTACTATAGAAAGTAAAAAGGGAGAGAGTTTTTTTTGTATATTATTGCAAGTCATAAAATGAATTACATTGTGGAGAATGGAAAGGAGAGATGCTTTAAGATATAGAGTGGTATGGTAAGGTTTCACATTACGTTAAACGAAGTAGGTAATGGCGCTATAATGTGGTCGTAATCTGTGTTAAGAAGGTAGGACAGATATAAGAACATTTTAAGCTAAGTGCAATTACCAGCACAAGCTCACAAAAGGTTATTTTAATATCGCATAAATCTAACCGTGCAATTTCTTATAATATCACTCTGCCTTTACCCAGCAAGCCACGTGCACACAACAGAAATCGGACTAATTAGATCACACAGAGAACAACAAAGAAGTGTGAAAACATTCTGTATTGATCTTTGAGTGGATCGCATATTCAGGCCATATATGGGGTGAGAACAGTCCCCGAAAGACCTACATATCTCCAGAGTAACCAGGAAGAAGAAAAAGGTTACTAACTGCACGTTGAATTTTATAGTCTAGGTCTCCAAGCTTTTAAAAGAATTGTGAGTTATCAGGCTAATTGAACAGGCCCTTTGGCTCACCCGGAGACACAAGATTAAATTGCTTTTTGTTAACTTCAGTCAAGATTTAAATTAAAAAGAACGTGAGCCCAGGGCTTACAGGTCTAAATAAAGAACATTAAAAAAATAACCTTCATCCACACGGGAACAAATTGACCTTGTAAGGACAATTCCAGCAATGAGAGATCAAGGAACGATGGGTTTAATGACATGTATTTAAGTTTGTCAGGGGACTTGGTCTTTAAAGAAGAAAGTTGTATAATAAGCTGGAGATTTGTATTTTTACCCCAGTTGTCTAACATGAAAATGTACAGAATCGCAGTAAGAAATGTTTTGTTAGAAACAGATGGTGCTGGTCATTGGATATCTGTACTATACTGCAACATGATTACTGAAAAATCCAATAAAAATTGATTCAATGAAAAAAAGAAAGGTTTTGTTAGTATTTTTACAGGAGGTGTAAAAACAAGAAATGTAAATGACCCCACCTTTGCATTGAGGGAAAAAAAAAAAAAAATTGCAAACATCCTAAACCACTCACTCAACCCTCCCCACATTAGATGTTCTATTCCCAACATGATGAGGACACTCAAATTTACCCTCTCTTTCCTGATTTGACCCCTTTCATGTCTCCAGCTGTTTCTATGGATGTTCCACTGTCATTTGAAGCTTAAAGGGACACCATAGGCACGAGAACAACTACACCTTAATGTAGTTGTTCTGGTGAGCATAGCATATCCCTGCAGGCTTTTCAATGTAAACACTGAAAAGATTAAAAAGGTTTTTGCATTACTGCCTAGGGACACATTCAAAGCAATCAATTCTGATGATCTCAGCCAAGGAGGCGGGGCCGTGCCGGCATACCCGCACAGTGCTGGAGTTTTTATCAGATTAAGGGGAGCAATGGGTGGCTAGCCAGCTGAATGGTGTTTTCAACACTGGGCCTGAGGTATGTATTAGCTGTCAATTTTTTTCATTATTTTTGGCAAGAGTTACTCTTCTCAAGAACAGTGTTCCCTTTAATAATGATTATTTAAAAACCATTTTTTTTTTTTAAACCTTGAACCGCTCTAAACTACCTTTGACTGATTTCCCATCTTGATTTACATAGGCCTCTACATACCTGTTTTATCGTTCAGCTCTATAATACTCCCCAACACATCCCCTCTACTAATTCAAAGGACAATGGTTCTCGAACACTTATAACGCTTATCAGCATCCTTGTGTTTACTACACAGTCTTTGACATTGTTTCTCATCTATTTCATCTCTTTTAGATTGAAAACTTGTAGAAAGTGCCAACAATGCCTACAGTGACAGGTGGTTTGTTAAATTAAGTCTTGATGGAAAACAATCTTGTGCTTAAAGCATCAGTATTAAAACTAATGCGGTCAATTTTTTTGTGCTAGATCATATGGTGAGATTGGCAGAGGTAACTTTGTTAAAATCTCCTTGTTCACTTATTGATTTGAAACCATGTGTTTCCCATTGCAGGAATGAAGAGTGAGTAGCTGACCAAACATCATAGCACACCATAAAACTCCCAGAACTAGGCCCAGAAAAACAGTACTTATCTAAAAATTATATATCAATTCTCCACAATGATGTCTGACATAATTTTGTTTATATAGAAATGAATCATTTTTAAGTTATTGGCATATTAAAAAAAAAAAATGGCAATTGGTTCCTTATTACAAGTATATTAGAGAGAGAAAAAAAAATGGCCTTTTGATTACATACCGGCCTCAGCTTTGGAGAAATTACATCCAGGAGAAGACACAGGGCGTCCAGAACTAATGTTTGGAGTCCAACACGTGCACGGATACCAGGAGAAATTTCTGCAATCATTGCCATTAGGAGATTCTGCATCTGATTCAGCCTTGATTGGGCCTAGCGGTGAAGCAAAAAAAAGTATTTGATTAAAAAACAAGTATACAGCCGGATTAGAAAGAACCTTTTCTAACTCCAGCAATATAAATTGTACATTTTAATTTGAGATGTTTTTATGACCAATTTTCCACCACCTCTTTGTTTCGCCAAGCACTTCTCTTGCTGCATGACACTCATTTTTTTCAATTCTCAAAATGAAAACATCACTCAACAGACATCACATTGTATTAAAGATGTAATTGAGAGATCAAACTAATTTGAGGATAGGAGCCATTTAATTTCCACTTTGTTTCACTCATCTCCATCTGTATTTTCTGTATGCAAGATGACGGCTTGTCTAACATATCACAAAACGGTTTACTGGGCAATGTCAGAAACAAAACCCAATTACCAGAGCATACCTCGTAGTGGCTGTTGGGGTAAGCTATGCGTGGGATATTTGAAGCTGCAAAGAAGAGATGGAACGCAACAGGGAGGAAAGGGAGGTATCGCATGAGCTGAAAGTTCTGCCCGTGCATTATAGTTGTGTTCACAATGTCTGTAAACCCTAGCCAATCCAGAGCCACGCAAACTGTATGGAAGTTGGACTCTTTCACCTTCATATTCAGAAAGTTGTCATATAATCCCTGAAAACAAGAACAGAAAGGAAAGAATGTCAGCTAAATAATCATAAAACCTGCAACACAAAAAAAAAAAACCCACCCAAACAATGTGGAGTGGCACACTATAGGAAGACATATCAATACGAGTATATATTCGCATACTTTACAGAACATGCTAGCCGTACCAAGTGTTAGACTGTTTCAAAAAGGAATTACAATACATATTAGCTCCGTACTGGTGAATTTCAGAGCTTCTATTAAAGGTTTACCCAGCCAAACCATTGGCAGATAGGAAATATTTCTACATGGACCAGGCTTTTGACAAATACAGATCAGGGTTGAAACTGAGTGTTCCCACTTATAGCTGAATGAATTTCATGTGGAATAATTGTAATTCAGTGTTGCAGGGTGCATGTGTCCTGTATTGTTGGGACCACTTAATGAATATTTCTGCTTTTGTGTGCCGTTCAGTTTACTGCAAAATTAAGGACGCATCGCAGTTTCTTTTAATACCGTTTTTATTGGACTAACAAATTCATAGCGCTGAGCTTTTGGGAAGTGATCGCAAGTTAAAGAGGAGAGGGACAGGTAACGGGCAAATACTAATCCAGAAGTCTGTGTGTTGTACCCATATACCCATACATTAACATATAGCTGTAGTGTAAAGTATATAGCAGCTCAATGAAAAGGTGCAAAGAACTAATTTAAAAACAAAAGTGTAGCAAAAAGCCCCAATTTACATTTTATCGATGGAAAGAATTGAGTCACGAAATTGCTTTATAGAACATCAATGTAGCGGTAGTTAATAAAAGGTTTGTAGTTTTGTGCTTAAATAAATTTCTGTTCTAGTTTAGCCATAAACAGATAGGCATATTGTGGTGCCATTGTTTGTAAATAAATGTTCTTGTTGAAACTAAAGTAGTTCGCTTATGTGAGTATGATCAGTATGAGAGTATCAATACTGAAAACTATTGGAAATGATCCGAGAAGAATGCACAGGATTTGTTCAAATCACTCACTATGCTCCTTGAACTTGTAATCTACATAACACAGGACAGAGTAGTTACTATTTTTCCAATAAACTCATCTTGCAAGCAACAATAGTTATCAATATACGTAGAATGATAAAATATGGCATTGCAATTTCGTAAATTGAGTAAACAATCACGTTTGAGCAACTTTTATTTTACCTATAGCTTACAAACAAATACACTTGCACCATCTATTTGGTGACAGCGAGTACGAATGTGCACCCTGTAAAAGACAGACATGTACAACAAATAATTCCAACATTTCCACATACCATAGTTAGCTTCTCATATTCCCCAGTAGAGGTGCTCAGGTGCAGAATATGATGAAACCTTTGAGCAATGGCACTGAGAGGTGTTCTGTTTTGGTTGACTGGGTCACTGTAGGTTCCCAGAAACTGCTGTAAGTCAGAGGGCAAGACATCCTGACCGATCCGTTTCCTTTAAACAATATAAAAGGCGAGTCAGAGAGGGTCAAAAAGGAGAAAATATTATATAACTCACAAGTTAGAACTTTCTAATCATATACACACACACACACACACACACACACTCTAGAGGTTTTTGAAAAGAGCAAGACATAATTGTAGGAAAAGTTGGGCAGTATAATCTCTTTAGTAATAGAGGAATCTCACCTCTGAGTTTTGGGGAGCTGGAAAATCTCCTGCCACACAGAGAACAGGCCCTTATTCTGATCCTTGAGGCCTATATTCATAGTTTGAACAGTTCTCATGTTAAGTTCTTTCTTACCTCGCCCATGCAGAAACTGAAAGACAAAAAGAGGCAAAGTCTAATGAGATCAACATAACATTCCCTGATTTCCCAAAACTATTACGGACAAATTTTTGTTCACATAATTTTAGGAGTTGCTTACATACATACACACACATGATAGGTATAGATATAAAACAGAAAGATAGACAGAAAGAGCCATTTCCTGGTTCATCGTGGCAGCATTTACTAACAGGTTAGCTCATCCCATCTGATAGGACAGTGATATTGATATAAGCTGCATAGTATCCATCATTTTGTTCACTGTACATTCCACAAAGACTTTCCTTCCCTAAGTTTTTGCAGTTGCTTAGTTCTGAGGCAGATGTGAATACTCCCATCAGGAAACTTGCTAAAATTATTATGTTCGCCCGATCATCATTCTTGGCAAACTGAGGATTCCCACCACTCGACTAGTCACAAAGACTGAGGAATTAAGAGTGATGGCTAAACAGGCGTTTGAAGTATTCCTTTCCTATAAACTTAGAGGGAGGGAGCCCACCGCTACATAAATACTTCCATCGATAAAAACCAGGACAATAAAGTTATAAGTATGTTTAAGTTTTCCATTAACTGAATAACCGATACATTGAAGAATACATACTTGCAGTGTATTTATACAGGATCTGATATCGTTCTCTGTTTTCTCACACAATGCCATGAGAGCTCCTGTATCAGCCTTCATATCCTGCTTGATGGTAATCTATAAACAAGCAAGAATAACCGATGATAGAAGTTATACAACATAATTCTCTACCCCAATAAACGAGCTAGGTCTAACGTCCATGTAACTCTAAAAAAACAAAAACACGGCAGCATTAACATAGGATTCCGAATGGATTTGTTTTTAAACGCACACAGTAAAATATATAAAAGCAATAATCTTGGGAAGAGGTGTGGGTCCTTTCTCGTGTCAGTTTATTGCACTCACAGAGGGCACTACTCTTTAATTAAAAAAAACGCAATAAAATTAGCAAGATTGTGCAGGCTTCTCACAATTACTGCTCCAAAATATCAAAATAAAATGAAAATAATTTTTAGTATGGCAAAGGAGGGATGATATAATAAAAAACAAACACGACAATATAAACTGCTAGCTAAACTTCACAGTGTGTATTCCAATACCAAAAAAGATAAAATCCGATCACAGCACACAATTTTTTTATTTTTTTTGCCCAGGTGGGATTTGTTTTCCAACAGCGTTTCTGGCAGTTGAGCGTAACTGGCACAGAGTTTCTGCCAAGTTAGAATTGAACAGCTGCTTGGCACCAGGTGTGAATTAACAGAATACAGGATCAACATACACAGCCAAACATATACAGCCAAAATGGCTAATTAGAGCGAGCCTCCCAGTGCTACCACGTAACCTAGATACAATACAAGCTCAGCGAGACGTGACTGTGTCAATATGTCATCATAGTACAGCTGTTCATTGAACAAGAAGTGCTCGAAACAACTTGTCCGATAAATCACAAAAATAACGGGATTAGGAGGAGTGTTAATGTGGTTGTCTTTGTTACAAATTTCTTTGGGGATTAAAAAAGAAGAAATGTGGCCGAGACTTGCTAGAGAAGTTCCAGAGAGAAAACAACTCACTGAGCAATTAAGGTTTTATTCATTCTCTGTTTCTCTATTTTACAAGTTTGTTTGGTTTTTAGTGTTATATAACCTCTTTAAGGCAAAAGAGCAATTCAGATGTAGACACCTTACTGACTGAGTCCTGCAGGTCTATCAGGAGTAACTAGCTGACAGGCTAGTCTGGGGATGCACAGTTTCACATGTAGGGTAAAGAACCATAACAATTTAGCTCAGGACTGTTCTTGTTTGTGCCTAGATCTAGTATAGGCAAAGTCTCCTCTCTACATGATTAAAGCTAGTTTGAGAGGCAAGCAATAATTATATGATTTCTCAAGAGGTCACCCAAATCCTGTACTCATTGGATAAGCAAGCAAATCTATAGGGAGAGAGAAAAGGCTTTTTACATTTAGAGAGATTACTTCCTTTTTATGACAATTTGTAAATTAAATAAACCTATTAGTTCCTTTTCACCATGCTTCAATATACATGTTTTTGGGACACAGATTTTAACTTTCCATTAAAGGGTTATTTACTAGATGGGGTTTTGGTAAACTGCGAAATGAGGAGGAGGGTGAAGAAATCAATAATTAATGCCTAAATGGTGCACAGTGTTTGAAAACTCACAATTAAGTGAATAACTGAATACCTCCCCCGTGCCTCTTGATGGAATTTGTACAGATTTTTAGAGAAAGAAACCTGTGGCTTCTGTAGGACAGCCACTTTACCTCATATAATCTTTGTACAAGCCTGGAGGGGAGAGTTTGAGGAAAATTTAACATGAAAGCTTGCTGCCTCAGTTGCCGTAACGATAGGACATACCTGCATTAAGAAAGAAGGGGAGAGGAGGGTCACGCAAAGCCGCAAGACAATCTTACAATTTGCACTTTTTATTTTCATCACACACTTGTCTTTTTAACAATCTGAGAGTCCTGTAGCATGTAATATGTTGACAGCTTTCATTTTCGTCACACTTCTATCAGCTATTTGCTCCTAAAATATGCAATTTGCTTACATTCAAATACTAAAAACCTAATTCATTTAGATAAGAGCTAAGGATTTAAAGTTATGCACAAGCAATGTTTTAGCTTGTTATAATGTGGCTGGACATTACATTCCATGCAAGAACCCCCACAGTGATTGAAGTTTGCACATAGAGTAAGGATGTGTTTCGAAAGATTAGCACTGTGTAGGTGAATGCATCACTTTAGGCCATTCCAACTACTCACTGGTCATTGCAGATGCAAATAATGGGCCTCAGTAGAAGACCCCCATCCTTCTTTTTCTTCTTTCCCACGGTGAGCTCGCTACCAGATTCTGTGTCCTTGCCATCTTTCCAGTTGACTAAACTCAGCAGCATATTGATGGAAACCTAACAGATTGGGAAAGATGATTTAAAAAAAAATTAAATAACTAAAGTTCAGTACATAATGGCCAAACTAGTATTTGACTGTCATGCAGAGTATAATAATTGATATAGAGCAGTTGTTTTGTAAAAAATAAAATCACAAAAACTAAACTTGGGAAGTTGCTGATAAAACTCAAAGTTTGCAGTTTTAATGGCTTAGTTTACTTTTTTAAGACTTTGTTATTATTATTATTATTATTATTGCCATTTATATAGCGCCAACAGATTCCGTAGCGCTTTACAATATTATGAGAGGGGATTTAACTATAAATAGGACAATTACAAATAAACTTACAGGAACAATAGGTTGAAGAGGACCCTGCTCAATCGAGCTTACATTCTATAGGAGGTGGGGTGAAAAACACATTAGGACAGGAATTTGCAATCAAATAAGGTGGGCTGCCCTTTAGGAGAGGGCAAGAGACGGGTATGTGAGGTAGGGGTTAGTCTTGGAGGCCATAAGCTTTCCTAAAGAGATGGGTTTTAAGGCACTTCTTAAAAGATGCAAGACTAGGGGAGAGTCGGATGGCGGTAGGCAGGCTATTCCATAGGAAGGGAGCCGCCCGCGAGAAGTCCTGCAAGCGCGAGTTGGCCGTACGGGTGCGGACAACGGACAGGAGGTGGTCACGGGCAGAGCGGAGAGACCGAGAAGGGACATACCTGTGGATCTGTGAGGAGATATAAGAGGGGCTAGAGTTGTTCAGTGCTTTGTAGGTGTGAGTTAGTGCCTTGAATTGACTCCTATAGCACACAGGAAGTCAATGTAAGGACTGGCAGAGGGGTGAGGTGTGAGAGAACCGACTAGAGAGGAAAATCAGTCTAGCAGCAGCATTCATTACAGACTGTAGGGGTGCAGTACGGCTTTTGGGAAGACCAAGCAGGAGAGGGTTACAATAATCCATGCGTGAAATTATTAGAGCATGGACAAGCTCCTTGGTAGTATCTGGTGCAAGAAAGGGGCGGATGCGGGCTATGTTTTTAAGATGGAATCTACAGGATTTGGCAACATGCTGGATGTGAGGCTCAAAGGTGAGACCAGAGTCAAGTATGACGCCAAGACAGCGCGCTTGCAAGGATGGGCTGATGTTGGTACCACAAACTTGAAGGGAGAGCGAAAGAGGAGGATCAGTATTAGGAGGAGGAAAGACAAGGAGCTCAGTTTTTGAGAGATTGAGTTTCAGAAAGCGGGAGGACATCCAGTCAGAGATGGAAGAAAGGCAAGCAGTGACACGTTGCAGGACAGCAGGGGAGAGGTCCGGGGAGGAGAGATATAACTGGGTGTCATCAGCGTACAGGTGGTAGTGGAATCCAAATGAGGCAATAAGTTTGCCAAGAGAGGCAGTATAAAGAGAAAATAGAAGGGGACCAAGGACGGAGCCTTGGGGGACTCCAACCGAGACAGGGCGAGGGGAGGAGGTATCATTAGAAAAAGAGACACTGAATGAGCGTTGGGAGAGATAAGAGGAAAACCACGAGAGGACAGAGTCACAGAGACCAAGCGATTGCAGAGTTTGAAGAAGGAGAGCATGATCAACGGTGTCAAAGGCCGCCGAGAGGTCAAGAAGAATTAGTATGGAGTAGTGGCCTTTGGATTTAGCTGCGATTAGGTCGTTAGTAACTTTGATAAGGGCAGTCTCTGTAGAGTGGAGAGGGCGGAAGCCAGATTGAAGGGGGTCAAGGAGAGAGTTGGAATTGAGGAAATGAGACACACGGGTAAAGACGAGTCTTTCCAGAAGCTTTGAGGAAAAAGGGAGCAGGGATATGGGACGGTAGTTAGAGGGGGTGGACGGGTCAAGGGATGGTTTTTTTAGTATAGGTACTACAGTGGCATGTTTAAGGTCAGCAGGGACGATGCCAGAAGAGAGCGAACAGTTGAAGATGTGTGTTAGAGAAGGCACGAGACAAGTGGAGAGAGATCTGATAAGGTGAGATGGGACAGGATCGAGCGGGCAAGTGGTGGGGCGAGAGGAGCAAAGAAGAGCAGCCACCTCTTTGTCAGTGGCTGGGGAGAATGTCTGAAGGGTAGGAAGGGCATGATCAATGTGTGATTGAGAAACAGAAAGGCAAGGAGGGGAGAATTCTTTCCTTAGCTGTTCAATTTTGTCAGTGAAGTAACATGCAAAGTTATCAGCAGTAAGGTTGGTTTGGGGGGTGGCCACAGCGGGGCGAAGAAGAGAATTAAAGGTGTCAAAGAGACGCCTGGGGTTGCGGGAACATGAACTAACGAGGGAGGAAAAATAGGACTGTTTGGCAAGGGCAAGGGCTGCACTGTATGAACACAGTATGAATCTATAATGGAGAAAGTCTGACTGGGTGCGAGACTTCCTCCAGGAGCGTTCAGCACACCGGGAGCATCTTTGCAGGTAGCGGGTTGATTTAGTATGCCATGGTTGGGGGTGGGTCCTCCTTGAGGTGCTTGTTTGGAGTGGCGCTGCAGTGTTCAAGGCAGATGTAAGAGTAGAGTTATATATGGAGATGGCCAGTGAAGGACAGGATAGGGAAGGGATGGACAGCAGTTGTGAATCAATGTCAGCTGACAACTGTTGGAGATCAAGAGAATTAAGGTCCCTCCTGAGTTGAGGCTGGTTGGGCGGAGGTTGTTGGGTGAGGGGGTACGTGAGAGCAAACGATAAGAGGTGGTAATCAGAGAGGATAAGGAGTATTGCAGATATTAGATACCGTACATGCATAAGTGAAGATTAGGTCAAGGGTATTGCCAGCTACATGGGTGGGAGAATTTGCCCACTGTGATAGCCCGAGGGAGGATGTGATTGAAAGTAGTTTATTGGCTGCAGAGGTCAAAGGTGGGTTTATAGGAATATTGAAGTCCCCGAGAATTAGGGATGGGATGTTAGAAGAGAGGAAATAGGGTAGCCAGGCAGCAAAATGGTCAAGGAAGAGAAGAGGGGAACCAGGGGGACGGTAAATAACAGCAATGTTAGCAGCGAAGGGTTTGAAAAGGCGAATTGAGTGTATTTCAAATGATGGGAAAGAGAGGGAAGGGGGGGTGGGAAGAGGTTTAAAAGAGCAGTGAGGGGAGAGGAGAAACCCAACACCACCACCTTTACATTCAGAGTTTCTTGGGGTGTGGGTAAGTTGGAGACCACCGAAGGACAAAGATGCAGGGGTGGCAGTGTCAGAGGGGGAGAGCCAGGTTTCTGTTAAGGCTAGTAAATCTATTGAACGAGAGATGAAGTAGTCATGGACAGCAGTGGATTTAGTTATATTGCAAACAGAGCGTGCGTTCCAGAGGGCAGTATTGAAGGAGGATTTAGAGGAACATGAGATGGGTATGAGATTAGTGTGGATCCTTGGGTTAGTATGTGCTGAGTTTGTTGAGAGGGGACCGGGGTTTGGAGAGACATCACCAGCTGCTAGGAGCAGAAGGATAGAAAGGAAGTGAAGGTGGGAGTAGGATTTGAAAGTTTTGTAGGAGGGTATGTATGTAGAGGATTTGGAAAGAGTTGGTGGAGATAGGCTGGAAAGGTATGTGTAGAGTGCATGGGATGAATAGAGAGGGGAGGGAAGTAAGGTGGAAGTAATGATGATGGTGTTGCCAGGGACAGGAGAGTGAAAGGATAGGGATATTTTAGTAATGAAAGAAGTTAGTGTTAATGTGAAAAATAGAAGGGAGAACATTAGAGAAAATGTGTATTATATAGATATGTAGATCATATATACAAACACACAATATCAATAACAATATCAATAAGTGTTTAAACCATTGTAAGGATGCAGTGTGTTAAATGAATCCAGGTGAGGAGTGGTTAAGTGACTTGATTGGTGTGTTATGGAAACCTGCTGATGTGCACTATCTATAAATAAGTTGATGACCATGGGGTGGGATGGTGTAGGGAGGGGAGGGTGGGCAATCTTCCAGAGATAATACCTCTGCTCTGAAGATTCAGGAGGACTTGGTTGCTTGGGAGTGCTGGGTGTTAATGCTGTTTTAAGGGGCCCAGTCTGAAATATAAGGTCTGGGTTAGAAAAAAAATATGAAATAAAACACACTGTTATGGGTGGGGAGACATGGGGCTATTGAGGTAATTAATTAGAGATGAAAAACTAAAAGGAGAGAACATATATGCTTCCCCTTTAATTTTGTATACAATTATAAAGCATTGTTATACATGCTTTATAACAGGTGTAGAAAACAGGTATCAGTTTCGAGAAAACAAAAATTAGCATGACTTTCAACTTAATTTTTTTTTTTTTTTTAACGGTTAGAAGCTGAAAAAAAAATTACACTGAAACATTTAGTGCATGAAATCCACACATTTTTATCCTACATCCATCTTGGCTCACGGTCTTTCCTTTAGGCCAGGCAGCCTGGATGAAAAACTATACAGAGAAGAGTAGAACAGGAACAGGTATGAGAATAATTTCTAAAGATACAAAATGCTGCATCACCTGAAAGCTTTACAGTAAATCAATTTATTGATTAAATGTAAATCTTTTTCATGTAACAGCTTTAAAACGGACTCCCTTCCATGACAAACACAGAAGTGCTAAGTTTTCTGGCACTGGAAATTTTGTATTCATTGTCAAACAACAAAAGCCATATTTTTGTTGTACGCCATGTTCTGCTAGGATGCTAAGCATGCCTGAGAAAGATGACTGACAAGCAAAATAGGTACACTAGGTCACGATTTAACAGCACTGCAGCATTTATAGTTACCAAATATAATAGTAATAATAAATAAAAAAATAAAAAAACCCTACAAAACAAAACTTGACTAACAGCACAGACAATCCGTCACTTTCTGAAGCTTATTCACCAGTGGTATGTAGGCAAGAGAAACAAAAATATGATTATAAATGCCGATCGGTAGTGTTACTACACATTGAGTAACTATGAAATTGAAAAAGTCTGCCATACCGAAGAACAACGTTGATGCAATTTATTGGATCATTTGTAATTCTTCCCTTAATCTTACCGTTGGAGCACCATCGATTTCATCTATGATCAGACAGTTTGGTCTTTCATTGACTCCCAAGACAGATTTCATCTTGGTTGCTGCTTCTATTCGGGTTTTAAATACTTCAGGGCTGCGATCGTCACTGAGATGTGAAAAAAAAAAAAAAAAAGGCAAAGTTTGGGAAAAATGCATAAACACTCATATTAAGCAGATAACTCACTCAATGAACAACTGAAACATACTATGTACGAAACAGTAATTAAATGTTTGTATGTAGCCTTAAATGTACACTTTTTTGTTGCAAGAAACTTTAAAATCTTGCTGCTTTGCTACTGACAGATTGCACTGGTGTGTTCAGAAAAATCTGTATAAATATGAATTCTATAGAACCCCATAAATGGCTGGTTGGCTCAAATAAACTTGCGGGACATTCAGTAACAGACCAAAAAAAAACAAAACAAAAAAAAAAACGTAATACTTGGTTTATAGATTTGACTTTAGACAACGGTTAGTTTACGCGTTTCTGACACAAGTTAATGATGCAGAACTTTAATAAACAAAGGCAAGCTGAAAAAAGTTTAATTTGAAAAGACCCTGCAAAATTAAATACTATGTGTCGTTCCATAAAGTTCAAATCAGGTTTTTGCCGTTGCAATAAGAACTCCCTTATATGGCGAAAAAAAATATTTGTATTGCTCTGACCTGGCATTCATTTCCACCACATTGTAACCAGCATGTCTTGCAATCACATGTGCCAATGTTGTTTTTCCAAGTCCAGGAGGGCCAGACAGCAATGCAATCTGGGGAGGGAGAGAAAGAGAAAAAAAAACAAAAAAAAGGAAAAACAAGTTAATGCAACCATGAAAATGTCATCATTTAAAATAATTTTGATTTTCAGACGATACAGAAATTCAAGATGTCCTAAAACAAAGGAAGTTGGTGTACAATGGGAAAATTTTGAACACATGATAATACATAGTACACCAACCATTCTCTTATCCTTAGAACAGAATTCCCCATCAGACAAGGACCCTTTCCTTTCCACTTAGAACTCACTGGGGAGATTTATCCAAGAGATAAACAGTTTGTACCTTAACATTTTTAATGTTGTGCTACTTTTGCATTGGTTTGAGGCATTTATCAATCTTCCAGTCACTTTCAACCTTTAGAAAAAAGTGATCTGTTTTAAACTTTTTTCCAAGCCACTTTGGCATTTGTTTTGTAAGCCAACATTTCTACACAGAAGGCTGGAAAATTGCAGAAAATCCATTGAACTTTTTCTGTGCTGGTTAACTTCTGTCTTAAATTTCTGATAAAGTACAGAGAGTCTCATATGAACGTTTCAAAAAGATAATTCACAGAAACTTGCTCCATACAAAATTTGCTCATTTTATTACACTAATTGCAATACTGACAGCAGCAAGTTTATGGCACAAACACAGGCCACAGAGAGCAGAACGAACAAATGAAGAATCAATCTGGTATAAATCGCAGAAAAACAAAAAATGGCCAAAACAAGGACAGAATTTAAGAAATCACTTTTAGACCATTTTTGATACTCTTTAATAAAATATGAACAGATTACAGATAAAAAGACATCTTAAGATCACTTTGATAAATCTCCTAATTATTTAGCATCACACAGTGACCATCTTCTGCTTTGTGTATTTTAATAATGAATATAACATTTTGTAAGTGGTGCAGGAAATAGCCAGAAGTCAAATACAAATTTCACAGAAGCTGGCTTGAAATCGGTAACAAACAAGATCTTTAGAACTGCTGAGAAGTTATAATTTTTTAAATTTTTTTTAAAACAAGCATTTCTTATTTTAGGGGATTTATTGCTCCGCCTGTACCATACCTTACTAGTGTCCTAAATAAAGCATGACTCCCTCCATTTGCAATCCATGCCCTGTCGTAATATTTTTCTTCTTCTCCACATTTGTAGAAGATTAGAGAAACCAGTAAAATGGCCGTAAAATGTTCCCATGTATACACCGCAGCATAAGAAAGTTCTGTGCATGCCAGTTCTATTCCAGGATGGGCTAAATTCATGACCGCATTAACATGAAAGTGCAGCAGGGGGACATGTCCCTATTTTTCTTTTAAAAAAAACACAAGGCTGAACTTGGATGCATGTCTCCATTCAGACTATTTAACAATGTAACTCCAGCTACCAACGATGGGAGATGGTGCACTAAGGGGTCATTGGTCAATCAATGCGCTTTGAAGTTGGCAGCTATCTCATGCCACCCAGCACTGAGGGAGCATTAAGATGAGCTTTTTAAATGGCTGACCTGGTAACGGTGTCGTTTTTGTATAAATGTGAAGATTTGTTTGCAGTGAGATGGCGATGTTAAATAGGAGGCAACAACTTGAATTCATGCTCATATTAACTCATTTGTTGCCAATATGCCTGTATTTTGCTCGAGTTCCCTTTACCTTATTTTTGGGCCTATTGTGTTGATCTAGTTCTGCTTCTAGGATTTCCTCGGTGATCTGGGCTTTGGTTTTCCACTTTTGTTGTTGCTCCTTCTGGAACTTGAAATTTGTATGTTGGTCTGTTGAAGCTTTGGGTTTCTTTACTACCTTTTCCTTCCCAAATACCACAGTGTCCCATAGTTTCAGCCATTTCAAGAGGCAGCGATTTGTGTACTGAACAAAAATGAAGGTACAGATTAAACATTCAGATAAAGGATGACACATGATTTAGACATGCTGTTAATTCCTATTCCACTGAATGGGCTTCCATTCAAATTACTCACCTCCCCCCATAAGCAGGTTGCATGTGAAAGGAAAGATGCTGAGGATCAGTTTAAAAATACAAAGTGGTACTTTTGGCTAGGTGTTTCAACACTTACTTCCTTTCATATCAGAGGAGGAGTGCAGCCAAGATTTGTGGTTTTGGTGCATAATATTTTTTTACATCATGCTCTCTTAGACACATGGATGCAACTATTAGGGGTTTCTTAAAATCCAGTCATTTAGCTACGAAAAAGCTTAACAAGAAGTGCAGAAGTGGCCTCACTCTTATGGATTATATGACCAGATGTAATGGACATATGTAATCTGAAATCTTAACATTTCCTATAACAATTATAAATATAGATATTTGTAGACCTTGAATGGACAAAATCTATGGGAGCCTGAAGTCAGCAACACAACTATGCGTTGGTTACCCATTTCACAGAGGTTAAAAACAAACAAAACAAACAAAACCACTACATGAGCATACATCATCACTAAGCAGCTCCGTGTAATGCCTGGGTGTGAATCGATCCACCCAAAGACAGTGAGCAGACTTCCCATCCTCCTCAGTCTCCTCCTCTTCTCCAGCCGCGATAGCAAGCTCCATAGTCTCATTATCAACCTCTGAAAAGTCTTCAGTTTGGCTGAAATAAAAAGTACACACTAATACATGAGAAACAAGCATTGCACTACAAGCCTGTCTGATTGCTATGTTGGACAGAGGCAATGACTGTTGGCTACTATGTTGAATTACTCTAAAGCCAAATAAACCCACATTTCACACCCACATGGGTTCCATGCACTAGAGGAGAGACCAGGGCACATATTCCACTCATCTATACAATACCTGTCGGCTGTACAGAGATCAAACATCAGTACCATGTGTTATCACATCAAAATGAGGCAATATGGCACTACATTGAGAAACCCATCCAGATCCGGTTTCCCTCTATCCGCAAGTCTTTCAACAGATCATCAGATTTGTGCTCAGTTCTCAACCAAACTAAGTCAGCGGTCCAGCCATGACCTTTCTGAAATCTTCCCCCACCCCGCTTTCAATTTGATCATATCGGTTACTGCCAAAACACAGCAAGCAAAACAGGGAATAAGTAAATAGGACTAAGGTAAAATAGTAATAAATATCTTGCAGAAGTGCATTTCTCACCTACTTAGCATGTCTGTAAGGCGCTGGGATTCCTCCAATACTCTCCTCCGATTCTAAGAAGAAGAAAAAAAAATAATAAGTAATCACATTCAGAATAATACAACTAAGATAACTTCTGTTATGAAAGCAAGACATTGTTATGGTCTTGCCAGATCTTTCCTAGGCCTGCATAATGTAGTCTTGCACTTGCTAAAAAAGCCAAGATGTAACTCAAAATGTTTTATTTCCAAATCAGTTATTTTACAGCCAAGCTGTGACTAAAAATTATTTTTAGAAAACAGCTATATTTGTCTACATTTCAACATTTACGTTTTAAATAGCGATTTGTCTGCTTTCACTAAATGACAGTGCCAACAAGCGACCAGCAAATGTAGTTTAACATGTCGCAATCAACTAAAGATTACATTTGAGTGCTTATGGTGGGCCAAGAAACTATGCCAAAGCTATGCACTACATGTTAAATATTGTAAGGAGTCACACCGTTTTTTTTTTAAGCACAAAGATGTCCATTCTATCTAATCTGTCTGCACTGGAGTTAAAGGGACACTGTAGGTATATTGTTATACTGTAGTCGTGCCTACAGTGCTGCCTCCCATCCTCCCCATTCTATCCCCTCAAAAACCCAATATTAGAAGGCCAATAATTAGAAGGTTTGAAAGTGTGGCCAAGCCACACCTCCGGGTATCAGATCTTGGAGGTCACAGCAGCTGCAAGGAAGACTCGGGGCTGAAGAAAAGCTAAATAATTATTTTTGTGCAGATTGGGGGGGTGGAGGGAGGCGAGGAATAATTAGGGCATCAGGAGTGAAGCATCAGATATGTATTCCTAATGCTACAATGTTCCTTTAAAGACAAAAAGCAAACTCAAAAATATAATCTATACATCTCGTAGAAATGTTTTGTGAGCATAGTAGATTGATGATATTTTATGTGCTATAAAATGAGCAAAAATAAAAACTTCTCTGGAAATGCAATATATGGAAGCAGGCATTACTTCGTCAGCCACTTGTTCCTTCAAGTAGGAGAAAGGGACCCCCAAGAGATGCAGTTCCCCATCCCCATTCCAGCTGAATCCTGCGTGCTTGGACACTTGCTTTAAAAACAAAATAAATAATGCGCATGTGAGTATAAAACAATAAAACAAATCTGTCAACTTGAATTTGAGTTGAGTAAATTAAGCAAAAACAAACATTAATAATTATATTGTCTGTTGTGTTAATTACATTTAGAGGAACAATATAGTAAAATGGCAACTCGTTTAGTGCATCTACACCTGCCAAATCAATACAATAAAAGTTATAATTACAATGCATGTAGAAAATAAACATGGTTTATTTTTCCCAATTAGTAGTACATAGTCTCAGTCAGACTGTGTGAGAACTTTGCTTAAAGCTTCAACAGCTCTTCAAATTTGTCCTATACAAAATTTCATAGTAGTTAGGATCTCCTCTACTACATAATTCTCAGTGGGGAACAATATTTGAAAACATAGAGCAGCATAGTATATTAACTTCTATGGACTATGAGAAAATTACTAGAAATGCTAATCAGGAACAAATAATATATAGAAGCAGACTGTTTCGGCAAAAATAATTAAGCCCATATTCAGTAAGAATGGTTGCATTGTTCTGGGAATCTCCAATCTAACGATACCCATAAGCAGGGTACTTTTTTTTGTCATTCGTCCTATATGTATCAAAAAGGGAATAATGTAAACAAATGAGTCCTAAAAATACTGCATTTTAAAGGTTTAAAAGAACAAGGTACTAGCACCACATAGAAATAATTGTTATGTTCCAAGTTGCACTGCCTACCTTGGTGCAGAGAGCCAGATCATGCTGGACGAACATACAGACACCTGGTGAAGGTGAACAAATGCTATGGACAATAACTAGTTGTGTCTTACCTGAGCCCCTGTTCCTTCATTGTCCTCCCTCAGCGTCATATAAAAACGGGCTCCATCACTGGATGTCACATGAACATATTCCTCAAAGATGGGGGGACGTTTTAGCACCCTCTTATTCTCTGGTTTAGAGGGAGTCACTTGCAAAGGTGCCATGTCACTAACTTCCAGGAGGTCAGATGCCAGAAAAGCTGTCCTGCCATCAAAATATCACACGTTACGAAGAGAGAACAGAATTACAGGTCTTAATGATGAAGATAAAATGTGTCACTTGAAAAGTATGTATCACTTTACAAGGCATTAACTCATCTAACATACAATACATTGTTAGTATCATGTTACTTATAAGCAGCATCTAATCAAACTGAATATTTATGCTAATTGCTCCACTTTTATAAGTCACAGAACTGTTATTTATATTTTGAACCCAATGTGAACTAAAACAGCATCCCGTTCCCACAATTAACCATGGACAACCAAAACCATATTTGGGAAAATATAAAATCCCAAATAAATCCAGAGCAGTTTGAATATGTTAGTTTCAAGAGACTGTGTTCCAAAAAGCATAAAATTCAGCATAAATATAAGTATTCATTTACATGTGGTTGCTATTTAGAACCAAAACACTACATCAAGAAATCATGACTGACACCTTTCAATTCTCTTTTTGGGTTGGTCAGGTGAGGGAGGAGGTGTGATGTCATCACTAATTGCAGACGCATTTTCAGCAGTGCGGTCTGTTCCAAAATCCAGCTTTTTAACAGCTTCAATTCTTGGCCGCTTGTGTTTGGGAGCTGAGAAGGAAAAAAGTAATAAATATAGAACAGTCCATTCATTTCTTCTCATCATTCAAAATGGGCCATAAATACAAGCTAAGGGGAGACTGCAGTCTACTAACCATTCAAATTGCATTTTTAATTTTATCAAACAGTTTACATTAAAATTGTCATTCCAATGATCTGTATCATTTCGAAATTCAAGCTACCCGGATTCAGTGTCTGCGTTGGAATGGTACCACAATGGTTTAAGCAAGTTAGTTTATAATCAATTCTGACAAACCCATTGGCCAATCAAATAAACGAAAGGTTGGATACTAAAAACAATGAAACTATTTACTCATTTAATATAAACAAACAAAAATTCTCTCTCCATGGTACGATTTCTAGGATTGCCGATTGATTAGCTCTGTTTTAGTAAATAAGAGAAACATATTACAGAATTGCACACTACCAGAAAATGCAATCAAAACTGTTCATCACAAGAAAACTACTTCTCATTTAGAACATCAGATCAAAACAGTTGAGTACATGGACAGCTCCCGCATCTATATACCTCGATTTACATTACCATTAACTGCCAAGTACTAAGCCAAGCAGATTAAAAAATAATTGTTACACAACCTAGTGGCACTTTGAAAAATATAACACTTTAACTATATAATGCAACAGCCACATTTCTAGTCCATGCATAGTTAAAATGTAAATTACTAGAAGTTTTCAGTTTTATCCTTACAACAGGTACCAATGTATATAACAAAGTGGTGTGGCAAAGTATGACCATAAATAATGCAGAGAGTGTTTTCTCTACCTTTTATTTTTATTAATGAAGCGGCAATATATTCTGTTATATTGAAATTGTGACGTTTTAACTAACCACCCAGAATGAAAAATAACGGTCTTAAAAATAAATTTAAAAAAAACTAAGCTTACTATGCAGGAGTCCTTTATTTACCAACATGCAGCATTATACAACTCAAGACAGCTTTGGTTTATGGAAAATATGCATATACAGGATATTGCCAGCACACAGATAGTTTTTCTGCTAAAGTACATATAGACAAATTAATTTTATCCTGTTTGGATTCAGACTCCACTCTCAACTGCTTTATAAGTCACAATGTTGAAAAGACTAATTTCTTGCCAAATGCAGTAGATTTAAAGGACCACTATAGTGCAAGGAAAACAAACTCGTTTTCCTGGCATATTGGGTCTTTAGGTCGCTGGGCTGAAGAGGTTAAAAACGTTTCTTTCTCCAGCGCCAGGCTCCCTCGGCGCTGGGGAACTCTCCTCCCTTTGCCGACGTTATCGTTGAATGCGCATGCGCGGCAAAAGCTGCGCACGCATTCAAACAGCCCATAGGAAAGCATTTCTCAATGCTTTCCTATGGATGTCCAGCGTCTTTTCACTGTGATTTTCACAGTGAGAAGTGCCTGTACAACTGTCAGTGAGACAGCCACTAGAGGCTGGATTAACCCTAGTGTAAACAAAGCAGTTTATCTGAAACTGCTATGTTTACAGCTGCAGCGTTAACACTAGATGGACCTGACACCCAGACCACAAACAATGTTTTGCCCCTAAATAGGCCATGTGACAAGTGAAATGCTTATGTTAGGCCACAATAGTCAAACTGGGAAAATCCAACTCAGCAGTTTTCTTTTTCCTTCCGACTATTTAGACCAGGCTTCCCCAAACTCTGGCCCTCCAGATGTTGCTTAACTACAACTCCTATGATTCTATGAATGAAATAGATAGTCTGAGAATCATGGGAGTTGCAGTTCAGCAACAACTGGATGGCCGGAGTTTGGGGAAGCCTGATATAGACCTAAACATACAATTTTGAATATTATGTTCTGAATAGTATACTTATCTGTAACGTTCCTTGTATAATATGGATCTTAGTAAGATATTCCCAAATATTTTTTATGCATACACATTCAGAATGTGTGAGAAAAAAAAAAAAAATGTTAAACCTTAAAAAAAAAATAAAAAATACCCTAGGTATAAACAAATCTCCAAGGAGTGGTCATTAGAATTTCATAGTCACAATTTAGATTTGTAGCTAAAAAAAAAAACACACACACAATTGCAATGCAGAAAAATATCAAAAAAAAATGTCATACTGATTGGAGGCTCCAGGAAGCTGTCAGAAAATTCTTCTTCTTCCGAAAGACGAAGGAAACTTGCATCTCTCTTTTGAGACTTGCTCACTTCCGTTACGCTGTTTTTGTTTCGGGTGGGTTTACCGTTGACAGTACTCTGCATGTGATCCGCAACAGAAATGGCCTCTTCAAATGAAAGCTTGCTGCGAAACTGGGACGTTTTGGGTGCGGGGCGAGAGGGTTCATCATCTGCAAGGAAATATGGAAATTTGTAAGGCAAATATAGTAAAAAAAAAACATTAGCCAGTAATCCCCAAGACATCCACATCAATGTGAGCTAGTACGCATATTTACAAATATTAAAGGGACACTATAGTCACCTGAACAACTTTAGCTTAATGAAGCAGTGTTGGTGTATAGAACATGCCCCTGCAGCCTCACTGCTCAATCCTCTGCCATTTAGGAGTTAAATCCCTTTGTTTATGAACCCTAGTCACACCTCCCTGCATGTGACTTGCACAGCCTTCCATAAACACTTCCTGTAAAGAGAGCCCTATTTAGGCTCTCTTTATTGCAAGTTCTGTTTAATTAAGATTTTCTTATCCCCTGCTATGTTAATAGCTTGCTAGACCCTGCAAGAGCCTCCTGTATGTGATTAAAGTTCAATTTAGGGATTGAGCTACAATCATTTAAGGTAAATTACATCTGTTTGAAAGTGAAACAAGTTTTTTTTTTTTTCATGCAGGCTCTGTCAATCATAGCCAGGGGAGGTGTGGCTAGGGCTGCATAAACAGAAACAAAGTGATTTAACTCCTAAATGACAGTGAACTGAGCAGTGAAATTGCCGGGGAATGATCTATACACTAAAACTGCTTTATTTAGCTAAATCAGGGATTTAAGGTTTGCCTAGTGCATAGTGCTATAGTTGCTTAGAAACAAATCAAAACATTAAAATAAAAATATTCTATCCCTAAACTAGTGGTACTGGGTGTCCTTACACATACATCATAATTTTGCTTCTGAGAAATCCTTCTGCATTATGCGAGTAGTATTCCAGGCAGCAATAAGAGTCCCTGTGCATTATGTGAATGGAAGTCCCTGTGGCAAGCGGAGGCTGGTTTTACAATGTGTGTGGTAGTTTTTGCAGTAAAAAAGGCTGACTGTGCACTATGCAAGTGGAAGAAACCTGCAACGATGGAGACAGCTGGCTGTGCATGATGTGAATGGCAGTCACAGCAATAAAAGAGGATGCCTGTGTGGTATGAGTATTAGTCCTTCCTAGCAGCTCTTAAAGTATAGTAGGACTGGCAGCCCAAGCAAATGCATAGTAGGAATGTTAGTCCCAGCAGCTGCTGTGACAGAGGCTGAGTATAGTATGACTGGCAGTCCAAGCAAATGCATAGTAGGAATGTTAGTCCCAGCAGCTGCTGTGACAGAGGCTGAGTATAGTATGACTGGCAGTCCAAGCAAATGCATAGTAGGAATGTTAGTCCCAGCAGCTGCTGTGACAGAGGCTGAGTATAGTATGACTGGCAGTCCAAGCAAATGCATAGTAGGAATGTTAGTCCCAGCAGCTGCTGTGACAGAGGCTGAGTATAGTATGACTGGCAGTCCAAGCAGTTGCTCATTATTTATATAGCGCCAACAAATTACGCAGTACTGTACAAGTAGCAGTATGGCACGAGTAGCATTCCCAGGGGAAGTTGCTGTCTGAGTGTAGTGTGAGTGGCAGTCCCAGGGGAGGTTGCTGTCTGAGTGTAGTGTGAGTGGCAGTCCCGGGGTGGTGGTTGCTGTCTGAGTGTAGTGTGGCAGTCCCAGGGGTGGGGGGGTGTTGCTGTCTGAGTGTAGTGTGAGTGGCAGTCCCGGGGTGGTGTTGCTGTCTTAGTGTAGTGTGAGTGGCAGTCCCGGGGTGGTGGTTGCTGTCTGAGTGTAGTGTGGCGGTCCCAGGGGGGGTGGTGGTTGCTGTCTGAGTGCAGTGTGAGTGGCAGTCCCAGTTATCAGGTTGGCTCAGGATGATGAGAGCTGGCTATCTCACCTTCCAGTTCCTGCAGGACCTCCAGCTCGGAGGCAAACTGAGACTCGTAGTCATCCTCCACCCCGTACAGGTCGTACTCCTCCATGGAGCCACACTCACTGTCACACTCACACTGACCCTCTCCCTGCCAGAATCCAAGCTTGGCGCCAACTGCAGCCACTTCCGGGTCAAACCCCGCCCAGTGACGTCACCCGTCGCTCTCTGATTGGTCAGTTCGAGGACAGTGCGGATACAGAGCCTGGAGAGCAGGTAATAGCCTACACCGAGCACTGCGGCTAGCGGGGACTACAACGCCCATCATCCACTGTAACAGGGGACTACAACTCCCACTATCCACTGTGACATGGACTACAACTCCCAGCATCCACTGCAACCGGGGACTAAAACTCCCAGCATCCACCGCAACCGGGGACTAAAACTCCCAGCATCCACCGCAACCGGGGACTAAAACTCCCAGCATCCACCGCAACCGGGGACTACAACTCCCAGCATCCTCTGCAACCGGGGACTAAAACTCCCAGCATCCACCGCAACCGGGGACTACAACTCCCAGCATCCACCGCAACCGGGGACTACAACTCCCACTATCCACTGCACCGGGGAATACAACTCCCACTATCCACTGTAACCGGGGACTACAACTCCCACTATCCACTGTAACCGGGGACTACAACTCCCAGCATCCACCACAACAGGGGACTGAAACTCCCAGCATCCACTGTGACATGGACTACAACTCCCACTATCCACTGCACCGGGGAATACAACTCCCAGCATCCACTGCACCGGGGACTACAACTCCCACTATTCACTGTATATGGGAATCCAACCCCCACTATAACACAAACTACAACTCCCACTATCCACTGTATCGGGAAATACAAATCCCACTATCCACCATAACAGGGACTACAGGTCCCACTATCCATTGTATCGGGGAATACAACTCCCACTATCCACTGTGTCAGGGAATATAACTCCCACTATCCACTGCACCAATAATACAACTCCCATTATCCAATGTACCAGGGAATACAACTCCAACTATCCGCTGCACCAGGGAATCCATCACCCAGTATCCCCTATATTAGGGAATACAACTTCTAGTGTTCCCCCAATACCCACTATACCAGGGGAATACAGCACCCTCCAACCTTTTTCCAGAGGAATACAATCATACCAGGCAGTACAACTCCCAGCATCCCCTCATACCAGAGGAGTACATTGAATAGAACTCTCAGTATCCCTACACCATGGAGTAGAACTCTTGGCACCCCCTTACACCAGTTATGGTTTAGTGATTCTATTGAGTGCTCACAGTCGATTCTTCATATCAGTCTATAACATGTAGAAATGTATTTAATATAATATGAGATTATATCTCTAAATATGATGTATGTCAATGTAATCCTCTATTATTTCAAACAGTGTTGCTCAGTTTGTGGAAGACCTCTACCTGTAGCCTGTGGGTATAATAAAAGTGGAATAATGAGTTATTTGATACAGTGTGAAGGTGGGAAGAATGTCATTCAGATTATATTAGTGAAATAGTGTATTATTGTAAGAGCTGATTGGGTTAATGAAAGTCTCTGGTTTGTCAGTGGAATAATGAATTACATGAAATTGTGTTATTGCTGCTATCAGTGTAATAATGTATTATTTCAGTATAGTGATGTCCCGAACGGTTTGCCGAACGGTTCGTCAGGGACTCATCATTGAGTAAACTTTGACCCTGTACCTCACAGTCAGCAGACACATTCCAGCCAATCAGCAGCAGGGTCAAAGTTTACTCAATGATGAGTCCGTGGCGAACCGTTCGCGAACCGTTCGGCGAACCGTTCGGGACATCACTATTTCAGTAGTATCTCAGCCTTGTGAGATGACACTGGTAATGTCTGTTTTATTTAATATCATTGGAAGCACCTGGGAGAAGAAAATAGTGTTATTTGCATTTCCACCTAATTTGCATAGTGTTGCTAAGGTAAAATAATTCCAAAAGGAATTTTGCAATTCTGTTCCAACAACAGGTAGGCGTAGGCAGTTCTGTAGTACACACTTAATTATTATTAAAATGCTGCCAGATATTTATTCAGGTCTGCCTAAAAAATACACGCCACTGCCCAAATTTAAAATAAATAACCAATCAGTATTTAGTAGATATACACAAATAGAAAACATGCATGCAATTAATTATGTATTTTTTTATTGGGGGTAAAAATAAAAACATCTTGCAAAAGCTGCAGATCTCTCGTCTGCTACCTTTGCAATCCCTCCCATTTTAACCCCATCCAGACTTTATGTGGCTGTCCAATCACAGACTTCCCAATGCAACTCAATGAGAAGTCTTTGCAAAGCAGGTGCTCTGTGCAATTGCCGCCTCTGGAGTTTAGCTCCACTGAGCTAACCAAACCAGGAAGTAACATGACTAGTTGCCTGATTGACAGCTGGGGTGGGTGACAAGGTTAATTTATAAAATGTTATAAAAGTGCCAATTTGAATTGAAAACTGAACTTTTTATAAGATGAAAACAAAGGACACAATCTTCACTTCAGCATGTTACAGTGCATTAGGTGTTTGTGGTGTCCCTTTAAGGTATCCTTGCGCCGCTATGATTTATTTGAAATGATTTGATTGTGCTGTTATCTTCTTTTCCAGATTGCTTCCATCCTTCTGGATTTTCTCTTAGCAATGGAACCCGTCTGCATCGAGAACCTTCACATATTGTACCAAAGCCTTGACTTTTTGGTAGTGAACAAGCATTGGGACATCCGTATAGACAGCAAGATGTGGTATGAGAAGCTCACCGTGCAGAGCCAGCTGAAGTACCGGTTTCCAGAGCTGGCAGACCCCGACACCTATTATGGGTTCCGGTGAGTAACTTATTAATATGTGCAATGTTTCCTCGAAGCAGTTTTTTTCCTGAACGTTCCAGCACTGAAACACTTAAAGTAGATCTGTCACCATCTGGGGTCTTTGCATAGTTTTCAAAGACCCCTGACGATGACATTGCCGCTCGTGGTCTGGTGGCCATGGGGTGCACAGACAAAGGTGATTTTTACTTATCTGTCCAACGCATGCGCGGCCATTGTCTTCCTGTCGCTCATCCTCAGTTCCTGGTGTCTTAGCTATCAGGAGCTGACGTCAGCATTGTACTCTCGCTCATGAGCAATAGAACAGCATGGAGGTCTATGGAGGATCCCACAACATCGCAGGATCCTCAAAAGAAAGAGCTAATTTTTCTTTGACTATAAATGACTAGGCTTGACAAGGATAGCTCTGTCTTATGTCAAGCTTTGTTAGTTCTATATATTTTTTTTAATGGTGTATATTGCTTTTTAAAGAAATGTTTTTGTTTTATTTCTACTGCTGAGAAGCCATGTTGGGTCAAAGAAGACCTTAATTTGTCTCCGTTTATCTTTTGACTGTTCTGGAATTTCAATGACATTCCAGCACAGTCAGTCTAAATATTTCATTAAAAAAAAATATACTATATATTTTTTATTTTTTCACTTATTTTCTGGATATGTAAACCAAGGAATTTCAACCAGTGTGGATTGACTAACCTTATATACAAACAGTAACATACAGTGCAGGAATGTGGCACAGGAAGCATGCACATTAGGGATTTTATCTCTGTTCTACATGGTTATAAATGTGAATAGGGATATCTATATACTCCCTTTGTATTTAGCAAATTGTCATATTTTATTTACATTTCATTTTGCCCTTTTTTTTGGTTGCTATATTTAAGGGAGCTTAGTGTTTGTGTGTTGTAGCACAATTATAAAGCATAGGATTGTTAAGCACTTACTATTAAAGCACCTATACTGAATGTGCAAATCTGTAAAATAAACACTTAAAGGACCACAATAATGCCAGGAAAACATACTTGTTTTCCTGGCACTGTAGTGCCCTGAGGGTGCCCCCACACTCAGGGTCCCACTCCAGTGGCACTGAGAGGGGAAGAAGGGGTTAAACTTACCTCTTTCTCCAGTGCCGGGCAGGGAGCTCTCCGCCTCCTCTCCTCCTCTTCGGCTGAATGCGCATGCGCGGCAGGAGCTGCGCGCGCATTTAGCCAGTCTCATAGGAAAGCATTTACAGTGCTTTCCTATGGACGCTGGCGTCTTCTCACTGTGATTTTCACAGTGAGAAGCACGCAAGCGCCTCTAGCGGCTGGATTAACCCTAACTTAAACATAGCGGTTTCTCTAAAACCGCTATGTTCATTTAAAAAAAAAAAAAAAAAAAAGTTAACCCTAGCTGGACCTGGCACCCAGACCACTTCATTAAGCTGAAGTGGTCTGGGTGCCTATAGTGGTCCTTTAAGACTTTTTTGCATCTAATTTTGAGTGCGGTATCATATGTATAAAGATTTAAAAAAAAACTTGCATGCAGGGGACTGCTCCTGGTAAGGAGGTAAGCATGTACCAATATAGTCCTGAAAGTGAAATTGTTATCATATCCATCTAACCTGCACAATGGCAACACAAAGTCATCATTGTATGTAGACAAACTCCCACTGACTAATCTCCTATTAGCTTTTCAAATGACATTGGCAGACACCACTGTATAGATCAGGGGTAGGCAACCTTCGGCACTCTAGATGTTGTGGACTACACCCCCCATAAAGCTCTTACACCCATAATGCTGGCAAAGCATCATGGAAGGTGTAGTCCAAAACATCTGGAGTACCGAAGGTTGCCTATGCCTGGTATAGATCATTCTCCCCTCTGCCTCTTTCATTTAAATTTACAGGGTTATTCACTGAATTGAGAATTGCAGGGAATTCAAAGGGAATTTCAAATTGTCCAAAGTATCTGAACTGCAAACATAGGTGACTGGGAGAATTTTTTTGACCTTAAATTTGAAATATTGTATATTGTGCAATTACTTGAACAAAATAATTTATTTTTCTCCAACTGAGCGGCCATGTCGGGTCACACTCTACTGTTATATGACCAACTGCTGCTCAACCCAACTTGCCTACTGCTGCGATTGGTCTGTGAAACTTTAGATTGAGCAGCAGTTGATTCGATAACAATAGACAATGACCCAAGATGGCTGCCTAGCCATATAAAAAGTTAAAGTTTTCCAAAAAAAACCCCCTCAGCATACATCATTTAAAAAAAAAATTATATATATAATTAAGTTTCTTAAATGCAATAAGCTTTTAAAGAATGAGCAGTGAATATTTGATGACTGTTGTCCTTTAAGCTTTTTTTTTTTTTTTTCATAACAGCTACTGGCCATTAAGATCCAAAGTGCAGCTAAAACATTTTTTTAGAAATTCCTTGTTTCTTTTTGAGCCCAGTAAAATGATGTATTTATTCTTTTAACAGGTTCTGCCACCAGCTAGATTTCTCCACCAGTGGTGCTCTGTGCGTGGCCCTCAACAAGGAAGCTGCTGGTCGGGCGTACAAGTGTTTTAAGGAGCGTACAGTGACTAAGGCTTACCTTGCATTGGTAATTACTGTTTAAAATATTATAACCCTACCATTTCTTTTTAGTGCAATATATTAGTTTATGTGCTGGAGGAAAAAGCTGAAAATATTAGAGAAAACATCTAATTTGTCACTGAACATTAAAGGGACACTATTAGCGCAGTTTATTGTAGTGGTTATGGTAAAAGGCATTTTGGATGCAGTCATTTTGTTTTGCCTTTGGCATAAAAAAAGGAGACTCACAGCCTATCATTGCATTCCAAATTTGGGGGCCTGAAGAATTCAGGGTTTTCAAAACCATTTAAACAATTTGACAAAAACTGAACCAAAGCACTCTTCTCACTATAGCAATAATCTGTAGTGTTTATGGTGCTTAGATTGCCAATTTAAAGGGACAATTTTCATAATTTCAAGTAAACCCATTTTCAGTGTGCTCACACGCCGTCGACAGGGGCAAACGCGCGTTGGGCGTTTTCTTGTAACTTTACATTTTTGACATGTTATGAGTAGCATTTTGTGCACTTCACCTTAAGCTTTTGTAGTCTGAGGGAAGTTTAGTTCAGGTAAGAACCGGCTTCTAGCTATGAACTAGCTTGGTAAATAGGGACAGAACTGGGATCTGCTTGGTTTGTTTACATTTTTGGCAGCTGTTATTCCCCTTCTTTTTTTAAATTTTTTTGTTTTATTGAGGCAAAGATACAAACAATCAGACCTTGCAGAGAATGCATATACAATCCAGAGTAAAACATTGAGTATGGTAAGTATGACATTCAGATACAGCGAGCCTCAGCTTGGTTTTTAAGAATCATTAAATAACAAGCTGGTTTCAAGAAGGAAAACCTTGAGGCTGACAGCATAATACTTTTATACTATACCTATGTAATAATATGTAGGTATACACTGAAATAATGTAACAAAAATGCAAGGAGAGAAGTGGTGGTGCTTGGTTTTGTGTTGGGTAAGGTGCTGCTGAACAGGGTGGGTGGCAATCAGTAATCCACCAGAGTCAGCTGATTCCCACGACTAGCATAATGGTTGCACCGCTCGAAGGAACTTGGTGCCAGGATCGGGTGCCTCTCCAGCCCATGCCTTGATGAGGACCGGCATCTGTGTGCCACAGGCTCAGTTACGATTGCAGTCCGAGACTATCCCCTTTTGAGTGTGGTCAGAGGGTCGGGGTGACCGGTGCTGCTGAGCATGGACAGTCTTCCGCCCTGGTGGACAATGCAGGGCATACAAGCCACATGTGGCCCTCGGCCTAGGTGAGTGAGGAAATGGATGCACAGGTTTTGTCCGAAGCTTTTCACCACGAGTAGGCCCCATTTGTTTCTGGACGCTTGTTTCCCAAGGCTCTGCCCCCTTGTTCGTCTTTGGTAGTTGCCATACATTGCTGGAGTGTGAGTAAGTAGCGTTGGAAATGGCGGTCGAGCTGCATTTAGAACTCTGCAACAGCGTTGCTGGTAGTCTTCTAGAAGGGACTCATGCCACGTGAGTCCATGAGAGGAACGCCTGCCATGTTGTGGGTTTGCACGCAGTTTATCGTTGCAAGCCAGATCTGTAAGCACTGAGAGGACTAGTATATGCCCCACCGGTCCGGGCGTGGGGGTGGGAGTGCAGCAGGTCCAAGTGTAGGGCTAGGGCGCAAGGAGATCGGCCGCCTCTCCTCTGTCCAGGTCCCAGTAAGCTGCAAAAGGATCATTGGGCATACATACAAAGAAGGTGGAGTGAGGTTGGTATTCACATATGGTATCACTGTAAGAGACAAAAAAACATATGGCCAAAGCCTAGTGCAATTCAGTTGGTTTTGATTAAATAAACAGTTAAATAACTCTAGAATGTGCTAATCACATTGTGCACTCGGTGGTGAAAATGTTCGAGAAAGGTATGAGACTGCTTGTCCAGGCTCCCCTGCCTGTGGATATATCAATGTCTAAGCAAATAAGCCCAAGAATCAAGCTCAAAAAAGCAATTTTCAGCGAGAAATGCAGGAGCTCAAAGCTATACAGGTCTGATCAGCTTAGTGGTCCGGCTCTGCCCCCGTTATTTCCCCTTTTGGACTTTCTCTGTATTAAGCTAAGAGTGGTTCGTTTAGTTTAGCTACACTTCACTCTTTTCTGTGTCTCGAGTTACCAATATGTTGTTTACTTAGGGACGTTCTTTTCCCTCCTGGGTCACTTTGGGACTTGTTTTTTTTTTTTTTTATACTCAGTGGAGCTTAACTCGGTTAACTCGCTTTAGCAATACATTGTGTTCAATGATATAGGGTAGTATTTTGAGTTTTCTTTACTTTCCAGTCCCCCTTTATGAACCCTAGGATCAACTTATTATTATTATTATTATTATTATTATTATTATTATTGGCATTTATAAAGCGCCAACAAGTTCCACAGTGCTGTACAATTGGGATGACCTACCTATGGTGGGTGGGTAATTATTCGTTTGCCATCTATTTGTCTTGGTTCTCATGGATACAATCTGATCATCACTTTATGTCGAGCTACTTTTTTTGCCTATTCCTCTTTATACTTGGTTCTTTTGCTGCTTTTTTCTCCTGTCACTCTACGTATTAGGGGAGGGTATGGGGGCTTTTCTTATCCCTATCCTTAAAGGGGTTAAATTGTGTTTTCAGCAACGCAGCCAGTTACATTTTAATGGTTAATTTTAGTTTATAGGAGTTAATGGTAACCTCACATAATAACTGAGTAATGTAAATAATAGTATTAGGTTACATTAGTATAAAATCAATTACCCACGTCGCTATAAAAAGTGTTTTACAGTAATTTAGATAAAGATTTAAAGTTTTATAGAATGCTAAAAATGTCCACCATAGTGTCAGTGTAATTATAAAGAATGCTTTAACTGCAGAATAAAACTTTTTCTCCTGTCTCTCGTTTCCCCCATTCCTGACAGCTTCTTAAAAGGAGCCGTCAACCGGAGTTATTTTTAGTAATTTATTCCACCCCTTTGGTGGGAAGCAGATGTGTTCTGGCATTCAGTAAGAGGAATAGGGACAGGGGATGTAATTATGCAAGATGTTCCCAGCTCGGCTCGGTACAGTATTATCACACTAGTGTTTCTGTAATGTTATTACTCATTTAAAGAAGTATGCAAATAAAAACACAAACTGGACCACTTTTTTTTTTTATTATTCTTTTTTTTTTTTCTGTGTATAGTGATTACAAACACATCTGTAATGTCACAACAGCATGAACAATTGACCTGAAAGCATACACGGTCCTAACAAGGCATGGCAGTAATAGACATTGCACTCTTTTCTTTAGTAAACAAGCAAGACTATCACATCCAACTGTGGTAACTTAAGTAGGTAATTTAGACAGGAGGGTTTCCGTGGTTAACGAAATCAATCATGCTAGACTGGCAGTTAAATCATGGTAGCAGTGATGCCACTGGGTACTAGGCATTGTTTAAAAAAAAAAAAAAAGGATTAGGGGAGAAACTAGACAACAGAAATAGAGGAGAGAAAAAAAGAAAAGCATAGGAACACTGATCTGCTAACTGGGTAGTAGCTGTACATGCTGGGTTCATCCGATATCCCGAGTAGGCCTCCATATACAGTCCACCTCTGGGTCATGCCACCGTGGCCCATGCCTATAATCTGTTGCAGTTCCTCTGTTCCTGGGTACGTCGTCTGTGGGAGATCGAGCTGGATGGGGAGCTTGCGTCACGTATCTGTGTGCACTCCATCTCTTTCTGGCAGGACTACGGATCTTAGGGCGGTAAAAAGGTTGACGAGCTCTCCGTTTGTGTGGGTAGCTTGTAGGACGTGCCTCTGGATGAGCCCTCTGTGCAGTGCAGGCTCGGTGGTCCGCTGGCTCGGCTTTCTCCGCGGTCTCTGGCTGAATATGTACAGCATTGGAGGGAGGTTGGTGTGAACAGCGCCTCCAAAACTCCTGAGGGTAGTGGCGCGGTAGCCATCTTTGTTTCACCATGAGGGCTTAGTTTCTGTCTGAGATTTTCTGGTTGCAGAGTGGTGAGCTTCCCCAGTGGGGACCAGTATATACCCCACCAGTGCAAAGGAGGGGGGGCTGTGGGGTATCAGTGGAGACATTGTGCAGAGTGTGTCCAGTGACGGGGGATCGGCCGCCTCTCCCAATCACCAGGCCGCAGCTTCTGCTAGGCCACATGTTCCGACAGCAATAACTCGGCTGTTTGATTGAGAAAGAGAGTTTCCTCAGGTTCCTACTTAGTTTAGCAGTTAACCACCGTCGTATAAGGCTGCAAGTGACATGATTTTAGGTTCATTAAGCCAAAGTTATGCTTAGTTTAGCCAGAGTTCTCAAAGAACACGACCAGCCATCTTAGCTGTAAGGCCCCGCCCCGAAATTGCCTATTTCTATGAGTAATGTACACTTTTGTTAACTAATTAAGAAACACCTTCCTGGCTTTCAATCCATTGCACTGAGTAACGGAGGTGGCAGGCGCACTCGGCTAGATCGTTAATGTCTTCTCTCACAAGTGTCAGTGAACCTGTGAGCGCATGCGCAGCCCCAGCCTTGATGGGCTTCAAAGACCTCCATTGCCCCTCGTCTCGCAGCTCAAAATCAGAAGCTTCTGGATGATGGGGTGGCTTGCAAAGGCTGCAGTTAGAATACTGCAACTTTTGCAATTTTTTTATTTTTTATTTTTTTTTAGGTAAATACCCTCTATGATTACGTGCATAAAAATTGCATGTAATCAATGTGGGTTATATACTAAATATTTTATTTTGGTAATTTGTGCTGTGGAGTGTTTCCTTTTAGTTGCTATTAAACTCACCCAAACACGTATCCATGTGATCAGTTATGCCTATTGATGATTGTATCCCAATAAGCTTGTCATGCCCTTTAGTACACTGCTTAATACCGGCAGATGGCAGCCTTAGAAGGAGAAGTGGCTGTTCAGATCCAGTCCCACTTTACATGCCTCTGTTTCTGTGGAGTTAAATAGGGCCTGGTGTTTAAAGCAAATATCTCTTGAGCAATTACATAGATGAAAAAAAATAGTTAGATACAAGTTATAGAGAGCTTTTGGTAACCACTGTTTAATGATACTAAGAGCTGTCCAACTGAATACTCCACTTTAAATATATTGCCTTGTTTCTTTGATCTCCCATGCTTATAATTGTTTTTAATAGTTGCTGTTGTGAAGTTTGGTTCTGGTAAATAATGTGCTCAAATCGCCATCTCCTCTGGCTGTAAAGGTCAGTTATCTCCTCAAGGAATATTTATTGACAGAAGATTGTCGTGACGATTTATCTGTTTTTCTTTTTAGGTCCGAGGTACTGTCACAGAAAAATGCATGACTATCACATTAGCCGTGGGCAAAAATACTCAAGAAGGCTTCACACATATGATGTGTGCTGAAGGCACAGTAGGTAAGTCTTATAAATAAAGCATACGGATTGTCAGAAACAGGCAGCTCACAGTCACCATGAGTTATCTACTAAACTGAGTATTGAGAAGGGAACTGCGTGTTGTAAGTCAAACTAGCCAAGCAGGAAAAGTTGCTCAATTGGAGTCCCCCCCCCATTTTGGCGTATAATATACAAATATATTATAAGTACTACATTATTTCAGATTTAGGGAAAAGGCCCAACATTGCAGTGTTTATCTGTATATCTGTATTTGTTTTTTTTTGTATGGTTCCCTAATACTTCCAATCTTGATTACCTACCCTGTGAAAATGTATCTCTTTTGTTTATCTGCAAAACAACAAGTCTGCTTTATAGAAACCACAATTGAGCAGCGCTGCAGGATATGTTGGCGCTTTATAAATGCCAGTAATATATAAATAAATAGTATGGTCTATATCAGCATGTCCGCGTTCTAAATGAAAACATGCTAAAACCAAAAGGTGATGCACTTAGCAGGGATTCCATCTCCCATTGGTTGATTGGTTGTTAATATAATGGTTGGATATAAAGGATTGTTGTGCTAGCACACACATTGATGAAGAAGGATTAAGGCTTGAGGTATGGATCCCTGAATTGTCCAATGCAGAGAATATGAAATGCGAGAGGAACACCTAGTTATTTATCTGTTTCTGATTTCATGATTTAGCCAGATTGGGTAGATTGTGCCCAGTTTCTATTCGGACAGTCCTCCATTTTCAGGAGCAGTGCTGCACCTTTTCCATTAGCCAACTCTTTCTAGACCAAAACAGAGATCAGGAATAGTTTTTATAGTACGGTTAGTGCAGGTTTCCAGGGAACTGTAATGCAGCTTCTCAGGTCTGTTATTTACTGGGTTAAGCACACAGTTTAAACCCCTTAAGGACGGAGCCAATTGTACACGTTGTGATCAAAACAAAACGTAAACAAAACCTGGAATTTGCGCTATATGTGGTTCAACCATAATTCATTCACCTCTTTCATATTAAGTGCACCCACACTTATTATATATAATTTTGTTCAGGAGAAACAGGGCTTTAATTTAATATCAAATATTCATATATGAAACACAATTGAATGTGAATAAAATCTAAAAAAGTATGGGACATTAATAAAATGTGTTTATAATTTTGTACCGTGTATATATAATAAATAAATATACATATATATTTATTTATTTTTTCACTGATTGCTTTAGTAACTTTTTTTTTTTTTTTTTTATGATTTCGCCAGCAGGGAGACTGTCTGTCAGTTTAGGCAGTCCCCCTGCAGGCAGTGGTGTATCCTGGTTTTGTGCTGCCCTAGGCAGGACAAAACTCAGGCACCCCCCCTGCGCCACCCCCACCCAACCCTCCCCCCCCGCCCCACCTTCTAAATACACACACACACAAACAGTCAGACACAGACACACACACACACACAGTCAGGCACAGACACACACACAGTCAGACACAAACACACACAAACACACACACAGACACAAACACACACACAGTCAGACACAAACACACACACACACAAAATCAGACACAAACACACACACACACAGACACAAACACACACACACACAGTCAGACATAAACACAAACACACAGTCAGACACAAACACACAGTCAGGCACAAACACACAGTCAGACACAAACACACAGTCAGACACAAACACAGACACACAGACACAAACACACATAAACACAAACACACACACACAGTCAGACACACACTCACATCAAAAAAATGTTTTCTTTTTTTTTAATCCCCCCCCCAGCCTCCTTACCTTTGGGAGTGCTGGGGGGGGGGGGTCTCTCTCTCCCTGGTGGTCCAGTGGCTGCCGGTCGGGCAGGCGGCGCTGGCTGTTGGGTGGGCAGCTGGCGAGGGAGCACTTCCTCTGAGCGGTCTGCTCAGCTCCCTCGCGCGCTGCAGAGTGAGGCTGGGAGCCGGAATATGACGTCATCTTCCGGCCCCCAGCCTCACTCTGCGGCATGCGAGGGAGCTGAGCGGATCGCTCAGAGGAAGAGCTCCCTCGTCAGCCGCCCGCCCAGCGCCGCCCGCCCGCTCGGGCATGTCTGTTAGCCGCAAGGCTAACTAGGCATTTGCCCTGGGCATTTGGGGGCGGCGTTTTTTGCCGCACCCTGAAAAATGCCGCCCAAGGCAAATGCCTTGTTTGCCTCGCGGCTAATACGCCCCTGCCTGCAGGCAGCTGCATAGGCAGCTATGCCTGCCATGTGATTGCTCTTTTTAGTATTTTTATTATTGCCATTTATATAGCGCCAACAGATTCCGTAGCGCTTTACAATATGAGAGGGGGGATTTAACTATAAATAGGACACTTAAAAGAAAACTTACAGGAACGATAGGTTGAAGAGGGCCCTGTTTAAACGAGCTTACAGTTCAGAGCGATCACATGGTCCCCGGGGCTAAATTGCTGCGGGGGGAATGCCTGACTGCCAGGCAGTCCCCCAGAAGAGAATCGCGACAGAGGTGAGTACTTGCAGAGCTCTGGGGCTTTAAAGCCCATTATATGGGGACAGCATAGAACGCCCTAACAGCGTTAAGGGGTTAAAGTATTAGCCATGTGCACGCTACTAATTTTTGATTAAAAATGCTCTATGTCTGTATATGTAATACATTTCAATGTGTACTGACGTTATGTCTTACTTATATTATTATTATTGTTATTATTGGCATTTATACAGCGCCAACTTATTCCGCAGCATTTTCCAATAATATAAAGGGGTAAAATTTAACAACAAATGAGACAATTACAAAATGTTACAGGAGCAATAGGTTGATGAGGACCCTCCTCAAACAAGCTTACAGTCTAGAGGATTGTTTAAAAACAAAAAACAAAAAAAAAAAACCTTTTGCCCTATGTTAGCGAAATTAACACTTTCCTTGCCATTAGATCACTGCTTGCACTGATCAAAGCTCGAGTACATTCTCTCCTTTATTTCACCCATTGCTTTTGTGTTCAGGATGTGATAATGCCAAGCCGTGTCAGACTGATCTGACCGTCTTGCAACATGGATTGTATAAAGGGGATCCGGTCACTAAGGTCCTGCTTCAGCCACTGACTGGTAAGTAGACAGATCCTCATCTTCTGCATTACTTAATAATTTTTAAAATAAATACAGGCATGAACAAGCAAATTCAGGGACATAGGAGCTTTTAATGCAAAGCATTAGAGTAATAAAAAAAGAAAAAATGATTAGGTGATTGCCAATGGTCCTTGTCCCCTCCATGGTAGGAAAGTTATGGGCATTAGGATACATTTTACACTTGCTCGCCAATTTATAGTTATAGGTTCTTTTTTTTTTTTTTTGTCCATTTGGTTTGTTTTTTGTTTTTATTTTTATATTTCTCGTCCATCAATTGGGGCGCAAGTATATTAGCGCCCCAATCATGGGTAGCAGTAGGTCATTCTTGCTATGCCCCATGGATCGCTAGGGTATGGGAGGGGGTATGTTTACAGTGTTTGAATTTCCTTGTTAGGGGGGTTTCAGATTTGGGTGTTAATTCTATTTGTATGTTCAAGTATCTATACTCTAATGTACTGTCCTGCGAGTCTGCTGCTTTACCTATGCCAACTTGCTGTGGTTGTCGCTTGAGTGGTTTGGTAACATAATAAATCATGTGGGTTCTTCACTAAGCAGAAAATTGTAGTAAATTTAACAACAAATTGCATTACTTAGGCCAAAACGACTGATTTGAAACAAATTCTCCTACTCTTTGATAGTCACTATTCTATCCTGAATTTTGCTGTTTAGTTTTGAATATTTATCACTGTATTACAAATAGTGCAAGACTAACAATTACTTTATCAAGGTAAATGCATTTTTTGTGACATTCCAGGTAGGACACACCAGCTGAGGGTGCACTGCAGTGCCTTGGGGTATCCTATAGTGGGCGACTTCACCTACAGCTTTAAGAAAGATGTTGAACCCTATCGAATGATGCTTCATGCCTACTATCTGCGAATCCCAGTTAACCCGGAACTCATAGAAGTTACAGCTCCCGATCCCTTCAGGCCAGAAGTGGATCCTTACTGGGTGCCCATCGACACCATCCATCCGCTGTGCCAGGCTATGAAACAAATGACTCACAAGGCACTGGTATCTGAAAGAAGCCGACAAATGCACGAACAGGAAAGCTCACCAAAAACTATGGAAACGAGCGAAGAGACCGAAGAGCAAAGGGCCGTCTGCCAACAGTGGTTAACGGAGTGGGCGGGCGAATAATACTTTGTGATGTATATTTTACTGTAGCGGAAATCACAACTGGTTAGTACCAAGCGTTAGTGCACTAATCTCCTAGTTCAGCCGGTGTCTGCAGATCGAGCTCCAGCCTCCCAGCAGCAATATCACTGTTTCACAGCTGTAGGATCACTTGATGCATTGTGTTGGAAGCATCCCCAATGCTATAGAAGTTTACCAGCAGTTTCATTATTAGTGTCTATGTAACGCTTCTTTAAGTAAGCTAGGATGAAAATCTTCCCCTGGCACAATGGATATTTTTTTTGTAACTTTTTATTTTTTACAAATTTTTCCTTCTGTATGTCATGGACTTAAACATTTATTTATTTTATTTATTTCACTGGGCTCTGACTATAGTGTTAAGATTGGCACATGTTTATGGCCGTGGGTATCATTGGCAGGATCAATAACTATGTTGTGGGTGTCTAAAAGGTTTGCTTCTTTTTTCTTCATCCAAATCTTACCTCCAACAAGTGGAGAATGAGTATTGTAGTTTTGGTTTTACCTGTTTCCCCCTCAATTCTCCCCGCCAAAAAAACACAATTTATTCCTGCAATCACAAGTCACAAATTTCGTTGCTTTTCTTTTCATCTTTTGGTTTTAAGACATTAATGATGATTTTTAGAGTTATTTTTTTAACAGTAATAATTTGAAACACAAGGATCCTAATGATGAGTTCTATTTTGTTTCAATTATTCATACCTCTACGTTTGCACAGATTCAAAAGCCTTAAACGTGTAATTTACCCAAGCGGCTAGTTCGATAATTGGCCAAACAGATTCACAAGCCTTAAACATCTAATTTACCCAAGCGGTTAGTTCAATAAATGGCCATTTATGCTGTGCTGATAGATTCTACATCAGGGAGAGTTGGAGGTCTCGTTGGTCTTGCCGTCATTCTGTCTGATAGAAAGCACTATAGAAAAGGCATAGGGTCAATGTCCATAAAGACCAATGCTACTCTATTATGCTTGACTATGGTATTGCGAGTACAAGTTCTCAATGGTGAACACAAGTTATACCAGGGCCAGTTTCTCTCCTAGGATCTCCTTCAGCACGATGTTAAAAGTAGCAGCATATAAGCAGGGTTTATCTTTTAAGCAATAGTAAGCAGATCTAGCATAAAATGTGGGTGCACTAAAATAAAAGCCATTTATTCAAGGAGAAATAATAGCCATATTCCTCTTTTTTTAATAAAACTTTTATTTTTTTATTTTTTTTATTTTCCTGATGTTTACGATTCTATTTTGGTGTATGATGTTCTTATCAAGTAGGCCCTGAACCCCAATAAATCCACAAAGAGAAGTAGAAAAAAATATACAATTTCCATTATCCTTCGGTACTTTATTTCTTTTATATGATATTTTTTTTCCCTTTGCCATTAAAACTCATCTGAATGCAATAGGAATCCTAAGAAGACCAAATGTTATGACCTAATTTGTTTGGTTTTAACAGCTATTTATTCCAAAATGAAAATATCTAATATTTTTTTCTTAACTTAAGCCATATAAAGAGTCTGTTTCACAGGTGGTCAAAAAGCAGACCTCTAGCTGTTGAGCACCTACAACTACCATGATGCTTTGCCACCCCTGGTCTATTCTGTTTACTGAATCGACCCCTTGCAGCTGGTCAGTTCTGTTCCACCTGTTGTTTGTCTACTGTTCAGCTATCTTTGTCCATATGCTTTGGTTTACTTTTTAACTGGACTTTTCAAAGTAAATCCTACTGATTATTTCTTCCAAAATTAGCCTACTGTGTTTAAATGAACTGATGAGTCAAATCTCTCTGCTAAAATGGGAGTTTATTCACTAAACGTGAGTCGTGGTTATCTGACAACCAAAAAGATAACTTCTTAATGTCTGATTTTGTCCGTAACTGTTGTTTAAAGGGGAACTGTCTCACCATGAGGTTTTTAATATATCGTCCTATCCTCTATTATTAACAAATAAGTGTTTGGGAGCTCTGAAAAAATCTGAATGATAGAAATCAACACCGCTGTATTTAGCTCTATTCTGGAATGAAGTGCTTACCTTTCAATAGTTGTAAGCCCTGTCCTTTTCACCTGGATGTCAGCATAGAAAGAAATTAAATATTTTCAGAAAGAATTAAATATTTTCATTTTTTTTTTCTTCTCATTAGCAGCGTGTACCCTGATCGTGCCTAAACTAAACTGGATTGTGATGTCATTTGCTTAATCTTTAATATACAATTACAAGTAAATGGAGCATCACGTGTAAAAAGATTAACACACGTTACAGGTGATTTAAACAAAAAATATATGTTTTCTTTAGTGGTGTAATTTCCAAAAATAATGGTTTCTATTTAAATTCTGATATTGCCACAATTCATGCTTTAATGAATAAACTTCATTTTACACTAGCAGATCCTCCAGCACAGAATATCGTACGATGTTTTTTATTACTCTATTTTGTTGTTTTTATTTAGTTATTTTTTTCTTGAAATATACTTTGATAACAAAATCTTTGAAAGTGTAATGTTCTGCGTTTTGAGACTGGAAATATAGATTTGTTTTTATGTGTGTAAATATATATTTATTTATTAATTCTGGTTTATTTATAATACATGTGTTATCCTACCATGTTTTTAGATATACAGCACACATCTATTTAATTCTGTTTTATTACCTCGGTCATTACCTTAATGTTGGCAGCTTATGTGCTTTATATACGGTGTAGTGAAAACACGATTTAAATGTATCCAGATATATAGAATAAACATATAACCGTACATTCTGTGTTGCACTCATTTATTTTTTTTATTGTTTACTGTATGTGCATTTGCAAACCCTAAAAGTGAGACCCTATTCTGTTCCAGATCACTTGTAGAAATTCTCCAAAATCTTCCCCAATGCACAGGTACTGAATATGTGACAGTGTGGTTTTCATAAAAACAGTACTGTTTTTTTTTCTAAGAACCGAAGGCTTATTGTAAAGTAAAAATTACCTCTTTAAAGTTCTTTAAAAAAAAAAAAAGAATAATCTCAGCTGGAATAACCACTAGATTCACCATATTTCAGTACGCTAACCACTTTGTAAATACATCACAAACCTTCGGAATACGGCTGTAGAGATCATGTGATGTCAACAGCCAATCCGTGTTTGCTTTGAGTGGCACTTAGCTTTATACTGAATGAAACCGTAAATGAAAAATGTTACACCAAATTAGCTGAACTTTAAACAATTCTCAACTCAGCTATTTTTTATGCATTGTTATTTTAGGCCTAAAATGGGTAATATCCCAAACAGGCCACGACAATTTATTTTTTTTAAATTTAATTTAGTTTTGTTTTTAATTGAATTTGTTTTTTTTTTGTGTTTTTTTTCGAGTTACATTTTATTGATAATTATGGCACGTGTCATGAATAACATCAGTATAAAATGCCATGTACATACAAACAGCAGGTTGATGTACAATGCAAAATATAACTGGGACAGATTGCAACAATACGATATACTAATAATAAATAATATTAGTATGAGAAAGCATCTATTCTCTAAGTAATGCGTACCCATTAACACTCCACGTTGGCTTAAGAATAGGGCACGTAAACATTCTTCCAGTAGGCATTGCCATATGGAAGAGATGAAAAAAATATTGTGCTTTGTGTACGAGTTAAGTCATATGCCATAAAAAAAAAAAAAAAAGATTGAGTTACCTAATGGGAAGAGAGTGAGGGAGAGAGAAATGAAGAAGAAGAGATAAGACAAAAAGAGAAGGAAAGGGTCCTGATAGAATATGAGACATGAAAAGGAATGGCTTTCCTGAAGATCGAATGGTATGCCCTGATGAGCAAACAAAAACATTGCCCAGGGCAAACTAGAAGATCCGAATTCCAGCACGCATCGCTAGTAGGATAACGCTTGTCAGCTCCAAATAGTGAATCCTGTCTATGAGCAACTTTGTTCCACCAGAATCAAAGAAATGAAGTAGAAATTCTTAAAATAGTAATAAAAGAAACATACATAAATTAAACTATTCAACCCCTCCCCCGCATTTAAAGCAGGAAATGGTACAGTATAAGGACCAGTAAACTATATACACAACAGGGTTACAAGTCTGGAGGACCATAATATATAGAATATAGTGCACAACTCCACAGAGATGTGATAGCCTTCCCTCTACGTCACTGAAACTGACATCATGGAATCAGCAGAACTGTATAAGACGGTCCAGGCTTTTTGCGAGATAATCATAGTGATACAGCGGCCCCTTGACCAGCCCTGACCCCCTACAAAGCCTCCTGCACCTCCACTTCACCAATAAAATACTTAAATGTCTCTGCCATTGCTGGCCACTTGTCATGAGTCGATCATGACACCGGTCTGTCAGAGCCCACATCATCAAGGACCAACAAGGCGCTCTGCAAAGAAAACACTCTCCAGACCCCCCACCAAGACCCGGCGGTGAAGGCCCATGCATTCCATCACCAATCACATCCGGCAATTTGGAAACAAAGCGTCATTTTCTAGCACTATAGGTAGATAGCAGGTATGGTCTCTCGGTCTGTCTCTCTGGTATCCTGCTGTTACCAGGAGCATAAGCTGAAGAGAAATAAGGGACAGCAGGTTTACAGTTCGTCATAGAGAGGGAAAGGGGAGAGCCAAATCAAAATTAAGTGTTTAATAAACTGGAACTTGTGCACGAAAATCAGGATAGCCTCCACCGATCTTTTGTCACTCTGTTTGCAGCAATATCGATCAATAGTGGAATCATCCTACTGGGAGAGCATGGCCTCTTAACCTAGTTACAGGTCTCGCAGTGAGCAGGAGGGCGCAGAGGTTGTAAACGGAGTTTCCAAAGGGGAATCTTCACAAGACGCTTATACAAATCAGGTGGCTGAACCTCACATTGAAAGGTTTACAAATGGGAATGCATTCTATAAAATATAAAACATAAAATTCTTTAGCATGCATATATACAGACATGACAGTGTGGAGAACTTATAGGACTAAAATCAAAATAAAGGGAAAAAGTAACTGTCTTTATCGAGCCCTTCAATAGGACATAAGCTTTAGGCAATTTGTTACCAGAAATAGAGAATGTGGGGTGAGCAATACACCAAATAATTGGTATTAATATAATATTCTTATTGTCAAAGTTGCAAAACATCTCCACTTTTTAAATCTATATCGTGAAATTAAATCAGAAACCATGAAATAAAAAATGTCAACTCAAATGTGTTGTACGACTTAAAGGACCACTATAGTGCCCTGAGGGTGCCCCCACCCTCAGGGTCCCCCTCCCACCTGGCTCTGGAAGGGGGAAAGGGGTAAAAACTTACCTTTTTCTAGCGCTGGGCGGGGAGCTCTCCTCCTCTGATCCTCCCCGTCGGCTGAATGCACACGCGCGGCAAGAGCTGCGCGCGCATCCAGCCGGTCGCATAGGAAAGCATTCATAATGCTTTCCTATGGACGTTTGCGTGCTCTCACTGTGATTTTCACAGTGAGAATCACGCAAGCGCCTCTAGCGGCAGTCAATGAGACAGCCGCTAGAGGCTTTGGGGGAAGGCTTAACCCATTGATAAACATAGCAGTTTTCTCTGAAACTGCTATGTTTATAAAACAATGGATTAACCCTAGAAGGACCTGGCACCCAGACCACTTCATTAAGCTGAAGTGGTCTGGGTGCCTAGAGTGGTCCTTTAAGATTTGCAGTTTTGCTGAAATGATAACCAGTGAAGAGTATACCACCAGAGAGCCACTAGATGGTGATAGAGGTTTGCTCAACTTTAGATTACTAACCTCAACCATGAAGGACCACTCTACACACCATAACAACTTTATCTCTGTGATTAATTCTAAAGCATTTTATCAATGGGGGCCAGCTGATACCCTCAAGCTATTATCGGCACCCCATGAAATGTTTCCATATTGAAGCCTTGGTCAGAGGAAGAGACCGAGAGGTCAGGAGGACAGGTGATGTCGAGATCACTTTGCTGTTAAACAACTGGACAACAGTTTAACCCTGTAAGCTAGCCGCAGACCTACACACCACGACAACATTAAGTTATGTCCTTTAAGCATCTGAACCTTCAGGCTGTACTGTGAAAAAGAATCATGTCTAAAATTTGTTTCAAATTGTGTGCACGCTCACTTCCATAATAAAATAAAATGAAAGGTATATTTTTTTTCTGAGATTGCTCAAAATAATCTCTCCAGGTATATATCAAGCAGAAAATTGGTTAGGTTCAAACATGTTTTATTAGTAAGTATTCACATGTAATTATATGAGAAGCAAAACACAATTAAATATCATCACCATTTTCTGATACAATAAAAATAAATTAAAGGTCTGACAGGGCGCAGGTACCTCTCCTGTAAATGGTTATACAAAACTGAGATCTATACTTCTTAATACATTCTTACAAAATATTCTTCTATAGCTTTGTCAGGGTCAAAGGTACTTGTGAGGTATATATGTATGTGTTACATGATTTGGTGTCAAAGGGACACTGTAACTGCTTTGCTTTATCTCACTGAAGTGGATACAAAGTCTAGAGTCCCGTGGCACAATTCTTTTTAAAGTAAAAAATAAAAACACTATAGGCACCTAGACCGCTTCATCTCATTGAAGTGGTCTGGGTGCAGTGTTCCTGTTCCCTTAACCTTGCAGTGTAAAACATTGCAGTTTTAGAGAAACTGCATTATTTAAATTGCAGGGTTAAGACTGCCTCTAGTGGCTGTCTAGCAGACAGCAACTAGAGTTGCGTTCTACAGTTTAATGATGCTGCATGTCCTTACGCTGTGCATGGGGACATCCAGCATGTTGAAAAGCTCTATGGTAAAACTTTGTCAATGCTCTCGTATGGGGAAGGTCTAATGTGTGTGTGGTGTTAGTCGTGCATGTGTATTAGGTTCCACCCATTGGCTGACGTTGACTAAGGAGGATGCCAACCAGCACTGGAATCAGGTAAGTACACCTGAGTGGGGGGAATGGCAGAGAGTTCCTATAGTATTAGGAATACAGCTTTGTATTCTAAAAACTATAGTGTTCCTTTAATGCTATACAAGAATTTCCAGCAGTCTATCCCCTCTGTACTGTTTGGGCCACTGAGGAGGCATTAGCCAGAGCAGCAATGGGCAACTGTGATTGGCTGAGAATGTCAGCTGACTGCTTTCAGCCTATCCACAAGGAAGTGTATGATCTCTGTCTTAGCCACACCTCCAGTGTGGGCCGGGTTATGGGAAGCCAGAGACCCACGTTCAGAGTTAAACTGCTCAAAAATAGTTTAATATTGAATGGAGTGACAGTGCCAGAGAACTTCAGATTCTATAATTAATTTAAAGAAATGGTTATAGTGTCTACAATGTCCCTTTAAGGCTAGATTTGGTACAGTTTTGAGTCAGCCCTTGAGACCAGTGAGAGTTCAACATCTGGGCAGCAGCTATTATTGCTGTCATTAATTAAGCACCCTCTTCTTTCAGTGATATGTTGGAAGTGGAGCTGCTTGTTATCCCATTGCTTGTTATCCCATGAGCTTCTTCCAGCATATCAGTTTGGAAAGAGAGGTTGAATTAATGGTACTGTCCAGAAGTATTGTTCCCACTAATGTCTAACAGACCAGACTATGGATACCACAGGTGTGTCCTGCACTGCACAGCCTCAGTCACAACATGCTGGGTTTTAAAGCTTGGTTTGACATCACTTCACCGTGCAGTATGGGATTGAAAAATCTGATCCATCCATTGAAACAGCATGCCAATTATGATAGATATTTCTATAGTACG